TTATTTCTTCAATAATATGTTTAACTTAAATAAGTTGTATAAATACATATTTACAAAAAAATAACAATATAAATCGCTTCACGACTTTGTAAATTTGGTCATATAAAGCAAACAACTGAATATTTTAAGATGATCTATAAAATATCAATATTCGCCAAGGGTAGTTACATTGCCCTCCCCCACGTTTGCTCCTCCTTCTGATCGAAGAGCAACCTATCCAATTTCATTATCTCCTCTTCGGTTATCTCCACTGGGGCCATCTAATATTAGAAAGCGATATCTATTGCCTTGTAGAAGTACACTTGCATTGTATTTTTTTGCCTTATCGACAGCAGGCAGGAATTTTTGGGAAAGTCTTTCGGAGTTGATGCCTCACCGTACTGGTAGATTCTCGGGCATTGTCGGGCGATATCTGTTAATTTACAGTCGGTTTTTTATTGCTATGGTAATTCATTGAAATTGAATAACATGGAAAAGTTTCGAGTATCTATTTTTGGCACTGCGAAATAAAGTAGTAGTCAAGTTCATGAGATATGATGGACTTCCATTATTTCAATTTTATACTCTTGCAAGGTATCTATTTGGAACTGTTTTGTTCTGTTATTATCAAATATATTGTAAACTGCACCTGATCTCGGTATATACATATGTAGAGCAACTGCAAGTAACTGGAATCGAATAATGCAAACATTTTCGGTTTGTTTTGGCGTTACGATTGCGTCTAATCGTAAAACCAGGAAATTCTGGTTATCGCCACACCGATTTGGTTTCGCGCAGAGGCCGAAACCCTGGCAGGCCAGTATACGCAGTACTCATCCCACGTGTTGCATGTTGCATGTTGCTGGTGGCGCGTGTGTCGCTTGGCGGAGACATGCAACAGCACAGCAACGTACATAACCTTTAAGGCCATCGCCGCGGCGGGGCAACTACTGCCTACACTTACAGGAATGACAAATATGTTGGCACGCAATCTGCCGTGCACTGGGAGAAAATACTAAATAAGTAAACTTCAAAAGAAGAACCTTCTACAGACGTAATGTCATTAAAAAAGTAACCCCAATATAAGTAAAATCTACCTAATACAACACGTTGTTTTAAAACTTCATACAAAATCATAAATCATCATACATAAATCATAAAAAAAAGCATTTAAAACTACCCAGAACTATCACAGAATATAAACTTTTAAATCACTAACAATTTTTCCAAAGAAAAATCTCATTTTATTATTCTGACTGGATCTCCAGAGATCGGCGGCTCAGATTCAATTCAGTGGAAATTTAATCAGTAAACCAGCAGAAAGTATATAAAAAAACATTAAAACAGATACCCAAACAACAACAACAACCACTTCGACAAGAGAAATGACGCAAATTGTGCACACCCGAGATACGCCTCCAAAGGGCCTTCGGTCTAAGATTGCGATTCGGATTGGACCTGAGGCCTGGAAGCTGGGAGCTGAAAATTAGCTATCACCAAAGCAAAGCCCTCGTCAAATTTATTTCTTAAAATAACTAAAAATATTTGAATCATTAACTTTGTCTTGCCTAAAACATTGTGTCTTTATTACAGATTTGTTTGGATTAAAATAACATTAATAATTAAATTAATATTGTAGAATATTATATAACAATCGATAGTTAAATAATTGCACATAAGTGTGTGTTTAATAATAGTATTATCTTTCTAGAATCTAGATGCATGCGACGTTTCATTTGTGGCGTCAGTTCACCTGCATCGATCACTCATTGCCATAATTGACTTAAATTACCAATAATTTCGATAGGCCATTCTAATCGACAGGGACACTAAATTCAGCAGATAAAGAAATCGATAAATGGTGACATCAGCAGGAGGCTTATAAAACTGATAGGTTAACTAGTTTTTTCAAGTTTCCAGAAGGTAAATAACCCGACATGTGATGACATAGTAACCGATTTTAGTTAATAAAGTTTTAAAATTATCGATTTTTTCGATAACATGTGCCATAAGCACAAACAATTTTAAGTTATTAGTAACAAAAAAAATTCCCAATTCGGGTATAAAGTTTTTATACCGATAAAGTCGATAATTTTATCTTCCAGTATAACATTTTAGTTCGATACAATCGATAACCGTTCAGCCCCGAGCTTGACTCTCATCTCTAGGGTAACCCAAGCTGGGTCTTTAATTCCTATGAGTGTTTTTTTATTTGTGGCTTTTGAGTAGCAAGCGGGCAAGTAGGGGACCTTGTGGGACGGGTGGTATGGCTGTGGCAATATAATTTACTTGCGACGATCTTCACCGCGATCGCTGATGGGCGGCGGCGGCGGCAGCTGCTGACGTCAACGGAAGTGGTCGCTTGCGCGAAGGTCAACGGATTTTGCCAAGAAGTGCTCCCAGATCCGACTTACAGAGGGGTTACGCGGCTAAATCGATTTCTCACACAATTAGTGGGCGTCATAATTCCCATTCCCATTCCCATTCCCAATCCCATACCCATTTCAATTTCAATTCTTCTGACGAATCCCCCGAACGCCAGTCAGCGTCGCGATGTGTTGATTAGATATGACGCTGGGAATGGGTCTGGGAATGGAACTGCGCATGGGACTGGGACTGGGACGGGCTGATCGGGCTGTGACGGATGTGCACGACCCACGGAGGCCATAAAGGCTATTAAAAAGAACAACAAACAATACAAACGTATATAAAAAATAGCAGCACACGTTTCAATCATAATGGTAAACTCTGTCGGATGACAGGCAAAGATCAGCTACGCTTTCCGCTGACAAGTGATATCGGAACGTATGATTCAGGTGGCTTCTATAATAAACCCTAGATCCCCAGGGATATTACCTTTAACCGAGAGATATATGTACATACGATTTTGACACCGAACCGAAATGCCTATCCTGCTTTAAACCAATTAAATTATTAAAATCACAGTTTGATATAGAACATAAATAGCTGCGAACTCTGTCTGAAAACCATGTTAAACTTGAACATCTCATTTATTTAAAATTTATTTATTGTAAAAATAATTATTTTATTATTTATATAAAAGTAAGTATACCCCGTTTCGTGATAAATCATCTGTATATTGACACCATTACGTATTTAATTCTATTTGCACACATGAATACAATGACTTTATGGGCTTGTATTGGGAAATGTAAATAAATAAAATGGCCCAATTGTAATTTGTGTTCCTTTAAACTTATTTATGCTCCCATCTGCGTCATATTTCCTGTTTATTACGGTCTAATTTGTATCAATATCTTCCAGCCATAAAGCCCGTAGAAGATATTCCCGCCAACATGAAGACACTCTGTCGCTGACTTGGCCCCACCCCCTCTCCCGCAAGTCCCTGCTGGCTGAGCTGATATTATTAATGATCATGACTCGGACCCGAATCGTAAACAAAGGCCCTCTAGTGACGTCAAAAGGCGATTTGTCGGCGACTTTGGGGCACCCACACACACGACAGACGACAAACGACAGACGACGACGGCACTGGGGCTTTATCTGAAAGCAAGCAAAAAGGCATTCACTAACTATTCCTATGAAGCCCACGCCGCAGTGTCCGGACTCTGGAGTGCCCACTAAATACAAAACAATACAGCAGATCGCAGAGAGTGACGGAACCCGGTCTCAGTCCCAGTACCCAGCTCCCAGTTCCCAGTATCCAGTACCGAAATGGAATGCAAAGAACAACTAAACAAGCTCCTCCGCCCCCTGTCGCCGTAATGACAACCGTGATAAGGCCCGGTGACAGGCCGGGTGAGTAGGATACCAGGAAACGGGGGTCCCGAGAATGTCAAACACACTGGCGATATCGAGTCGAAATTTACAAACACCCAGCAGATCCCAGATACCAGTGCTCAGAGATGCTCTCCGAGCACCATGTGGGCCTATGGTCATGGCTCTGGCTCTGTAAATAATGATATATAGCCAATTCAGATAAATCCGTGACTTGCTACAACTGTAAGAATAAATTCAACTTGAGAAGTCCCATTGAATGGGAGTTTCATTTGCGTCTCCATAAACTCTAATAATATTGAACATGAAACTAACCAAAAACTAAATTAACTTACTAGGGTTTTTAAAAACCTGAAAAGAAACCAAATCAATCTGGCTGGATATTGAGCTCCATAGATACCTAAGGAAAACTCGATTTGTAGCTTTTAGCTTTCAAATTATTAATAGTTTGTTGAGTTGGATTAAATGTTATTGAGATATATGATATGGAAAGTCTATACCCCTAAGAATAACACCACCCTAGAGTTTACAAAAGCCTTTTTTTTAGAGCGATTTCTGTATTTTAAGATCAAAACAAACCGAATTGCTAAGCCAGAATTTTTGGAATCAGCTTGAAACTTGACATAGAATTAAAGCTAAACTGAATTTCAGTAAAGAGATATGACATGTAAGGCGTAATTAAATGTGAAATATGTGGCTATGTTTATCGGGAGCAAAAGTTTCGCCATCTGAGACTGTTTGTCAACAGAGCAGGGGTTCTGGTAAACACGATTCCCGTGACATGTGTATACCTATGGAGTAATCCCCTTGAGGGCTCGTGTGTCATTTACATTCTGGCAGATTGTAATGGGAACGGTGACGTATGCGCAATATCGCTCATCCGTCAAGAAAAGAATCAAAAATAAGAGGTAGGCTCTAATTGAGCGGTTATATAATTGACTAGGTTTTCGGATGGGATAATCATAGATATAACCCCATCATGTATGTATGTATATATGTATATATTTAGCACACGCCGCCCTCGTGAAGTGAGGAAGAGCAGCAGCAGCAGCAGCAGGCGGCCACATTTCTGGGATCCCTCCGATTATTGCTTTTGTCGGCGACCACGGCGGTTGTATGCACGGACATATATAGTACTATAAAGCTAGAGATAAACCCCGCTTGATAAGAGCGTAACATTATTAACCAAACACAGACACACAGCCCACAGATAGAGGCTCATATCTTTCACATATACATATTTACATATACGTATGTGTGTATACAGGGGACATATCCATGTGGATTGCTTTATTATTATCATCGTCGTCGTTGTTGAACTCCGAATATTCGGTTTCTAATACTTTTATTTGCATTACAGACTTGACTTTTGCAGCCTTGCTGCGCTACAAAAAATATGCCATCATTGTACAGTTTATATAAATGTATAGTAAATATGTGCTGGCTTAATACGTACATAATATATTTATCTATATAGTACACAATATACAGTTAAACTAAGATAAGCTCTGTCGTCGTCGTCGTCGCCGTTGCTGTTCCACTTCTCGATAAAAAGTACAAAAACAAAATCAGAAGAGCAGAGTCGAGGTTTTCCCTTTTGCTGTTTGAATTTTTTGTTCAGCTTGAGTTTTGTTTTTGTTTTTTAGTTTTTTTTTATCAATAGGCACCCCCTAATTTTCAACAACATCGGCCATATCGTTCCCATTCACGCGAAACACAAAAATAATAATAATAATAACAACAGCAAGCGGAACAAAAAAAAAAAAAACAAAGACTTCTCCGCACAGCAAAACCTCATTTTTGTGATAAGATAAAAATCAAATTAATTAACAGCCTTTTAAGCTAACACACACACTCACACACACACACACACACACACACACCACACACGCACGTACACGCTGGGAAAAAACGTCAGCTAAAGTCGGCAAATAATAAAGTGGAAAATCTTAAAGCAAAGACCCGACGATCTCTGTCTGTTGATTTTAATACACTCGTCCTAAAGTCCACCTTTAAAACAAGATGGAGCTGACTTTTAATTAAAATATTATACGTTATTAATTGAAATTATTCATACGATTTTTCTAATATATAGAAACCCTACTCTCTGGAGTCTTTAGCGATGATATAGCACTTCCATACTGAGACTTTCTTATTATAATTTTTAGATTTTTTGAAAATTCTGTCGCTCTGCTGGCTCTGATTTTTTCCCGTGTGTATATATGCACCGATTTGCACCGAAAAAAAAGGTACGGTGTGTTTGTAATTAAAAAAAAAAAAAATTAAATCTTCTTGGCGACCTAGGCCTTTTCCTTCTTTTAGTCTAGTTTGAGATTTCCCTGGTTTGTGACGTCATCGCGGGCGCCTACCTTCTTGGAGCGATCCCTGATCTGGCGGTCGCCCAGCTGCGTGGCTGCCAGGAGTTCACTGAGCTGGTGCTCCCGCTCACGTTCACGTTCCCGCTCCCGATCGCGATCCCCCCGACCGTACTCCTCCTCCTGCTCCAGCTCTAGCTCCAAGTCACGCTCCTCCTCCTCGTCGTCGTCGTCCTCCTCCTCGCCGCTCAGGCTGCTGCTCTGCGTGCTGTTTTTTCTGGCCAGAGCCACCCTTATGCCGTTCACAATGCACTCGCCCCCATCCAGGGCGGAAATGGTGGAGCCACAATAGTACAAGTTGCTGCAGCTGCTCGCGGCACTGACATCCGACTGGCCTTCGTCCTTGGCGCATCCCGGCGACATTCCGCACGCTCCCGATCCCGTCCCGCCCGCTCCATGGCCATGGCCATGTCCCGCTTCCAGGGAGCAGCGGCGTTGACAGCGTGCCCGCTGCAGGCGAAAGTACTCCATCTCCTCCATGCTGATGCCGCAGGCGGTGATATCATCGGAGTAGTCGCTGACCACCACCGACGGTGTGCGGACGTAGCGAACGCCCAAGGGGAAACCGCTGCTGCCCAGTTCACTGTAGGAGCTTTGGGTAGACTCGCGTCGAGATCCCGGTGCGGCAACCACTCGTTCCTCCAGCAGCACCTTCGTGGGCACACTGCTGCTACCAATGGCTGCCCCGGCGGCGGCGGCACTGCCGGTGGGCGAGGTTAGCGGCGAATCTGGCAGGGCTGTGGGCTCTGCCAGCGGCAGGAGAGCTGGTCTCAGTGGTAAATCCGTCACCGTCAGAGTCATCCTTCGCTGGGCGGGCAAACTGGACGGGCTCACTTCCATGCTGGCATCGTCCACCTCCAGGCCCAGGGCGGAGTCGCTGCTGGCACAGCGAGTGACCTTGAGCTTCCGCTGGCCGGGCGATAGCTTGCCGGAGGAGCTAGTCGTCATTTCCTCGCCATCGCTGCTGTAGGGGCTTAGACCGCTTCCAGTCACATTGCAGCCTTCATCCGAGTTGGAGGCAATGGCTCCCGGCGCAGACTTCGTTTCGCCCAGCATCTGCTGCTGCTGCTGCTGCTGCTCCTGTTGCTGCTGTTGGACAATCATGGCCTCGTACTGATCAATCAGCTGTTGGACCGGCTTCCTTGCCTCCGTTCTAACACGGGTGCGTCGGTAGGGGGTGCGGTAACTAGTGGATGGTGCCTGGATCACAGCTCTTTCTGGCTGTTTGCTGCCGAAAAAGGCCGCCTTCAGTTGAGCCTTGCGAAGGGCCAAATTTCTGGAGAGCTTTTCACATGGATTATCACCAGTAAGCGGTATGAGGGTAGGCGTTATCGGTGTCGATATCGGTTCGCGAGTTGCAAGGGAGGTAGATGGTAACGGTAACGGCAATGGCAACGCTATCTTTTCCTTTCCAGTTTCCAGGGAGTGCCTTGTGGGTGCTATAGCTCCAATCTGCTTCGCTGCTCTCTGATAACTGAAAGCCGCTGCCTCTGCCGCCGGCCATTTATTTTCAATTTTAACCGTTGTCGCTGCCCGCACCAGCGCCGGCGTTTTTGTCTCTGTCGCTGTCGCGGCGGGCGTCGCTGTCGTTATCTTTGGCATGACATCGAATTGGAAAGCGGGGGCGGCAGACGTTCGCGAAACTAACGGTTCCATACCCGACGCTTCGCACGCACTCATCTCACATGGATGTGGTCTGGTTAAAAGGAGTGTGGAAGAGTGTGGAATGTAGAATGTGGAATGTGAAATGTACGGTTGGAAAGGGAATGGGTACGAGTGTGATAATGATAAGCGGTAGTGCCAGTGGATGAGGGACGACAAGTAGTAGTGGAAAGGTAAGTGCTACGGATGGTAGGGCAATGGTGGCTGGAAATGGATATGGATATGGATGTGGAAACGCCGGTAAGCATTATACGTCCGCACTTTCCGAATGGCACCTGTGCGCTGCTGTCGCTGAACTGAAATCGCTTTCTGCGGCTCTGCAGCTCTGCTCGTTTCCCCGGAGAGTCAAGGCGGGGGGAGGAGCAGACGTTGTGGAAGAGAGGAAGAGGGAGGAGCAGAGCAGAGCAGCTGTTGCGGGCGTACGCTGTTGATAGTTTTTTTTTTTTTAAGTTGGTTGCGCCGTTTTCGTAATTTACAGGCGCTGCTGCTGCTGCTACTGCTGTAGCGGTAGCTGCGGGGGAATTGTTGTTGTGATCTTGAAACGCTGTCGCAATGTGCAATGATCCCGCACGTACACACGCACACATACGCGGGCAACCGCTATTTAGACGTAAGTGCTCCAATTGCTGCCCGTATGCTCGTATTTTTTAAACTGAGCGCGTAATTGTAAATTGCATTTGAGCACAGAACTTACAAACACAAAAACACACACGGTGGCAAAGCAGACGCACGCACGCACACCAGCACACACAGTGACAGACTGACAGGCGATGCATGATGCAGAGTGCACACAGACACACACACATCGATTGACGCACAATGGGACAACTAGGTGATTTATTGTTTAAAAAAAAAAATAAAAACAAATGAGGAGAACAACTATTTTTAGTTTCAAATTCACACCTTTGCTATTCCCATTAAAAAGAAGATTAACTACACTGTCTGACTACAACAATAGCTTTGAAAACAATTTATAGTTATTATTCTTAAAACTAAATTTAAAAATACATTCCCGCCTGCCCTTTTAGCCAACAATCACCTATAAAGTGTCCAAAGCACTCATCGCCCCTCAAGCAATCTGACGTCAAAAGCAGATTGTACCAGCAAAAATTACAATGCAATTATTGAAATGGTTACGAGTAACATTATATGTACTTATATTAAGTGCTCAATATGCCTAGCGATTGCATTAACAATGTACAAATTATTATAGAATTTAATTTAATTTAATAAAAACCGTAACCAACGAAGGACTTTAAAGCGGTCATTGATATTTCCAGATAAACTTTATAGGTAAAAGAAATACTTAAATATAAAAATCAAATTTTTTTAACGCTATTTTATTAAATTAAAGCCACAATATTCAGATAATACTCTTTTTTGTTGCTTTACCAATACCCAACCAATAACGCCACTGCCCCAACGACCCGTGTATTGACATACCAATATCAATATATTATCTTGACAGGTGCCCGGAATCTATGATAGCACGTGATTCACGAGTTGCGAAATCCCCGCAACAGGTCCACGGTGCGCGACAGTCGCACGATGTTAATGGTGATGGAATGATGACTATAATGATGCTGACAATGACGATGATGGTGACCACGGTGCGGCATCGCACTTTGTCCAACGCCATGACGTCAGTGGAGGCGGTGAACAACGCAGACGCAACAGCTCCGAGCACCGAGCTCCGAGCTCTGAGCTGCGAGACAGACGGATGGAGGGGGGTGAGTTATCCGTGGAGTACGCAAGGGCGCGGTGTGATTACTCAACGCCGCGACCAGGCCCCGCCATCGCTATCCCCCACGTCGTATGCGTTATATGTATAAATAACAAGGGGCAATTAAAAAATGCGATTTTTTATTGTTTTATGTGATTATTTCATTTTCATTGTTGTTTTTTCTGATTCTGTTTTTATTTTTTGTTTTAAGTATGTATGTTTTTTGTGTTGTTTGACTGACAAGACGCACGGACGCTAGTTGCTGACTCTGCTGACGTTGATTGGGCGTCCATCCGCCAGAATGACGTGGTAACAGCTCAAAGTACGCCACCCCCCGGCCACCCACCCCCTCCCCCGATGCGTCGCCGTCGGTAGTTGTGAAATCAAAACCACTTTGGGTTTACACACCTGCGATCGAGATCGATATACGGCCAAGTTTCGCGCTCGGGCAATTACGTCAATGCATTTGACGAAACGGAGAAGTCAGATTAAACCGAATCAAAAATAGGCAGAAAAAAAACAGAGAGAACAGAAAAAAAATCGAAAAAAAAAATTAAATAGTGAAGGATAATGACCAGTTGCATTCGCATTCTCGCTCGCTCGCACACTCTTTTCCTCCCCTTCCGCCGGCGGCAGGTACGGCTACCGCTTCTGCCCCACTGACCGAAATCGGCGTTAAAGCTTTGGAAAGCTCAACAAAGCCTTTCAGAGACCAGCTCTACCAGTCCAGCGTTTCGCTTTTTATATTTCAGATTTAAATTTAAGCAACGGATCAATTTATATTTCTGGACCAATTTTATTTTAATCCTCAAACGCTTGCTTCTTCAGGACTGTATATAATATATATAATAGTCCGATGCCTAATCTGTGCACGTATAAAAAGTTTGTTTTTATAGTTTTCAAAACTTTATAGACTCTCTTAACAAAGAATATTTTTAATTTAATCGGAAATGCTTCATTATCTGTGTTACAAAAGGTTTAACATTAGCAAGGCCTTTAAAAGTTTTCCCCAAAATTACTCATTCGGCACGTAGGCCACTGAACATATTACACTACACAAAAGGCAACATGACGTATGAGTTATATGGCCCTAAAACTGAAGAAAAAGAGCTGAGTTTGGGGGCTAGAGAAAGTTATAAGTGCTTTTGTTATTATATGAACCAGTAAATTTTATAACAAAAATAAAAAAGAACAAATACTGGACTCTGGGAATGGGTAATTATTAATTATATACTCAATTTAGCTATTTTTTTTTATCACTTTTCGATATATATGGTATATGGTAATTAATACACATATGTACATATATAATATTAAGTCAAAACTAGACTCTACGCATTAGAAATTTATTATTATATGCTCAATTTAGCTATTTTTAGATCACTTCCCTCAAAAGCTAGCTTTATTGGCGACTAAAACCTGCCTGCACTGCTTTAAACCGAGCTTACACATAACAAGAGCTAAAGGGAGAGATGGAGCGGAGGAGGGTGATGAAAAGGTGCTGGCCCAACCATAAACTTTGCACATTTGTTTACGAGGTATCCATTTTTTATGGCCATAATCGCACACACACGCACATACACACAGAACTTTTGGTTTTTCGAAAATGGTCAAAACGGGCCGATTGACGCGCGCATTCGCAAACGCGTGAATTGTGTGCCGTTTTACTGTTCTTCTCTCTCTCTATGGCCGTCTCATTCACTCCGACTGGCTGACATTGATATGCCATCGTGTTCACGTCTGTGTCTGTGTATTTTGCCTTTGTCTGATGTGTGGCGGCTGCTGGGGGGGATGGGGATAGTTGAGACTGGAAGTGGATGGGATTTTGGTACGAATTTGGAGGCTCTGGTGAATTGGTGGCGCTGTTAGTTAAGTGCTGGCCATGCTAATTACATTTACTTTCGGCTCTTGGCTCTCGGTTACTCGCTTGTGCGCCCCGACGCGGTTCGTAACGGTCGGCGAGAGAGGCGACAACACGGCGCAGGCGTTGCACACTGACTGAAATTCGAAATTCGGACACCGGCGACTCCCAGGGGCCAGGAGGCAAGGCTTGGCTTGACTTCGCCCCACCTGTCGCGGCAACCAACTGATAATCTGCTCAGCACTGTTGATTACAAATTCAGCGCTCGCTTCGAAGCTTCCGAGCCCCCCAAGCCTCCCCCACATCACCCATTTGGTGGTGGTAGACTGTTACCAAGTGGAACGAACCTTTAATACTTTTTTTTTTTGTATCCAACAGATTTAAGGAATGAAACACTAACATTTAAGGACCTTTGATGCTGTAGCATCTATCGCATCCTTTATATGTAGGTACAGTTTTTAAAAGTACAGTATCAAACTAAACACATTTACTAGCTAGCTAGCTGTTCAATTGCCCGAAAATTGTTATTTAGGACATAAAACAATAACTCTCGAAAGCTTTAAGTTTTGTATATCCAAGCGGCGCCCGAACAAGGAATTCGGCTTACGACTCACAGAATACCCTGCTTTATATAGATCTTTCTATATACAAATTTTATATATCAAGGTAATTAAAGATTTATAAAAAACTATTTTTCTACTTTATTTGCATAAAACACAACTTGAAAAAGTGTAAAAACAAAACGTAATATACATTGGCTTACAGCTGAGGTACAAACTCAAAAATCCGTTTAGTTCAGCGCATATACTGTGCAAGATATCCAAGAAAAGTTTGTAATACATATGTACATACGTAAAGGTGTTACATTGCTTTAAAATTTTTGCAAAAAATATCACTTAATACTTAACAAAACTAAAATGATTGAACGTTTCCATGTTACCACTTTCCTTTGTTTTTGTATCCCATTATTAAAATGTGATTTGCTTGAATTTCCTAGGTATGTTAGTGTTTTTTTCAATTCTATTGGCTATTGATCTCTTCTTAACCAATAAATGCGAAAATATTCGAAAATATATATAAAGAGAGCTCTAAATTAACCAAAACTTCACAATATATACTCCGTATGCACATGTCTTATGTTCGTTAACTAGGTAAAATCTCCATTGTTAATAGGCGTTTCAATGCAGACTAGGATTCGTATGCCTAAAGACCTTGACATTACCTCCTGTATACCTAACAATAGATGTTGTAAAGCCCTGAAATGCTGCAAAATGTGTGCAGCAATCAATAGAATACACGATGATAAATGTTTTGGTAATTGACGAAATCTCTGAAAGTTATTGCCTTAATTGATGTAGTTTTTGGTCTTAAATGTTATCTTATGTGATATTATAAAGGCAACCAAACCAGGGATCCGTAAAAAAGAAAACACTGCAATTAAAACGGCATTAACATATTCTTTATATCTCATCTATAGTACGCTAAACAGCTTTAAAGTTAAATTGTAACTCTGCTTCCAATGAGACATGAGCCACTGTAGCCTTGCTGCTGCCTGCTTGCGCCGGGGGTGTCAGAGTGTGTGATTGTGTCTAGATTTGTAAAACATGTCGTGGGCTCGGGAAGTGTTTAACCTGAGTAAGAGGCTGGGGCACGCGTCCGTGGCCTCAAAAGTGTAGAGTAGAGTTTTACAATAAAAAAAAAATGTATAATGTTAGGGTGAAACAATGTCAGTTAGAAGCAGCACAACGTAGCCTGGAGTCGTTGGTTGGCGGGACGCAGGATCGACAACTTTCACCGGTGGCGTCGCTCCCGGTCGTCGTAGTGGCGGCTCTTACTGCTCCGCTCGTGGCCACCGGCCTCTCGCTTGTGATCGTACCGATCGGAACGGTGGCGACTTCGACTGCGGCTTCTGCTACGGCTGCGTGAGTGTTGTCTATGCTTGTGCTTCTTCTTGTGCTTGCTGCGATGGCGGTCGTAGTCATTATCCCGTTCTCTCCCCCTTTCCCGGTCAACGCCACTGACACCGCCATATGGCATTTGTGGCGGCGGCGGGGCCGGTGGGTAATCATCGTAGCCACCGCGCCCGCGGCCATAGGAGGATCCCGAGGCGGGTGGGTAGTAGGCGCGATCATCATGATCGTTGCGATAGTTCATCGGCGGTGGATAGGCGCTAGCTCTTGAGCCAGAACCCATCATAGCGTGCCCTCCGCCACGTCCGCCACCACCTCCACGATCAGAGGAGCCTCCTCCTCCTCCTCCTTCATACTCTTGGTAATCTCCGTCCTGGCCATCTCCAGCTCCAGGGCCACTGCCAGCACCCGGGCCCGTTGCTGAGCGTCCAGAGCTTAGCTGGTTGATGGTGATGCCCTGCTCCCTGCAGTATTGCTCAATCTTCTTCTCGATCTGCTTCTGGATGGGCACAGGGATGCGCGGAAAGAGCGTTGAGAACCAGTCCAGCTTGGTCATAAACTGGTAAACCATCTGGCCGATGGTGAGGACCTGCAAGTGTGTCAGTTAGTGGCCAACGTTCGCTTCACAGGGTGCTGCTGGGTACGTGTGATTGGTGGCTCATACAGTTGACTCACCTGGCCGCCGCCCGCCTTGACGTCGATCTCCTCCTCGTCCTGCAGATAGTCTTCGTACCAATCGTACAAGTCACCGGGCGGCTGCGTGTATCTCAAGTACATGAATCCTGCGGGTAAGCAACGGAAGCAAGACATCACATTTTGTTGGGGTTAATGATTAAATGAACTGCGGATGGGGAGGAGTGTGTGTTTTGGGTGTATTTGGCAAGGGGGCTAGACTGGTAACTATTCGAATTTATTAACGGGAATAGAAAGCCTCTCGGTAGCAGGCAGATGTGAATAGGATGCCTCGCGTATCTTCCTCTTCACAAAGAGTGCACCACGCAACTTGGTTTCAAGGGAAACCAGATTACCAGATTGCAGTCTTCCTGCAGAACAGGCCTTTTCTTGTTCACCAGTGTGTTTCGACCCACCCTGGTTCACTTTTTTTATATTGTTTTTTTGGTTTTGTGGGAAAAGGGGAGGGGCTGTGGTGTGCTGAAGGAGCAGGAGCAAGCGACGGCATGTGACGGCTGCACTCATGCGACTTACCAACACCTACCTAGTGCCCGGATGTAGGCCGAGTCTGTGTGGTTGAGCAGTCCGTTGATCTGCTTGCGGGTCAGACGGAGCGTGTACAGCTTGTAGAGCAAACAGTACGCTGTGGACACGATACCGCCGGCGCCGACGCCTCGCACCTGGAAGGGACAGTCAAGATTAATATATTTCGCTGTTCCCCAATTGCTACGCAGAGCATCGCCAACGATTAGCGCTACATTTCATAAACCACTCACACCGCCGCACATGCCCGTCTGGCCGGAGGTCTTGCGGGATCCGCGCTCCCATGGCTCCATGTGCTTCACCTGGTAGTAGATCTCGTCGACCACCTCGTGGTAGGTTTTCAGTTTGAACAAGTGAACTGCAGCGTCCCAAGAACGAAAGGCGGTCAAGTTGTGAAATAGCACGCTGGACACGGGCTACCTACCTTTAAAGTAACTGGAGCTCTGGATGTTGGCCAGGATTAGCGGATTCAGGTTCATCGAGGTCTCGTTGCCCCAGAAGGGCAGCGTGTTGTGCTGCTTGCCCACGCCGGCTTTTTTGCCACCGCCGCCGCCGGCCGAAGATGACGCCGAATACTCTGCGTCCGGAAGAATGCGAGAGGGAGGAAGCGAGACGCCGCCGTGAATGAACGGATCTTGGCCAGACGGCCGTGATGCACACTCACCTTCGTCCATGCCTACTGCTGCTCCACACTTGCGAGCATCAATTTCACAGCTGCCGTCGGTTTGTGCGCGCGAAAAGTGGCCCAGAATTTACAATTTACGTGCGAGAAAATGCCAAAATTGGCGATGTGTATGCATTGGCTATCGTTACAGCTATCGTTATCGCACCGGCCTATCGCTTTCGTTAGAGCTCGGTATTTTTACAGTGACAGTCACCCAGTGTGGCCAGATACCAAGAGCATTTTTGAGCATCTGTGGCCTGGTCACACTGGACACTGGGCTAACCAAATCTGAATCCCAAACCAAATCTGCATCCGCAACCGAGGAACCACAGCAGCCAGTGGCCAACCCGCCCATCATGTCGCCCAAATACACGCACGCGATTGTGGCCAGGTGAGTGAAGGCGAGGAGTCTGGATCTTCCCGAATTTAGGCGCGCATGTGGAGCAAACGGAGGAGGGAGTGTCATGTCCCCCCAGTGGCAGGGAATTAGGTCACCCAGCCAATTCTTCGTGGGTGTACACATGCCAGGGTGTGGGTGGGGCAGCTCGGGGCTGGAGGGACTGCGAAGGATCAGGATGCATCTACAGCGCCTAGACATTTTTCTTGTTTTAATTATCCTGAAATCTTACCTGATTGTTCTTGGGCTAATGAAAATAATTGTAAGGGAGAATGCTTTTAATATTTACATTTCAGTTTTTAATTGCATTAGTTATTCCAGTTTCATGACTGGTAGGTATTTGAGGCTAAATCTTAAGAAAATGTTCACTCGGATTTAGGGCTTTAATGATTTAATCCAAATAAATTAATAAAAAATAATCAAATTTAAAGTTCAGAATTCCTTAACCATTCTTGGGGCTATCAACACAAATTTGTGCAGTGTTTGTATTCGAATATACATTTCACACACAATCCTCACTTCCATTAATGAATCCATTGTACGGCTGTTAATCGCCTTCAACTCCTCATTATGCAGAATCTCGGACGCCCTGCTGGAGAACGGAGAGTTCGATGTGCAACTGGCCAAGCAGCAGCACGAACAGTACTGCACTTTGCTGCGGACCATTGGCCTGGACGTGATCGAGCTGCCGCCGGACGACCAACTGCCGGAGGGCGTGTTTGTGGAGAACAGCGCAGTCATATGCAATGGTGTGGCTCTGATCGGGCGATCGGAGAACGCCAAACGGCGACGCGAGGCGGAGAGCATGGCCATCATACTGAAGAAGGAGCTGGACATTCCCGTCATCGAGATCGAGGATCCGCACGCCCAGCTCGATGGCGGGGATGTGCTCTTCACGGGTACGGCGTGGCTGGAAGCCCCTTCGCTGGCGGTGTGTTAATCTGCCGGTCCTTTCAGGTCGAGAGTTCTTCATTGGCATCTCGGGGTACACCAACGAGGAGGGCGCCCGGGCGGTGGCCATGGCCTATCCCGAATATCCAGTAACGCCGATTCGAGTGAGTTTTCCTTTGGTTGTAATTAAGGTCACTTGTGAATCCTCCGCTGCTATTGTAGGTCAACGGGGCGAAGCGCCTGAAATACTATGTGACAATGGCCGGACCGGACGTGCTGTGCGTGAGCAGCAGCCCCACCTGCCAGGAGATCGTGAAGCGGATGGAAAGGGAGGCCAGCTTCACCTACCAGAAGCTGACGCTGCCCGAGGAGAGCGCGGCCAACATGCTGTACATCAACGGGACGATTGTCCACAGATCGCCGACGGAAATTCCAGAAGCCTACAAGGTTAGTGCGGGGGCAGCACCCCGACTAATTGAGTCTGCCGAAATGCTAATTGGTCGCTCTTCTTCGCAGACTCTAAAAGAGAAAATCGACATTCCAACACGCAACATAAACATTAGCGAATTTAGCCAATATTCCAGTGGACTGACGTCCTCATGCCTGCTGCTGCGACGCTGGAAGTCCATACGCAGCCTGTGAATCTCCCGCCAGCGATAATCAGCTGCTTGAATCGGAATCGGATTCGGAGTGAGAGAAGCATTTGCCATGAGAAACACGCACAACAGCCCCGGGGTAGCAGCCTGCTCTCCGGGCATCAGCAATATCGTATTATCTATTATAGTTTACACACCAATTTCTTGTTATTGTTACCAATTTAAGATTGAACCCTTGAAGCTAATCAAGCCATCGATGGCTATAGCCCGGGGAAGGTGGTGGAGTGTGCTCCACCACGTCACCCGGGCACGGATCAGCAGCATTCATGCATCCATCGCCCACTCACACACTCCATTGACATTGACGACGTTGAACGGATATCATATTATTGTATTATTACGGCAAAGAATTGCTATTAGAAACTGTATCTACTTTACAAGTAGCTTGTTGAATGTGTGTTCAGTGTCTGTCCTCGAAATAAAGTGCAACATTTGTAATCTCTTTATAAACTTTAACGCGCTTGTTTAATTGGTTTGCACTTTGAGGAGGGGTCAAATAGCTTAAGATGACCTCAAAAGGGCGGGTGTATGTACATATATTGACAAAATCTTCGTTTATGATGCTAAAAAATGCCCAACAGTCTTCAGGGGGAGTCAAATAGTTCTTGAAAAGCCTCGAGATGAGCTCAAAATAGATGAGCTCGGACTTTGGTTGGGAAATAAACATATAACATATATCGAGGGAATTGAGATCTTCAGTTAAATGTCATTATATTGATTCACAATGAATCTTTCGGACTCACTGGACGCTTTTTTAGACTTACTATCGTCGTCATCTTCCTTTCACACTCAACAAACTGACTCGCCTGATGATGCTCAGACAAACTTCATATCATAAGCAAATTCTTTCATATTTGTATGAAGGACGTAGGACTTTGAACTTGGGTCGTAATAATAGCTAAGAAATAGCTAAAACTCCCGTTTAAATTAGAGTAAAAACCAACTTATTTATGTGAACATTTAATTTATTTATATCTAATTATAAACTTAGCCTACATTTAAATGCAGTTTGCTGTTCCGAAAATAAAAACTTATCCAAATGTGCTCAGGGGGTTGGGTAGGTGTCTACTCCTATGCGTTATGCTTATGCGTTGTGATGAAATGGGAAACGATTCTAGCCTAGTGACCAGCTCTCTATCTTTTGCGTCTGCGTCCCTGGTGGTTAATATCCTGCGACGACTGGGCGAGCTCTCAATGGGATAATACTAATCATAATAAATAGAGGGGCCTTACTATAATTACAAGTTCTGTTTATGTGGGGAGCTCTGAGTGGGCGAACCTACAAGTGTGCACTCCACATATATACTATAAGTATACATATTGGTGGGCAGGGGAATACATTGGGTGTGGACCGATCTGCTGCTGTATATGTTCTATATACAACTAAGGTGTGCATGAGCTAGCTGGGAAAGGGACGCTGCGGGTCGTTGGCGGCCCTTGGATCGATGTACGAGATCACGCTGCTCTGGCTGCTATCGTCCTCGATTGTCTCGTTGAGATTCTCGATGTGAGAGTTGCTCAGCGGCTTGGCTTCTTTCTCCCTGTCCCTCTCCCTCTCCCGCTCCCTCTCTCTTTCTCGCTCCCGTTCCCTTTCGAAGCGCTCAGCGACCTGATCCTGCTTGCTCCGCAGCGGACTGCGACACTTGATGGCCTCGTATAGCTCATCGATGGAGGTGTCCTGGTCGTGCTCATGGTGGTGATGCTCCTGCTCCGCATCCCCGGCGACCCTGTCGCCACTCGTGGCGGCCACAAACTCATCGTCAAACTCGTTCAGGACGTCCACATCGGCGTCGCTGGCATTCGAGGATTGGTAGCAGCGAAAGTCGTCGGTCAGGGTCAAGTTTAGGTCGTTGTCCGCCTGAGGAGCGTACAGGCCGTGGCTGCGAATGCTAATCTCCGAGTTCTGGTAGTTCAGATCGCTCTCATTGGTGGGGCTGCCGGACAGAAGGCGGCCGTCGTCCTCCGTTTCTGTTTCCGTTTCCGCCATCGCCGATGGATGGTGCGTCGACGTCTTTAACGGGCAGAGATTGTTGCTGGAGCAGGAGTAGGCTTGCCGCAGCTGCTGCTCCTCTAGGGTGCTGGCCTCCTGACTGGACTCCTCAGGGACAACCGCATCGTCCAGTTCCGGCGACTTGCCACTGGCTTCTCCGCTGGCTGCGCCGCCTGCCAGCATTTCGCTGATGTTGTTCAGGGACTTGGACTGCTGCTGCTGGCTGAAGCGGATGAGGACACTGGGAAAGTCGTCGTCCAGCTCGATGCTGTTGTTGGTGGTCACCTGCAATGAGTTGGACACGTATATCTCGTGCACCTGAAGCAACGGCTCCTCGAGGCTGACTTCCGGCAAGCCCAGGCTGTTCATGGCCTCCAGGCTGGGCTGCTTCACGGGCGTGGAACTGATGGGTTGCTGGTGGGTGGACGTTGGGCCTCGGCTGCGGAACAGGCTGCTCATTCCGCTGGCCGGCGGCAAGGTGTTGGCATACAGTGGAGCGTGCTCGTCCAGGGAGCTGGCATCCTCCTCTTCCATCTCCTGCTCTGGCTCCTCGGCCGTGGCTGCAGCTGCCGCCTGTTCCTGCTCCTCCTCCTCCTCCTCGTCGTCGTCATCCTGCTCGTGCAGCGTTTCGTCGAGCAGCGAAGGCGTCCTGGTGCGTCCATTCGCCCTCAGCTTGATCACCTCGTGCTGCGGCGTCAGCGTCTCCGGGATGTTGGTGTAAATGTTCGCCTGCATGATCTTCGTGGCCGACGAGGCACTGGCGGGGACAAAGCGCTTAAACTGCAGCGATTCGGCGCCGCTCTCCTTGGGCGTCATCGCCGTCGGCGATCCATGGTTCTTGTAGTGGAGATTGGTGTTGTTCACCTTACTGCCACCGGCCAGCAGGGTCATGGCGTTGTGGTGCCTGCTGTACAGCTGCTCCGAGCTGGCGTCGCTCAGGCTGTGCTGGCTGTGGAGCTGCATTTGCATCTGCATCTGGAGCTGCATCTGCGGCATCGTCTGGCGCTGCAGCTCGAAGTTGTTGCGCTTGGCCAAGCGCTTCTGCTTCTTAAAGAACTTGCGCGCCACGTTGATTTGGTTGGGGTTGTAGAAAATCTCCGCCGAGGGTATTAGGTCGTGGCTGGAGCCATGGAGCAGCGCGTTCAGGCTGTGCGGCGGCACCACGCTGCCCGAGCCGGATGCTGTGGCAGGTGCTGCTGCTGCTGCGACTCCGCCCTGCGCTCCCTGCTGGCCGCCGTGGGCGCTGGTGTTGTTGATGATGGTCATGCCGCCCGCACCGTTGGCCTGCAGCAGCTGCTCCTGCTGGCTCCTCGTCTGGCTGCGGGCCTGGCTGCGCATGCTCCGCGAGCACTGACTGTTCGAGCGCGAGCCCGCCGAGTTATTGGCCTCGTAGAGGCTCCCGGGTCCGGGATTCGCCTTGTAGGCCACTATCGAGTTACTGATCATGGCTGTGCCGGGTCCGGGATGGCTGCTCCTTGCCTGGCTGCCATTGTTGTAGGTCACCAGTTTAATGGGCCTGCAGCTGGCGCCGCTCCGGCCGTCTCTGCCCTGCGACCAGGCCTGTCGGGCATCGTTCCGGCTGAGGTTGTAGAAGATCAGCAGGAAAATGCCCAGGCAGGAGCAGCAGCCGGCGAAGGAGATCACGTACAGGTCCTGGCCACTGCTGACGTAGCCGGCGGCCGATAGCCAGGCGCCGGCGTACAGCACCAGGAAGATGAAGTGGCCGCGCAAGTGGGAGAGATTTGAGCGCTCGAAGTCGTCCACTATGCTGCTCAGCGGATTGCTCAGCGTGCTATACTGCTCTTGCATGTGATCGTGCTCCTTGCGGCCGCCGGGATGGCCAATGGCCGCCGTCGTGGCACTGCCATTCGCGTCCAGCCAGTCCAAATCGATGTGCTCCGTGGCCTGCGTATTGTTGTCCGAGTACTGACGATGATGATGGTGCTGCTGGTGCTGCTGCAGTTGGAGCACGTTCACCGCCTGCTGGCTCAGCTGGTAGTAGATGCATAGGGCCAGGATGCCGCAGAAGATCACGAGGATGACGGCCGGGACGAGGAGGGCGTTCAGCGTGGTGGCGCTGTGCAGGAAGCAGAAGTCGTAGGCGGCGTACTCGGCCAGGTTCACGGCGCTGCTGATGCCGCAGATCAGGAAGGCGATACCCCAGCCGACCAGGTAAATGCCAAGGATGGGCTTTCGCTCCCTCTCCCGCTGGGGCTCCAGCTCCTGGCCCTGTCCCTGGCCCGATGCCGTCGTCGTCGTCGTCTTGGTCAGCCGTTTATACATGCTACTGAGGCTGACGCACACCCAGAGCAGGACGCACAAGCCGAGGTAGTGCATCAGTAGGCCCAGCAGGCGGCACTGCGGCTGGCTGGCCGTCTGGTAGATGCCCAGCGAGAAGGCGAGCGCCAGAGCTCCCAGGGCCAGCCAGGTGTTGACCAGCGCATGCCGCTGCACCCTGTTGATCCTCACCGCCCGGCCAAAGACGGCGAAGGTGACCGCGTTGAAGGCGCAGCACGCGAAGAGCAGGCCACAGCCGGCATAGACGGCCGCCGGCGGGTGGCGGAACCTGGCGCCCGCCTCCTCGCTGCGAAAATCGTTGAGATAGCGGCTCCGCTGCAGCAGGCCGAAGTAGCCTGTCCGGCTGCAGCTGAACATGACGAGCGTGCGGTGCTGGTAGTGCTGCTGGCAAACGCCCGACTCCCAGCGCTGCTCTTCCGCATCCCACCACGCCGGCTGCGGGGCACTCAGCTGGTTGTGGTACGGATGCGCCCGCAGCATCACCGTGACCCGCTGCTGGTACACATCCTCCTCCGGGTCCAGGTCGCCAACTGACCGCAAGTGCAGCGGTTCTCCCTCGCTGCTGTAGGCCAGCACGCCGATCACAGCCGACGACAGGGACTCGTTGTGGCTGCCCCTCAGGTTGGGCAGGAGCTTTCCGTTCCTGTGCAGCGAGATGAGCAGGCGAAGGCTTCGTGAGGCACTGAGGGAGCTGTTGCCGATGACGCTGTAGGGCAGCTGGATGGCGGCGTCGACGTCGCCGTGCTCGTACATGGGTATCGTGTCGTTGGCGCTGTTGCACTGGAAGCCCCGCGGACTCTGCTCCAGCCAGACGCAGGACAGGCTCACGAAGGCCTCCACGCTGATGTTGAAGAACTCGACGAAGAGATTGCGCTGCTGGGCGAGGGAGCCCCGCCACGGGACCAATTCTGCCGGAAGCAGCTCCGCCTGGGTGCTGGCCAGGGCCAGGCGCATGGCGGAGGATTCCACCACGTGGAGCAGCCGCTGGCCCGTGCCCTGCTCCGACTGGGCGGCGCTGAAGAGGTGATACGGAAGGTTGAGCAGCTGCGAAACGATGTCCATCAGCAGGTGGCTGATCTCGTGCTGCTGCTGCGGCTGCTCCAGCTGGTCCAGGTACTTGACCAGCGTGCGGGCAATGTACTCCAGATCCATGGGGTCCCGGATGCGGTTCAGCTGCGTCTGCGCCTGCGTAAAGTTGTGCAGGCGGCGGGCTATCTCCAGGGCATTCTGGCCCTTGGTCAGCGTGAGATTCACCTTGGCGAACTGCTCCAGGATGCGCGTCGTCTCGCTGACATACACGCAGCTCTCGGTGTCTAGATTGAGCCAGTCCCCCGACGGCCCGCACTCGTGGGACGCTCGCCGGGCCTGGGTGGCGTCGCTGGGCTCCTCCACGCACTCCTGCAGCACCGTTTCGCCGCGCATCGTCCGCGGCCAGTGGTAGGTGCCCTTGTTGGTGTGCACCACCCGCGCCTCGCAGTACAGCGTCCCCTTGGCCACCACATGCAGGACGATGGCCTGCGAGAGGTTCGCCTGCTGGCTGCGCAGCGTGCAGTCCCACATGCCCGTATGGTTCTGCGTCAGGCTGCCGATGCGCAGGATCGACTGCAGGATGCCCGAGTCCGTGGAGTGGCGCGTCTCCAGGCTAACGTCCTCGAACACCTTGCTGGGATCCTGGTACACAATGTCCTCGGTGGAGTTCCTGGCCCGAATCTTCTCGGACCAGCCCCAGAAGACATAGGCCCGTGTGGGCAGGTCCTCGCTCTCCCGCGGCACTCCGATGGCCACCCGCGGCGCATAGCACTTCAGCTGCAGCTCGTCGCCCTCGAAAGCCACCTGGTTCTGGCTGGGTATCAGCTCCAGCAGTGGCTGCAGCAGAGTCTCGCAGTGGAAGTCCTTGCCCACGCGCAGCTTCTTCAGCGGCATCCCGCGAAAGTTGACCGGTGAATCGCACTTGGGGGGCGGCTGTAGGCGCACATCCCGGCCGCTCGACCAGGCAATCAGCCAGATTAGGCCGCAGTCGCAGGCCAGCGGATTTCCGCTCAGATCGCTGCAAAGGAAAGCGGAAGAAAGGACCGTGATATCTGCGAACCTGCACTCGGCAAAGGCAAAAGCAGACAACTTACAGCTGCTTAAGCTTGGGCATTTGATCGAAGGTGCCCTCGTATATGTGGCTGATGGCGTTCCCCGCCAGCTTCAGCTTCTCCACATGGGCCAGGCTGTCGCCGAAGGTCTCCCGGTCCAGCTCGGTTAGCAGATTGAAGGAGAGATCCAAGCGTTTCAGCTCCGTAAAGTTCCTAAAGTCCTCGACGCCTATGTGCGCAATGGCGTTCTTGCTGGCGTTGCTAAAAACACAAACACACGACGATTTGATTGATGGTCTTGTTGGGGATTCAACCGGGAGAGGGGGCACACTTACATTCCCACAATGCTGCTGGCGACATCCTCGCCAAAGTCCAGTTCCCGCCAGCTGGCTATCTGCTGCTCGTCGCAGCGCACACGCAGGCTGTGTATGTTCTCCGAGATGTTCCTGCAGCTACACTTGCGCGGGCATCCGGCGGCTGAGGACGCTGAGATTCCACTTTCCGGAACTTGGCCATCCGGATTCTGCACCTGACCCGCTGCTGCTGCTGCTGCTGCTGCGGCTGCTCCGTCTCCTGCTCCACCAGTCTCTGTCGCCGTCGAAGTCAGCGCAAGGAGCAAAAGCAGCGACAGCGACGCCAGCAGAGGGGGGCGGGTGCTGCTGCTGCTACGATCTCCACGCCCCGCGTTCTTTTGGCCGTCCATATTCATGGATTCGATTGATTACATGCCGGGCGCGGGTGGCGCGCATTTAATTAACAATTTCCAAACCAATGCATGATAAACAACAACAGAAAACACACACACAGCAAATAGTTTACAACAAAAAAAAGACTGGAGCCAGTGTTGCCCTACTGTTCGAATGTTCTAATTATTTATTTTTTAGAACTAGAGACGGTCGGTGAGCGATAAGTGCGGCTGCAACTGGCGATATCGATACTCGTAGCTTTATCGATATTTATGTTATCATTTTTAAAGATGGCTGGAAACGTTAATTCGTTCACTATTTAACTATTTAACCACAATTGCAAATCACCAAATCACACAATAAAAAATTTATAAAAATCATTTTCAGAAATTTACTTTGATTCTTAATAATTTCGGGGCAAAACTGCCCACATTTCAAAAATATTTTGTGGCGAAATGGCTAAAGTTAGCTTAACGAATTAAATACCACATATTGACACAACATTTGAAAATTTTACTTTTTCATTAAAATATATTTAGAGGTCTACAAGTAATAGGGAATCTTCCGAGTCCCTTAAAAAAATGGTTTTCGGTGAACAGTGACGAACTTAATTATTGGCACAGTTGACATGTCTGACTTTGACACAGTTTTTCTCCCGTAAATATAGCCATATTTAAATGAAACAAATTTTATTTAAATATATTGATAAATTTTATTCTTGTATGATCAAAATTAACCCCTTTTTAATATAAATTAATATTTTGTGGCTAAGCTCTTATTTTTTATGACCGCTTGGGATCAAAGAAACCAAACTTTTTGGTGGTTCCCATTCCCATTTTAAGTCACCCAATTCTCTGTCCAATTCTTCCCAACATTTTTCGATGGGGATTCGATTTGGAGATTGGGGTGGATGCAGAAAAGTATATTTCTCAAGGTTTGCCAGCCCACAAACGCACATAACGAGCCATATTATCGTGGTGGACAGTGAATGTGACTGGCAAATGTTTCATCTTTCCATGTAAATGTTTTGGTAGTAACTTTCATTTTACTCATAACTCTTATTTGCGATCCCTGTTTTGAGTCCCAAAAAGAAAATACCTAGCGAATGCTTATCATTTAAAATAGGTTTATTTTTTGAGCTAACTGGGCGCCTTTTGGCTCCGGGGTTCATGACCCCGCCGATCGCCATTGCCGCCGCCGCACAACCAACGTAATTATGCAAAAAAAAAAAAGAAAGAGAAAAAACACAAACAAGGAAAAAGAGAAGCACACTAACAAAGATTGAGATTGCGGAAAACAGGTTTGCATCTTTAGAACCTAGAGCTATTTTTGAATGCTGCCTAAACGATCAGTGAGAGGGGGCGAGGGCTCCTACGCCAGCTTGCCGTTGTGTGCCGTCCGGTACCTGGACAGCTTGTCCATGTACTCGTCGTGCCGCTCAAGCGTCGCCAGCAGTCCCTCCGTGTTCACCGGCGACTCCTCCGGCCCGTAATCGATCAACTGGTCAGTCAGCGTGGTCATGGTGCCGCCCAGGGCGTGCAGAATGGCATCGCCGGCGCAAATGTCCCACTTTTTGATTTTGGAGGTGTGCAGGTAGGCGGTGGCATTGTTGGCCACCACCTGGAGCACCTTGTAGCCGGCACCCGCCGCCGTCAGCAGGCTAACATCCTCCCCGAAAATGCCCCGCGCCAGATCCTTGGCCCCGGCGGTGTGGGATCGGGACACCGTGATGATGGGCGCCTGGCTGTCCGACGCGTGCTGCGGATGCAGATTGGCCAGGTACTCAGACATGGAGTTGCCAACCCAGGCCCAAGCCGTCTGTCCGTTGAAGGGACTGTGGATCACACCGATGATGGGTCTCCCAGCCACCGCCACGCAGACCATAGTCGTCACGTACTCGTACAGCTCCTCTGCGAGTTGCATCACAAAAAAAGGTCTTTTTCAAATATGAACATTCAAAGGCAAGAGCCTGTATGCTCACCTGTGAACTCCTTGGTGGCGTCCAGCGGATCCACCCAGACGGTTACATCCTGGGCATTGACGCTCACATCCGGCACTTGGGCGGTCTCGTGCAGCACCGTGGGATCCAGGTCGTAGCCGTGCGACTGCCGACAGTGCTCCTTGTCCTCCTCCGAGAAGATGCGGACTCGCGGGAAAATGCGCTGCAGACCCAGCTTCATCACGCAGTGCGACCGACCATCTGCATCGGTGAATGGATCGTTGACGCCCTCGTCTGTCTTGCCTTTGCTACGCTCCTTCAGTTGCCGGGATCGCGCCACGTCCAGCACCTCCAGACCGCCGCGCTGCGCCGCCTGGATGGCAGCGATCAGCATCTTGCGGAGATTGACGCGATTGGGATTGTCGCTGCGCAGCATGCCATAGATGGCCGGCCGCTCCTCTTGGTGGAAATTGAGGAAGTAGACCAGCACGATGGTCAGCAGAATGGCCACAATGGTGGCCGGCAGCCGGTTGATGCGTATAGAGCGTCCGTTCATCGTTTCCGCGCTCATGGGAAACTAGATTGCGGCGGGCCTGGGAAAGGGTCAGAGCGCCTCGTTTCGCCTCGTTGTCAGTTTGCCAGGTCACCAGATCAGATCGGATTCTGATCGCAGACCGCTAGATCCAGATCCAGATGCTGTGTAAGCAGCGGGCTGGCGGCGAACAGAAGAGCCAGAACAGTGTACACTGTACAGGTAAGCTGTGAAAACACCTGGAGCAAACTGGTAGTGGTGTGCTGACGGGGGTCAGGCGGGGAGAGAGCTTCGGTCTCTTCTGATCTCCGTTCTGTTCTCCCTCTCTGTCTCGTCCACGTCGTGCGTTTTGGGCACCAACAAAAAAGAATTGAACCAAGAGCGGGGCAGTAAACAATAACAAACGGTTCGGGTCTGAGCTAAAGTCGCCGGTGTGACCGAAACATAGATAAATAAATTCGCAAATTAAAACGGTCGGTAATACTGTAACCGATTTCTGAGAAAGCAGTTCTAGGGGTTTTTGCGCCTTTTCTTGGATTTTTAGCATTATCAGTCGATCACGCCGGCGGTCACACTGTCTTTTTTCTAAATGGAAAGCGCTCAAGGCGCTAATTGGAAAAACATTCGACTAGTGAATTGGTCAAATTGGAATGGAAATATTTTGCCACGCCCACCCTCCGGGATTGGTGGTATTTATTATTTATTATGAAAATGGAATTAATAATGACATCAATCGTCCATGTCTTTATTACATTTTCTTATAAAATATTTTTAATTTTATTATAGGTACATTTTTATTTTATTTTATATTTCAGCTCCAATAAAAGTGTTCTCGGCAATAAGAAGAAATACCGTCAAGAATTTAGACCCATTTTTCTTCGTTTTTCCAGCTATTTTCTGAACCACAAATTGAGATTAGTGTGACCAGTAAGGAAATATAAAAAAATGTTTTTAAAAATATCGATATTCGATATTTTGAGGTTTCAACTCCCTGCGGTCAGTCTAATCTGAAATTAAAAGCTACGATAACAATTACTCGAATTTTTTTGCGTCGCTCCGGCCGCGTGTGGCGAATTAAAACCCGAAAAATTCAACAGCTTTTTCTTGTTTTTTTTCTGTTTGTACACCTGTACTTAATTTTTCGTGGTTCTGCTATTGGGATTGAAATATAGTTAACACACACACACACAGCAAAAGAAACGACAGCCACAACAACAACAACAAGAAAGTGCGTGCGCGTGCAGAAAAAAGAAGAAATTGTGGGCGAATCAACAAGCAAAAGAGAATGAGCGATGATGAGGAGAAGAGGCAAAAGCAGAGGCAGTTGTCGTAGCACTAGTACAAAAAAGAAACCGCGAAAACTGCTTGTGAAGTGACAACAACAATCATAATAATAATAATAACAACAACAATCCGTACCAACCAAAAAAGAAACGTAAATAAATAATAACACAAAAAATTAACTTCAAAAGTCGTGAATTCATCGTACAGTACATCCACATAAGCACTGACACAAACACACTCAATGCAAACACACACGTACATAGACGCGCTGCACATGTGTGAGCTTGTCTAGTGGTGTGAGCGAGCGCTCTGTGTTTGCTGCTGTGCGTTATTTATTTTATTTTTCGTTAATCATTTTTCGCATTTAGCGAATAAGGTGGAAAAGCGACAATAAAACTACAATATAAATACAACGGAAAAGCAGAGCACACATCAGAACAGAGAAAGCAGCGCCAAGCAGTTTGCACCACTTGGAAGAGGTATTTATGTTTGTTTTTTTTTTCGTTTGCTTTCAATCCATTCCAATTCCCCATTTTGTCCACTAAGAGCAGAAATATTCTTATTAGATCAGCCCGCAGCAGCGACTTCTTTTTCGTCTGTTTTGCTACTTCTGTTGCTTCTCACTCGATTCGCCGTTATTTATGTAACAAGTGTGTGCGTGCTAAATGAAGTGCTCTCGCTCGCTCATTTGCTCTCTTTCCACTGCCGCTGCCTCCCCTGCCCCTTCCCCCCTCTTCTCTCTTTCGTTCGCTGTATTTGATGATTTGATTTTGTTCACTTAGTAAAGTTGCTTTTTTTATTGTTGTCCGCTGTAAATGTGGCTGCCATCAAAAAAAAAAAAAAGAAATAAAAATAATAAAAGCTCCACCGCAAAGCGCATTGAACTGGTTTATGTTGTGCTCGCTTCTTTTCTGCTCCGCTCTTTTTCTCCTCTCCTCTTCTGTCTCTTTTTTGTACCTGTCTCGCTCTTACGCTTGGTTATCAACATTGACAATGATGCCAGAAGAAGAAACATCGACAAAAGCAGCGGCGTGGCAGCGCAGCAGCAGAGCGAAATTTGCGGATCTTTTAAGCCGAACTTCTCATTCTTTGGGATGGGATTTCTCTTCTGCACTCCACACTCTTCGCTCCCCGTTTCTGTCACCACTTTTATCCATCCATTCAACTACAGTGGTTACTCTGAAATATACTGTCAATATCTTTTGTGTTATAATATTATTGTAATAACTAATACCAAAGAATAATTTAAAAATAAAGTCTAGTTCTACATATTTATTTATGTTTATTTTTTTTATCTCACAATGTTGATTAAATTATAAATTAATTTTATCGTATAGTTATATTTACACGAATACTTATGTTTTTCTTATAAAATAAATTATGTTGTTCTTCTTTATTCATAATTTTACAGTAAAAAATTAGGAAAACATAATGCCTTTTAATACGCGTAGGAAGTTTCACATTGAGAAGTTCCACGTTTTGGTTAATTACATTGAAAATGGTTCAGATAAGAAAGAACCTTTTGGGATTAAAATCCTAAAATGGAAAAGTACAACCAGGATCGTAATTTTGGTTTGTTTTTAAACTACATATATGTATGTATATTGAAAATAGTTTCTTTAGCAAAGTTTTTCCTCAGTCAAAAACATGCACTACGGCTCATAATGCAGCCCACTGATGCCTATAATTAATCCGACTTGGCACGAAATACATACATTTGCACATACATACATATGTATGTATGTATGTACATATGAGCAGAGCCGACTCTCTTTCTCTGCCAGACCTAATTTTTCCAATTTTGCCTAAACAAGTTAAGACCAAACTACATTTTAATTTCTATTATAAAGGGTCCGGTATGATATTGTACCAAAAGAATGCTATTTTTAAATTTGAAACATCTAGAGAAAACTCATTTTGAACAATGACAAATTGTTTATGTTTCATTTTTCTGATCATGATTCACTCGTCTTTCCAGAGTGACCTATTTATCTTTAGCAATAATTTAATAAGTTAAGGACTAGTACACAGCAATGCTAAAATAGTAGCCAGTATGAAGTATGATTTCCTAAGATCCCAAAATATTGGCTACTTCTTTATTTGGCACCGATTTGTATAGAAAGCAGAGAAATTTTTTTTTTTGTCATCTCGGTTGCTACATTTTAGATCTGCTACTAATATAGTTATTGAATAGTGTATAGATCCTTGTCTAATATCACTTGCTTTTTACACCGACTTTAAATTTAAATTTCATATTATCATATTGTTTTTGTATTACTTAAGTGCATTTAAGAGTGTTATTTGTTTCAATTTTATATCTACAGAGTGATCTTGACAAAAAGAAATTTACATTTCCAGTGTGAATTTCCCATTTTAATTCCCATGTTCTTGATAGTTCAAATGTCCTTTGAATTCTCCCCCTTGCCCTTATTCGAACCTTTCACCTATTGCAAAAGGTCCGTATGGATTTAATTGCTATAATTATTTATGAGTTCGACCGATCGGATTTGGCCTTAATTGGAAACGATTTAACGGTAATTTATTTACAATGCAATTTCAGCCATCCCTGTTTTGTCCCGCCTGTCCTAATTTTTTTGATTTGGGTTCGGCTGCTTTTATTCTATTTGCTCGTGTAATTAGTGAACGGAAATTGTTTTTTGCGTCTCATGTGTGTGTGTGTGAAGGTCAATGGGGCAACTCGTTATCGTTTTACAGCCACTCCTCCCTCCGCAAAGGCTTACCTGAGTCAGAGCAACAACCAACAAAAAAAAAATTTACAAAAAATATTCAAATTATTTCCGATCAGTAAATCCTCTTTCCATCATCATATTCTCCACACTGTAAACAAACCGAAAGAGAAACAAACAAGAGTTTGTGCTGCATATATCATTATCGGAATTCTGAAAATGACAACAAAAATTTTCCAAAAATTCTTCTCTTATCAGCAGCAAGTGAAACGCACTTGTTTTTGGGGTTGGTTTTGTATGTCGTTTATCTGTTATTGTGATTTTATTTTGAATGAAATTTCGCTTTATTAAGAATATGCATATAATGATGTGCAATTTTTTATATATTTTTTGTTTTGTTGGAGGATGTTGGGTATTTCCTATGATTGTGATTCTTGGTGGAATGAGTCAGAAGAGACCCAGGGTCCAGATAGTGTTAATCTTTCAGTTAGCAAGAGGCTCTCGGTAGAAATAAGCAGCAAGAACACTTTGTCAAATCTGCTGACTACTTGCTAATTTATATTTTTAGGGATACAGCTTATAGTTTAAGTACCGTGGTTTTTAATGTATAAAATATAAGAGAACAACACCATTCAGGCCTGTTTTAGATTCCACACGGAAGTGAATTTCATAACATTGGCGGATTTCCCTTTTTGATTTAAGGAAATTTTGGTAAATTTCCCTTAAATTCTCAAATATTTTCAGCCCCTCTCACGAATGGGTTTGCTTTGTCTGAGATTTTCTAATAAAGGGCTGATTAAATTTTGGCCCGCTGTAGTCTTCAAATCATGTATGGTAATGGATCACAGCTATACAGCTGCAAATAAGCATTTTTGAAATATTTTAAATTGCAATCAGCTGTTCTGGTGGTAAAATGCTGGAGAGTAGAGTTGCCGAGGTTGTAGAAAAAGTTCCCTTCGCATAACATTAGTTCAGTTAGTAGATTAATTTGCCTGGTATTAGCTAATTCAGTTATTCAATAATGTTCCGAAAACATCAAAGAATAAAAATTGAAATTAATTTCTGGAATCCGCCAGGCAAAAGTCGAAAAGTTTCCGAGCGGTTTAGGTCTTAAGTTAACAGAGGCTTAACAGAGGGAAATACGAATTCATTGGGATTTTTTTTATGTGAAAATTATAACAGGTCAGGGAAATCCGAATCCAAGTAGATTTTGTGGAAATGGAAATTAGAACAGGCCTGATAATTATTTTATAAAAAAGTTAAAGGCAATAGGGGTAACCCCTATTTCTGTAATCCTAATACTCTTTAGTGATCTATGTTTGGGTGTAAGAGGGAGCTTCAATTGTAAATTGTAGATTGGTGCAATCTTAGTAAAACCATGAACCATGAAATTAATCAAAAAATCCTTTTAAGAATTCAAATTTTAACATGATTTTTGTCGAATATTGTTTAATTTGATTTTCTGATTTGTTGCAGGTTCCGCCCTCCCCCAATTCCATATGCAAAATGTCTAGTCCCGACGATAGAATACCAATACACGGTAAGTGGGAACGAAGGTCCCTGCAATCCAACCCTAGATAAACTGGGCTTTAGTTCAGGGCAGTGCTGGGCGGTTATTATGTTATATCCTCCTCCTCCTCCATTGTTAGATGTTCGTATGTATCCTGCATATATAGCATTGAAAACATTCGAAGTACATAACTCAAAATGTACACAGACCGCGCATAACACACAGACATACACATGCCTAAACAAAAGCTTACACAGCACGTGTGCTTGTGTGTGTGTTTGTTGGCTTCCAAAAATAACTGTAATAAGCACATACACAAAAGCGGGCCATAACTGCGCTGTCAATGATGATGCACACTGGTCCAAAGTTGGCAAAAACAACTTGGAAATTGTAATGGAAATAAGATAAAACTGCCCGCGAAATTAAAGTCTCTATTGATTAAATTCTTTCTGTATCGCCCTGTGCAAACAACAATTTTGGAACGCAAAGCATAAGTCTATTGAAACCATCTATAATGCTATTAAAAATAGATTATAAAAAACTAAATTAGTATTTTTAAATTTTAGTATATCATATTTTGAACTGTCAATTATAAACAAAACACGACTTCCATTAGAAAGCTGAACTTGCTAAACTTGCTGAACTTTGTACTTACTTTCAAATGGCACGCTTAGCTGCTCTAGCCAAATCTGCTTGGAGCATGGAGTATAGTTATTACTGTCTTTATGCCTTACGATTTTGTTGATTTAATCTATTCTGTCTATGGCCATTTAAGCAAATGTTCAAGCCCCTATATAGGCCGAAGTCGATGTCAAATTGACAGAATAGCGTGGAGCACAATGGTTGAAACTATTCCCTAAGTAACTAACTCCAGTTGCGATTGTTTTATGTGACAGATGTTGTTCTGTAGTGATAAAGAATACTACGAATTTTACTGTTTTTCTTTCGCACCATTTTTGCGGCTGTCAATCAAATCAATTAAATATTAGTACAGCTTGGACCACTGTGCGTTTGTTGCTCCTGTTTGGTGGTGTAGACTGGGACAGTGCTGCCTACTAACTTTTTGTCCCGGGCTGGCCGAGAACAACAACAAGAACATTGTCCATGGTCGGGTCGTCAACGTCTCTTTCGTCTTCTTCGTGGCACGCAGATAGATATAGATATATCTAGATGGGCAGGGGGAAAAATGGGAGGCTTCTTGGCTGAGGTGGTTTGTCGTCTTCATATTGGCCAGTGCTGCCCTGGTTTTCTCTCCTAGAAATTAAGCTAACCAACAAACAAAAAACGTTTAAGTCAGGGATAGATATTTAGTGGTTTTTCTAGCCTGCAAAGGGTTTCAGTTACTTGTTATTAAGTGGGAAAAATATTTGCCGCGAAGTAGGCTTCTAAAATTAAATATAAAGCAATAAAAATATATATATATAATATTAGGCATGACATTTCTTAAAGTTATTCGCTTATTTACAGAAATTGGTTATTGTGTAGACAAGTAGCCTTTTTTTTTGTAAAACATGTTTTATTCGTTCTAAAGCTCAAATACAATTTTTAATTTAAAATGGCTGTAAGTTAAAGTTACGATATAAATTGACTTTAAACAGAAAATATGTATATATGTATGTACATTTTTTGGAAAGCTTTATCTTTTACTTATCAAGCCAGATTTGCCGAAAAACTAGCTCAGCTGACAGCACTGGTTCCCTGAGCGCTTTTTCTTTTGGCCATCCATCGAAACCACTGCCAATGCCAAGCACGTGGATGGATGGGTGGGATTTTGGGGGTGGGAGATGGTTTGGAGCCCCGTAATCTTCGCTTCGTGCTCAGCGCTCTTCCCGTTCCCTCTGAGCTCGCTTTCGCTCTCTCTTTCTGTGTCTGTTTGCAGCCAAAAAGAAAAACATTCGCTTATCGATTTTCGTCTATTTTTAGACACAAAGCAACAGCAACAAAATTTACTTGCCTTTCAAATGAGTGGTGTAAATGTGTATGAGTGTGTGTGTGTACTGGGTGTGTGTAATGTAAAGGCAATGTTGACTGACGGCCGGACCCGGAGACCCGGGCCAGAGCTTCTTGGCTCTTTTTTGGGCCACGTGCAATCCGCAGACGCGTCCGGAGGTCCCGGAAAAACCGAGGCTCTCCTCCATCTTACCACGGACAATGCCCAAGCCTAATTGTTTGAGCTTGCGGAGCCTCAAAAATACTCGTTTGGCGCCATGTAATAATAATAAAATTCTCTTCCCATCGATATCCTTATTTATAATATACCACTTGTATGGCACTCATGTAAGACATAAAAAATATTACAAAAACTCCATTGAAGAGTTATGCACTTTGAAGTTGTCTTAGAATATGGTTTAACAATTCTTATACAGTAATCAAAAATCGTACAAAAACTTATCTTTCTGAATAAAGCTTGTATCTTCAATGTAAAGGAAAGTTATTTTGTATTCAATTATTCAATAATTAATTAGACTATTATATTGCTAAAGATATTCAATTAAAAAATTGTACTTTTCCATTATTATTCAAAACTTCTCAATGAGTCAATTATTGTTGAACTAGAACTGTAATTAAAACTTTGGTTGCAAATTTTAAATGGTCAATTGACAACGGTCTTTTTGAATGACTGACAACAACAAAACTCATTAAAAACGCAAGCAAACTTTAGCTTGCATCAACGATTTGCTAATGAAAACTATTTACAAAGTCTCCTTAACAACTTTTAATTGTTAAATTGTTTGCATTGCCGAACAATGTGCAAAAGTTTCCTCTTCTCCCTTAAAACACTCAAACTTGTAATCAAGCATTTTGTGAATTGATATATTGGGAGTGATCGTAGTTATCGGCAGTTTTGCCATAAAATTGCCTTTTAAAATTGAATATTTTCATTATGTGTTGCTACCAGCATTCCTTTTTGGAAGAAATATTTATATATAGAAATTAATTGCTGCATACATCCCCTCCCCATTCGTAGTTGAGTGAAATTGATTGTCTAAGACGCAATAAGTGAAAAGTTTTTTCCCTGGTTTGTTGCTACTTTTGTGTTTTCATTGTGAAACACGCAGCACCTGCAAGAAGAAGGTCGACTGACTGAGTCCCCTTAGCCTTAGCCTGCCTATCCCCTCTCCCCCTCCATTAGGCCATTATGCCCCCTGTAGTCGCCGCCCCTGCGATTTCTCCGGTGCCAGTGGAGCATTTATTGTAATGGCATTCCAAGAATAAAACTTGGCTCGGTGTTGGTTGGTTCGGTTTGGTTGTGTGTTGTGTTTCGTTTGTGCTGTTATATAAAATCGTTAGGGCTTTATGTATGTATGTATGAAATTTACCCGTGTAGAGCCCCCAAAACCCACCTAAGAACCCCACAACACACCACTGTCTTCGTGGGGGTAATCATATCGAGAGCGGCATCGCCGCCGCTGTGTTTATTTATTCATTTCATTTACTTACAGTGCCAGCTCAAAAAAAAACATATAGAACCCATTGCAATTAATTAAAATTAATACATACATATTGTGTACTTTAATGTTTTTTATTTAAGCTATTTTAACAAATTAAACCAATCGAATTAGTCAGGAAAAGTTTAGTCAGCATATTAACTTATTTCCTAAAATGTGTCCAGCTTGGTCTTTGACACAAGTGCGATGATATTTTAAATGATTGGAAAAACTGTTGTTTTTTAAATCTGGCTTATCAGTTTTGCCATTTTACTAGATTTTATACCCTTATAGGTTTAGTCAGAAGTTTGCAACGCCTGGAAGAAGACACTTCCGACCCTTTAATAAAGTATATATGTACATACATATGTATATTCTTGATTAGCATCAACTGCCGAGTCGATCTAACCATATCCGTCTGTCCAGCCGTCCGTTTTCCAGTTTTGAAGCTGTCTGAATGAAACTTCATATAGTCTTCTCTCAGTGGAACGGGCCGGATCGAAAGCTAATATCATATAGCTTGCCATAGAAATGATCTGCAAAATTTCTAGAAATAGTATAAATTTTTACGTAGATCAAATAACTTCCTTAACAGTCCAGTTTTAAATACATACATATATGTATGTATGTACATATGTATGCAATGTAATAAAGTTACTTTTTTAGCCTAAAACTTTATCAAATGCCACGCCCTTTACCTCATCGCCCATTTTCCGAAACAACAACCATTTAACAAAAAAAACATCAGTTTGCCGGCGCTCTTTTTTGTTTTGGCCTGGCCCAAAAGTTTTGTTTTTGCTGTTGTCGTTTCTATTTTTAGAATGCGCGCGCTGGAAATTTACCCATACAGTACGCGTACAATCGCAGGCAGCGCAGACACATACACATGTACATAGAAACGGTGCTATCACTCAAAACAAACTTATTGAGGAAGGAAACACAGAGGGACGACGAAAGAGAGTGATAGGTAGGAACAGGGTGAGAGAGGAGAAGAAGGAGCGTTTCAAGCTGTTCTCTCGCTCTCTGTTTTTCTGTTTTTGTCGTATCAATTTCCAATTGAATTTCAGTTTCAATTTCAATGACACCAGCGCCCCTCTCATAAAATTTTATAACGTTTTTGTGCTTTTCATGTTCTCTTTCTGTCCTTCCACCTTTTCCTCTCTGCCTTCACACACATACACGTGCTTTTGTTTTTGTTGTGCCATTTGGTTGCTCGGTTTCTATGTCAACACAGAAATTGACCTTGAAGTTGAAAAAGCCAGCAGAAGGAAGGTGGAAAGGGAAACTGTTGGTTAGAAGGAGATAGAATGAGCGGGAAAGAACAGGGGAGCCTGGTTGATACTCATTTCTATACTTCTATTAAAAACCTTGACGCCGAATAACAATGAAAATAACAGCTGATTGCAAGCAACTCTTTCCAATCTCTTTGTGACACCTGCAATTTGAGTGCACTTCAAGAAAGAGAGAGGAAGGGTTTAAGAGCAAAATGGTTTTCTCTTATTTTTTGGCGATCACTTACACTTGCCTCCCGGAAAGTTTAGAATTGTATTCATATATGGAGATCAAAATAAAACTTAAATTTTCTGTTATAAAGTATATAAAAAGAGTAAAAGTTGCAATAAAAATATGTTCTAATTAATAAATTTTTATTTAATTTTGCATTTGATTTGCTATACCTTTTTCGGAAGGGTATCCGAAATTCTACTTCGCCCTACATTTCCCAGTTGCATTTGCATGAAATTTCAATTGGGATTTCGGCTTCACGTCTTAAATTCACACAATACTACGCAATACGCTGGGTAATGATATGAACACATTTTATCTTTTTTCCCTCGCTTAGCCGTTTTCCGTGTTTTTTTTTTTTTGCAATATGCGATGCAATTATGTGTTTCTGTTGCCGCTTTTGTAGCAGTGCGTTGCCACTTCTAAATATACTTCCAAAGCCATGCACGATTTATAAATGCGTCTAAAAATAGAACGACAAAGCAGAGCGGCAAGCAGCGCAGCAGGTCATGGCCTGTTCAGTTAGATATGCACACATGTGCGGGGTTCAGTTATGTACAAAAGAATAATACTTCTATGAATAAATGATGTAAGTAAATAAATTCGACAATTTAATCCAAGTTCCAAGGAATGTCTGTACTTATTATTTCGACCAATCAACTTTCATGCTTTTTGTATAAAATCTATCCTTGTCTTTAAATTTGAAATGAAAAATCCTTTTGACAGTATTTTTTATTATCGACCAGTAGTGTAGTTGGTCCCTTGCATGTTCATTAGTAAAACTAGTAAATTAACTATCCTATAATTTTGACCGTATGTATTTATGTATGTATATGTACATACCTACAGAAATGCTTATATGTACATATGTACATGCTTTTGTGCTTTTATTTTATTGCTGCTTTGGGCTTTGCTCCTTGTTCTATTTTTAGCCTCATAGCCACATGGCCCAATATTCAATTGGAATCAATTCTAGACGAAAAACTCGACTTTGCTGATTAGATCAGCGCGGGACAGAGAGAGGCCACAAGAAATAATATTGAGAGAGAGAGAGAGAGAGCGCGTGAGAGCAAGAGACATCATTACTAATTGGACTTTTTGGTTAGTCATACTGTCGTGTTGTTGTTGCTGTTCTCGTTGCTCTGCATTTTATTGGCGGACAATTATTCCAGGGAAAAATGGGAGAGCAAAGAGAAGGAGAGAGCCTCAAAATATTTATCAATGAAACATTTTTTAACCGATTTTCCGCTAGCCTGTATTATGGCGGAATTTTCATCAACATTTTTCTTTTTGGCAGCAAATCAAATAAATTGAGCGGTGCTAAAATACAAAGCGCGAAAGGGAAGGGACAGCAAGTGAATGAAATATACATAGAGTAAAGAGTAATAAAGTAAGTGACCGAGGGAGAAGAGAAGACAAGTTGATCGGACGTCACGTGCGACAACTGATGAGAAAATCGTTGTAATCGCTGTTGACTTGTACTGCACAAGGTTACTGAAAATATTTAAAACACACAGGCAGGCAGTCTAAAGTAAAAGAATTAACTTGTGTGTCATAATTAAACTTTTTTAATTCTTGACTATTTTTTGATCATATGTACAGTTGCGGCAAAAAAAATAGCACCATGACATATATTTTTCATTATTGATTAATTGTTTTATAACTATTCATATATTTAACTTGTTTAAGGCTTTTATTTTTACTTTAGGCTCTAATTTATCGAAATACACTGCAAGTGTCGTCGATAATAACATGAAATTGAAATATTTACATTAAGAATGTGAACGTTGAACATTTTAGGCGGCAACAAAAATAGCACTATTTCAAAAATAACTTAAGAAAACGAAAAAAAACGAAAAAAATACGGGAAGTTCTGGAATATTTGTATTCATTTGTATTCCTTATCGATATAGTGTATTAATATTTCGTTGTAAAAGCTTTGGCAGCAATGACAGCAACACAACGTCTCGGCATAGAATTGACCAAGTTTTGACACCTTTCCCGTGGAATACTGCTCCATGATTCTTGAATGGTGGCCCAGAGCTCCTGATTAATCCTTGGTTTTGCATTAGAAACATATTTTTTTACATCAGACAAAAGATTCTCTATCGGGTTTAAGTCTGGAGACTGAGCAGGCCAATCCATTAGGTGAAGGGATCTGTCTTGAAACCACTTAGGAGCTTTCTTGCTGGTATGTTTAGGGTCGTTATCCTGTTGGAAGACCCACAACAACGGTATTTCGTATTCTGCATAAGACAGCATCACTGTTAGCAAAATATCGCAATAGACATGTTGATCCATAATACCTTTTATCCAATGTATTGGACCCACTCCGTAATAAGAAAAGCATGCCCAAACATCCTATGGTCGGATGAAAGCAAAATCGTGCTATTTGGAGGAAGAGGATCTCGATCCTATGTACGGCGACCCCCCAATTCGGAATACCGCCCAAGTTTCACCTGCAAGACCATAAAACACGGTGGAACGAGTATCATGGTTTGGGCATGCTTTTCTTATTACGGAGTGGGTCCAATACATTGGATAAAAGGTATTATGGATCAACATGTCTATTGCGATATTTTGCTAACAGTGATGCTGTCTTATGCAGAATACGAAATACCGTTGTTGTGGGTCTTCCAACAGGATAACGACCCTAAACATACCAGCAAGAAAGCTCCTAAGTGGTTTCAAGACAGATCCCTTCACCTAATGGATTGGCCTGCTCAGTCTCCAGACTTAAACCCGATAGAGAATCTTTTGTCTGATGTAAAAAAATATGTTTCCAATGCAAAACCAAGGATTAATCAGGAGCTCTGGGCCACCATTCAAGAATCATGGAGCAGTATTCCACGGGAAAGGTGTCAAAACTTGGTCAATTCTATGCCGAGACGTTGTGTTGCTGTCATTGCTGCCAAAGCTTTTACAACGAAATATTAATACACTATATCGATAAGGAATACAAATGAATACAAATATTCCAGAACTTCCCGTATTTTTTTTCGTTTTTTTTCGTTTTCTTAAGTTATTTTTGAAATAGTGCTATTTTTGTTGCCGCCTAAAATGTTCAACGTTCACATTCTTAATGTAAATATTTCAATTTAATGTTATTATCGACGACACTTGCAGTGTATTTCGATAAATTAGAGCCTAAAGTAAAAATAAAAGCCTTAAACAAGTTAAATATATGAATAGTTATAAAACAAATAATCAATGAAGAAAAATATATGTCATAGTGCTATTTTTTTTGCCGCAGCTGTATGTACATTTAATTTGGCCAATTGGGTTTAAAGAGAATCCAAGCAATTTTATCCTTTTTTAACAGCATACATACACTTAAAAATTACATATATACATATGAATGTATGTGTGTTTTCTCTCAGTGCACATACTCGCACACAAATAACAGACCATTGAGGTCCAACTGTCGACTAAATACGTTTTAGATTTATTTTTAAAAGCGTCTGATAAGCGCGGCCTTATCTACATAATCAGGCAAGTGCGAGAGCGAGAGCCGTGAGCGAGAGAGGTAGAGGTAGCGGTAACGAAGGTGTGTGGCCCGTGTCACACCTCCTCAATGCTCACTCGTGCTCACTCTATAGCCAGTGATGTAATTTAAATCTGACCAAAAAAAAAAGCTGGATTAAAAAAAAAAAAGGCTAAAAAACTGAAATCCAGGTGGAAAAGGCTAACAAAAAAGCTGATATTTGGAAAACGATTTCTTGTTTGTTTTTTAAATTTTAAATATATTATATTAAATTATATTAAAAACAGGGATCGCAAATAAGAGTTATGAGTAAAATACAAATTAAGAAATAACATAAAATATTTTTCAATTATGAAAATAAAAGTTGACGAATAACTTTTATTTTATAAATTGAAAATAAAATGTCTTTTGTTTCTAAGTCCCTTTTGGGGTGGACGACGCCAGGTGCTGACTTTTAATGGGAAGGAATTCCCGCTGCAAGCTGTTTTCACAATTTTCTAGCAATCATACTTTTAAAAAGCATATTTTGACGGGAAAAAAGCGGGAATGATATCACTGTCTATATCTTGATTCCGGTCTACATATACGTATGTATGTGTCTATATAAAAATACATACTGATATATATGTATATAAACATATAATATATGCAGAGATATCCCGCTCTGAAACGATTCAATTTCGCTCGCTCAGTTTTGTGTTTACATTGTCAATTCGCAGATCTGCCATCAGAAGCCGGAAGCGATGAGCGATTGCTGCACATAACGCCGGGCACACTGACATTGGACTTGAAGCCCCATCCAGCGGTGGATATCGATCAGCAGATCATGGAGGTAAGTCTCGAATCCAATCGCGCTGGTGTCCCCCCTTTCCTTCCGTTTTATTTTCTTCTATACGCCTTTGATCCGTGATGAAATACGACAATTATTATTGGGATTGTCATATTCTTTAAGAGATCACATTTTATTAGAATATTACATCAGATGAAAAGAGTAGCATTGGACACAAATGTAGCGACTATTTTGACTTAGTCGATCATATTTTGTAAATCCCTATTATTTACTAAAGAATGATATTTCTAGCAGATATATTACTGGTCCAAAAAACCTTTTGTTTATCTTTAGCTGTTATAGGAACGACGGGTCAATTCAAACAAAATTATTTTCAGATCGATTTTGAACGATATATTTGGGAAATACCCAATATAGTTAATATAAAGAAGTTGCTCGAGAGTGGTAGAAAACCGAAAATCAGGCTTAGGTATCCCATTTCCACTGAAAATTCAAATCTGTCTTACTGTTATACTTATACATCAAATCAAATTAAGATAACCACCAAGTCGCAATCTAAAATTACATTTTTTACAGAAAGTGTAAGGTTTATTAGTTTCCGCTAAACTTTGCGTAAAGTTTAGTTTTTAATGCTCAGCTTCTGCATAATGGGACCACTTTCCTCCACCTCGTTGCAACAGTTTTGGGTCCAGTTCCTCCAGCTGGCTGGCATTTTTTCCCCGATTCTGGTCTGTTTTTGTGGCTGCTGCGACTGCTGCTGATGCTCCGCTGTTGTTTTATTTTTATTGAGCTTTTTGCTTTCCGCTTTATTTATACTTTATTTGCCTGGTTCTTCTGGCTCTTGCTCTAGCCATGTTCTCATGCCCCCTGAACAAGCCCATGCCCATACTCTCCTCCATAGCCGCCTGTGTGCGTCCGATGCCGATGCTGCGGCTCCTCTCGTTGAGAGTCTAAATTTAAACGCGTGTACAACTCAATGATTCTATATTTATTGTTTTCACTACGAAAATATGTATGAGTTTTTGCGCATTTTTTAAATAAAATCCGCTATAAATAGACGGAAACCGAGTCAAGAGAGCTGCACAGTGAGCGAGAAAAGTTTGAGCGGTGGGATGCGAAGGCGCCGCTGCCTATGATGGACATTCTCGAAAGATGATGTTGCAAAAACTATATGAATGATAGTGATATTAATTTAATAATTAATTGTGTACCGGCTTGGAAATTTATTTAAAATGGTAAAAAAAGAAAGGAAAGTAGAAATCGCTGTGGATTTTCAAAGCCATATATTCTGTAAAAATATTACTACAAAAATGTAGGCCTTAGTTACATTCTGTTTTTGAACCCTTTTTATAACATTTGCAGGGCATAAATAAAAAAGGAAATTGAAAAGGGTATACAACCTTCGGCTTCCCAAAGTAGGTTTCCTTTCTTCTGTATAGTTTTAAAGTCATCTCTTAGTTTTCCCTATCTCTTTCTCTTTGAGCCCACTGTAGCTGGGGCATATAATTGCCAGCATGTGCATTTGGCCCACCTGCTTGAGAGACGCCCCCTTTCTCCAACGACGCCCCTGCTCCTTGTGCAACTTTTTGCTCTTGTTCTTCCCCGTATTTCTGGTGCTGCTTGCATTCAATTTATAGTCTCGAGAATTTATTTATGCCTCGATTTTTGGCTGCAGTTTGCCTTCTTATTTTTGTCGACTTTTCCTCTCTTCTCTGCTTCTTCTTCGATTTTTATACCCTTGCAGGGTATTATAATTTCAGTCAGAAGTTTGCAACGCAGTGAAGGAGACGTTTCCGACCCTATAAAGTATATATATTCTTGATCAGCATCAACAGCCGAGTCGATCTAGCCATGTCCGTCTGTCCATCTGTCCGTCTGTCCGTCTGTCCGTCTGTCTGTTTCTACGCAAACTAGTCCCTCAGTTTTAAAGCTATCTGAATGAAACTTTGCATATAGTCTTCTATATACTCTCACTGCTATATATGTCGGAACGGGCCGGATCGGACGACTATATCATATAGCTGTCATACAAATGTTCGATAAATTTTTAGAAAAAAAATTATAACTTGGCTGTTTTTCAATATTTTTGCATCATTTTTGAGATATAGCCATTTTATATTATTACAGAATTTTGGTAAAAATTTTATGAAAATCGGACGACTATATCTTATAGCTGCCATAGGAACGATCGGAAAAAGAATTGGAAAAAAATTATAACTTTGTTGTTTTTCAACATATTCTTATCTACTTTTAGATATAAGCTTCTTTTATTATTTCAGAATTTTGGTAAAAATTTTATGAAAATCGGTCAACTATATCATATAGCTGTCATATAAACGATCTGTAAATGTGGAGAAAATGTAAAGCTGGGAATGTAAAACCTTAACTGTCAAACTGTAAACATAATAAGTAAAAGTAAAATGTAATGAAACTCTGTTTTGTGAGTGTTTTCAGCATTTTAATTTATAATATAAACATCAAAACCAATCTGCAAGGGTATACAAACTTCGGTGTGCCGAAGTTAGCTTCCCTTCTTGTTCTTGGATGCTGTTCGTCGCATTTCGTTTGTTTTGTTTTCGTTTGAAATCTTTATTTTTAGGGTTAAAGAGTGTTTTATATGCGACCCAATGGTCTTCTTGTTCCTCCTATTTTTTGCCGTCGCCCACTGTCCCACCCATCAGCCCGGCGGGCTACACTGAGAGAAATGAATTGAATAATTTAATCTGCTATAAGGTTTTTATAAATAATTGAATAAGATAAACCTGAAGATACTTTCCGGGCTATTTTTATATACATAAATATATATATTTTTATTCTTTAAAAATTTTAAATAATTGTATATCCTTTCTTAATAGCAGTTATATTGGCAGTAGCTTTCTCACTTGTTTTATTCTGTCAGAAAACTGTATACGCAAAGCAAAAGCTATACAGAAATGCGTATGCTCCATTATAATTAAATAAAAAATAAAACTCTTGTTTAAGAAAATGAAGCAGAAAACAATGACTATTATTTTTGTTCTGTGTAGCTTGCCCATTTTCCATTTACATCCCATTTGAGTTGCCTTCGTTTTTCATCATCAACGCGTTTGCCGTTTTTGTTATTTTCAGTTTTTCCTTTGAATTTATTTTTGTTCTTTTATAAACTCTGCGGGTTATATTTTTAAAACACACATACAGAGGCGGCGCACACACTTGGCTGGTTAGGTCACGCATACAATAACAACAATTGCCAATCAGTGAAAATGTTTTATAGAATTCCGCCATCCTTTTTCTTTCAGTATTTTGTGTTCTCTTTTTTTTTTTGTCTTTTCTATTTTCTATTTTATAATTTTTGTTTTTTTTTCTGTATTTTATTTTTGTGGTTTCGTGGCACGAGCAAAATGCAAATTAGCAAACATTGATGGTAGAGTGGGCGGCGGTGGTGGGAGAGAGGGTGGGTTGACAAGATCTTAATGAAGATGATCATTGATCTTTGATCTTCGTCCACAAATTAGGCAAGAATAGCGAATGGCAAAGAATGGAATTTGGTTGGTAGATGAAAAAGACTTTATATACCAGTATAAGTATTATCCATGGATCTTTGATCAGATTTCCTTCCATGTTATGTTGAAAGCTAGGGAATATATATGTACGTTTATTGGCTTTGGTGTTGATGTTTAAGATAAATCTTAAGGTTTTTAGAATATGTGTGTAATGTAAGTTTTATTTGTAAACGTTGTAATATGACAGCAACTGTAAATATCTAAATCTTAGATGAATTTGGGTAAAATTCTTCAAAACTCCTTTAATTATATATCATCTAACATGAGCATTTAATTTTTGTTTCAAGAATATATAATTAGAAAACAAGCGCTAACACGGTCATCAAATAAATTAAGCTGACATCGATTACTGATCGATTCGATGAGCTTATTTTCTTTACAATTTCCGGAAATACATCGCTCGCTCCTCGTCACCATTGGGCAAGGTGGACTGCATTTTTCCGCTATTAATTTCATTTGTTTGTGGCTCACGCCCCCACTCCCTTTTTGTGTATTTTTTACCCGCTCCGCGGCGCACTGCTTCTATTTTTATGGGCGTGCCTGTGTGTTGTCTTCTGCCCCGCTATAATTATAGCGCAGGTATTTATAATTATCACACTTGCCATAGCAACTGGCGAATATATGAATGTATGCTGTGGTGCAAGCTGCAGGGGGTTGTGGGTGTTGCTGGGTGGGACTGGCTGGGGTGGGGTGTGGATTGCAGTTTTCTAGGAATCGGTGCGATGTATGCCATATGGCATAAGGTTCTTTTTACATTGCACTGCGCCAAATTGGCCTTAGTTGAGTAGATCGATATTTAATTTCGTTACAAACGATTACTTCTTTACAAGCAATCGAAACTATCGAAAGTTTCACAGATCATAATATCGATATGATATTGAAATAGAAATCGATCGAAATCGAAAAACGTAGTTTAATGATTTTGTAATTATGTTTTATTTTAATGGAAGGAAAATTTGAGCTTTAGCTTTCGATAATCCACATAAATCTGGACTCGAACAATCAGCTCATTTCGAACCCGTGCAAGATGCGATCGCTGATGAGGTTGAAGATGGATGATTCTCTATCTCACGACGACCGCCCATTTGTCTGCCCAAATCCTCGGCTACTCTCTCGCCAAGTTCTATTTTTCTCCACCTTTCTTCCGCTTTGGTCGCTCTTTCTCAGATTTTCCGCCGCGCCGTCGTAACTGTTTCGAAATTCGTGTTTATATTTGATTTTTTCGCCAGTTGGGCCAGTCGGCCGAGTGAAACTGAAATGAAAGCGCCACATTTCCCCCATTCTCCTCATTTCCCAGCAGCGAACGTCGAGCCCAAAACGGAATAGCGGATAACAAATAGGAAATGGGAAACAAAACAACAACGGACAACTGAAAACCATAACACCATTCAACGAAAACCAAACACGCAGTTTTTCGAAAATTCCACGCGAAAATCCACGAAAGTGTGCCTGCCTGGGCAAGCGTCTATAAAAGAAAATACAAATACCAAAATCACACACGGCAGAAACTAACATCCAGAGAACAAAGAAATCTGAAGCATTGCTGAGCATTGAGTGAAGTGAGTGATGGAACAAAGGAAGTATCTTCAAATCGGATCCTAAAACGACGAAGACAAATCAGAATATAAACAAGTTGTGTGTAAATAATGTAATATATGTAAATATAAATGAGCGTGTGGGGGGTGGTGACACAAACACACACATACAGTCACCTGAGAGGGGAAGGTCATGGGGAAATTCGCGAAGATGACAATTAGAAAATATGAATACGAATAAGAACCAAACCCAGACCAGACAATAATATTAAATTAAAGTATTTAATTTATTGTCAATTGCCGCCAGATTCTGTGTTTATTTGTATGCATAATATATATAAGTTATACATTATTGGGGAAATTCGATTACTCAAAAATTACATTCAATTTGAACTGAAAGATCAAGTCAAACAAAATCTTGTGCGTAGATTCTGATTCTACTACAGATTCTACCAACTAATTCGATCTCTGCTTTCATATATAAAAGATAATCTTAGTTTTGAAATGTATCAGCGTGATAGCAACATTCTTGTACCGCCTCATTAATGAAATCTTGAAAATGTAGTTACATTATATAAAATTTGTTATTCTCGCTTAAGAGGAGGTAGCTCTGATTATATACCTACAGTATAAACAGGGCAATCTCAGACACTATAAGATCTAGAGGTACCAATTTTGGGATAGACATACTTTAAGGTTAAATGATATCAAGATTGTTTTTATATGCTGCAATATAGAAATAACAACAGCAAAATGGTGACCATTGGAGTTATTACCCTAACCACAATTATTCGACACCCAGAAAATTTTAGTTTCGTCACTTTTAGGAAAACCGGAAGGCATATTACAACAAAATCAAATAGGCAAATTTGAATTACATTTATAAATCCTGCTTAACATCTGATTTTTTTATTTTAGATTTTGAGTAGCTCTAAAAATCTTAAAAGCCTATCTTTTAGGCATTGAATTCACTAAATGTTTGGGTAACAATTGTTGTAAAGGAAACTTGTACCCCAACACTTCACTTTTGAGGCTTTCGACCTTCTCAAATTTCTTGTTTTGGCCTAAATTCGTCTGACTTAAACCCCCAACATTTTTCAATTAAATTTAGGTCAGCTGAGTAAGCTGACCAATTCAAAACACTTAAATGGTGATCATTTTTGAAGCGCTGGGTCTTTTTAACATGGTGAATATGTTTATTATCTTAAATAAAAACAAGATCTCTTGCCATATTTTGTTCAAAAAATGTTTAAATATGATCCTGCAATACTTTTTTTAATTCTCCACTGTTCATCTTGATGCGGTGATGCGTTCCAGAAGCATGAAGAGCTCTCCCCAAAACATTGCTACAGTTTTAGGCATGCCAAAAAACAGGCTTTTGTGCTTTTTGTTAACGCTACTTAAAAACGCGAGATCCCATCTGAGATAAGAAAATCAGATTTTAAACAGAATTCATTAAGCTTTAGTTCTGCATACTTGATTTTGTTGTAATATGCTTCCCGACTTTCCTACGAGGGTCGAAAGTACAGTTTTCGGGATGTCGTTTTAATTCTGGGCAGGTGTGTTTGTGGAATATTATTCCAAGTTTATACAACTTAATTTAAACTTCAACTCAAGGGGGTTCCCAGTTTTGTACTATTGAATTCGTTCGTTCGTTTGTTGGATAATGGAAATTGATAACCGATAAGTTTTACTTATTGCGAGCTACAAGTGCTTCTATTTCTATTCATTTCACCCAAATTAATTTATTTCTAACCAATTTTTCCGGTTATTTGCAGCTCAAGAAGAGCCAGGAGCTTCAGAAGCAGCGGCTTTTCCACACTTTTCAGGAGCAATCGAAACAGATGGAACTGGAGCACAAACTCCAGCTGGAGCACAAGTATCAAGTGAGTAGAGGACACAGGCCGGGCCTCTTGTACATATTTTAGGTTCTGGTTGTTGTTGCTGCTTTTAAAACTCTTTCAACAATAATAATAATAATGACGGCGAGACGACGATGTGTTTGACGGCTGTGTGTGGGCAGACAGAAATCGAAATCGAAAATAAAAACAAACCGAACACACAGCCAAGAAGTAAAAGAGAATTGAAATGGAATGAAATTATAAATATGTACGTATATATAATATAATATAATATTATCGTGCCGGAAGTGTCGGAACTGAGCATTAAACTGTCCGATGCCCAATGACTAAGGCCAAGCGTCGTTGGCACTCATAATTCTGGCAGAATAAAGGCGTTTCAATAGACACTTGGTATCCGGTTCCTCTTCGGTTTATGAGAGGAGAAACGCTCAACTCTTTGGCAGCAGCAGCAGAAACAACCAGAACTAAACAGACAATTGTGCATTTAATCTCTTTTAATTCCCTCCTTCACCACGAAAAGCTTAAAAAACAAACAAACAAACGAATATCTCTCGAATTTATTGTAATTATTCAGTTTGCGGTGAATTCACATGGCGCTTTCCAGGAATTGCGGGATCAGAGCATGGTAACCGCCGCCGCCGCCGCTGCTGCAGTGGCCGAAGAGCAGCATCGCCATCAGCAACACCAGCAGCAGCAACAACAACATCAGCAGCAGCAGCAGCAGCAACGCGAGCAGCAGCAACAGCGCGATCGCAGGGAACGGGAGGTGATGAAGCGCAAGGAGAACTGCAGCGCCAATGCCAGTCCCGAGGTCAAACAGATTCTCAACGTAAGCCCAGACCACATGTCCCCCCATCTCCCGTGAAGACCCAATTACACAGCTCCAATTCTCGTATTCCTTTGGCAGTGCTTCATCATGAGCCGCAAGTCGCAGGCGGCGGCATCCAATGGCACAACGACAACTTCCCCCTATAGGAACCGGTAAGAATGCAATATTTAAGGTGTCTTTAAGGGAGGAAATAGTTGTACTTTTAAATTGTTTACCGACTTCCCTGCTTATTGACTTCCTTTTGGTACTTTTCGCACTTGCAGCGGCGTGGTGAAGAGCTCCTCGGGCGAATCGCTCCCAGCCGGAACCGTGACCAGTGCGCATCCGTACAAAATACCTCAGCCACCCTCCTCACTGCTGAAATATGAATCTGATTTTCCGCTGAGGAAGACAGGTGAGTGCGCTTGTGACCGGCCTTTCGCCCTTGAATAGCAAACGTGATGCTGATTGCCAGCAGGTGGCCATGGCCATGGACTCCTGCCGCCCGAGTTCTTGTACATTTCGCATTTTTGCGCCTTTTTGCCTGCCACGTTCGGATGTTACTCCCGATTTATTGCCTAACCACAGACTGTGAATGCACTAAAATGTAGAAAAATGTTACGGGGGAAGGGAAACAGAGAGTTATTATCATGAATTTTGGTGTTAGATAAGTTGTACTGTTCGTAAGGTGCTTAAGTAAGCACTCCGATATATATACATTGTATAATGGGGTTTTTTTTTTTGGCAAGACTTTCGTTCAGGTTAGGGTCACTTACGAAACTCTCGATTTGGGATGTTACTTAACGACAAATACAGATAGATAGACAAGGAATGAATGGTTATTTAAGGCATTTGTAGGCTTACATTTATAAATTTCTTAAATGAACTGAACGTAAAATAGCAAAAAGCAAGATAGGAAGCTAACTTAGGCACTCCGAAGTTTGTATATATATAACTAAATTTCTTCGGTGGCAAACAGGATTAAGATTGATTATGGGGAGAAAGACTAGGATGGTAGACAGTAGCTACAAAGGCATGAACATTCACAGCTAAAAAAGTCTACTAAATAATAACTGCAAGATTATTAACTAGTCTCGCTTAAATCTTAACTAAATCTTAACTCTAACCCCGTCAAAACTAACCCCTGACCACCATCCTTGTATGCACCGCTCTCGACACAGCATCCGAACCGAACCTGCTGAAGATCCGGCTCAAGCAGAGCGTCATCGACCGCAAGGCCCGCATCGGCGGACCGGCGGGTGCGAGGCGCCATGAGCGCCTCCTCCAAGCGGCGCAGCGCAGGCAGCAGAAGAACTCTGTTCTCACAAGTACGTATCGAAAGGAACCGAAAGGGTTTTCTGCTGGGATCGGGCATATCTATCATTGGGTAGAGTGTAATATCCTGATGTTGCGTAAAATGGAAAATAGGCTTACCTTGTAGCCCTATAAAAATTGATCTTAAAAACTGATTTATTGCCTAAATGTTAAAATAAATATACATATTGATTAATTGCAACGTTAGAATTTCAAATTCCATATCGAAGCTTGAAATAATTATCGATAAAATATCGTTTATTCGAAATCTTCCTAAACGGGAATAAGTTTAAACATAGAACTTGTACATAAATGACTTTTTAATTTTAATATTTATCATTTGTAGCATCAGGATATTAAAATAAATAAATCAAATCAAATTTTAGTTATTGAAAAAAAAAAACGCCTTATCGATTTTATCTAAAAATATCCACATAATTGTATTTATTTGATTAGCCAAATTTATTGATCCGATATATTACACTCAACATCGATTAATCGCAACGTTAGAGTTTCAATTGTCATATCGAATTTTGGTATAAAATATCGATAATTCGATATTTTCCCAAATGGGGATAAGTATTAGCAGAGAAAGTGTATATTCATGTTTATTTTTTTTTTTATATAAAACACTTATATTGGTAAAACTTTAGATTTAAAATTCGTTTTTAAATTTTTTAACGTTGTTGTCTTTTTTGTTTAATCGTTGTTTCCGCTTTTATGGCTGTTGTTTTACTGCTGTTTCAAATAACATTACCACGACCAACTGCCTTATATGCCCCACTGATCGTATTATCCACTGATTCTGTGACTCCAACTAATCGCTTTGTCTTCTTGGACCTCCCACCTCGCCCAGACTGCAACAGCACTCCGGACTCGGGACCCAACTCACCGCCCTCGGCCGCTGCCCTCACTGTGGGCGTGGTGGGGAGCCGCGGCTCGCCCACCAGTGCGCCAATCCAGGAGGAGAATGAGGAGGGCAGCCAATACCAGCCGGGCCAGAGGAGCAGCATCAATGACCTGCCGCTGTTCAGTTCGCCGTCGCTGCCGAACATCTCGCTGGGCAGACCGCATTTACCCAACTCGGCGCAGGCGCACGCCCAGGTTAGTGCCCAGGCGCAGGCGCAGGCCCAGGCCCAGGCTCAGGCGCAGGCCGCCCAGGTCAACTATGCGATGTTCGCGGCCCTGCATCATGTGGCCGCAACCGGAGGCGGCGGACAGCCGGGCGGCTACTACAGCCCACTAGGTATGTCGTTCGTAGGCCGACAGCCAGCTCCGCTGGCCATGATCCCGGCAACTGGGATAGCGCCACAGCAACCGTCGCCGGTGGTGCGCAGCGCCTCGGCCACCTCCACGTCCTCGTCACAGGCCTCTCTTGTGGGCGATGTGGCGCCGCCGCAGGCGCATGCCGCCTCCACCATTCTGCCCTCATCCTCGTCCTACATTCAGCAGCTGGGCGGCGTGGCCGGATCGGCGGTTAATCTCCATGCCGTGGCTGCAGCGGCGGCTGCGGCGGCTGCTGGCTCACTGCCGCCCACCAATAGTCACGGTCATGGCCATGGCCACGGTCACGCCCATGGGCACGGACACGGTCATGCCCATGCCCATGCCCACGCTCACGGACATGGCCATGCTCTGTACGGAGGCCACCAGCACAATGTACCCATCACGGATGCCCAGGTGGCGCAGGTGCATCTCCACAAGCAGGGACACCGGCCGCTGGGAAGGACGCAGTCGGCGCCGTTGCCTCTGGGTCATCCGATGCTCACGGGCGCCGGGCAGCTGAACTTGGTGCAGACGCACTACGAGAACAGCGAGGTGAGTGCCAGAGTAGCTACGATGAAGTTGAACCTTGCTTGACACAGTTTCCCCGTCTCGTTATCCCCCAGGCGGAGCGGCAGGCCTACGAGCACCAGGTGCTGAACCAGAAACTTCGCCAGACCGTTCTCACCCGCAGCGGGGCAGCGGCTGCCGCGGCCGCTGCTGCCGGAGTGGGCGTGGTGCGGGAGGCGCAGCTGAAGGAGGAGGACGACGACTCGGCCGCCGAGGTAATGGACCTTACTGACAAGAAAAAGCCGCCCAAGACGGTGCTGACGAGCACTATAGCGACCAGCACGTCCCAGAATCTGCCCGAGGCGTTGGCGGCGGCAGCTGCCGCCTATCGCACCCCGCCCTCCACGTCCGTCGTGGCCGCCTCATCCGCCAGCAGCTCCACGAAGACGGGGATTAAGCTGCGCGACCAGGAATACCTGCAGCAGCAGAGGGAGCAGCTCCTGCTTCTGCAGCAGGAGGAGGAGCTGGCCAAGGGCCTGTTGCGACCGCTCTCGCGGACGCTCAGTAGTCCGCTGGTGCCGCTGGGGCCGCACGGTCTCAGTCAGATCCCGGACACTGGCCAGCAGCCGGCGCCAATAGCCACCTCCTCGTCGGCCGACCACATACCGCCCGTGAACCTCTCGCTGCCGCATCGCCAGCACCGACAGCTGATGAGCACCCTGTATGCCTCGCATCTGCGGCAACATCAACAGCCGCTGGCCAGCGGGTCGCCGCCGCATAAGGTCACCACGGGCCTGGCCTACGATCCCCTGATGATGAAGCACTCGTGCATCTGCGGCGACAACGCCCAGCATCCGGAGCACAGCGGCCGGCTGCAGAGCGTGTGGGCGCGGCTAATCGAGACGGATCTGGTGAAGCGTTGCGATCGCCTGCGCGCCCGCAAGGCCACGCAGGAGGAGCTGCAGACGGTGCACACGGAGGCGCATGCCATGCTCTTCGGGTCCAACCAGTGCCAGTTGAGCAGGCCCAAGCTGGAGAACACGCTCTCTGCGAGCTTCGTTCGCCTATCGTGCGGCGGCTTGGGCGTCGATCTGGATACGACGTGGAACGAGAACCACACGGCCACCGCCGCCCGAATGGCTGCCGGCTGCGTGATCGATCTGGCCTTCAAGACGGCCAAGGGGGATCTACGGAATGGCTTCGCAGTGGTCCGGCCACCGGGTCATCATGCGGAGGCGAACCTGGCCATGGGCTTCTGCTTCTTCAACTCGATCGCCATTGCGGCCAAGTTGCTGCGTCAGCGGATGCCCGAGATGCGGCGAATTCTCATCGTCGATTGGGTGAGTATCCAGATTATTCCCTTGGCTTTTCCTCTGCCACAGAAAACCCGAGGATTATGTGTGAGAACTAAGCCATAACCAAAGGCTTCACGATCTTCTGTCTTTACAGGATGTGCACCATGGCAATGGCACACAGCAAGCATTCTACCAAAGTCCCGACATTCTATATCTTTCCATACATCGACACGATGACGGCAACTTTTTCCCCGGCACAGGCGGACCCACAGAGGTAAGTTTTTGCGATTACGATTGCCCGTCGTCCGGATACGTTGATTTTGAATGTCATGTCCACAGTGCGGATCCGGTGCCGGTCTCGGCTTCAACGTGAACATCTCGTGGTCTGGGGCACTGAATCCACCCCTGGGCGACGCCGAATATATCGCTGCATTCCGTACCGTTGTGATGCCCATCGCGCGGAGCTTCAATCCGGACATTGTGCTGGTCTCCTCCGGCTTCGATGCGGCCACCGGCCATCCGGCTCCGCTGGGCGGCTACCACGTTTCGCCGGCCTGCTTTGGTTTTATGACCCGCGAACTCCTCCAGCTGGCCAGCGGCAAGGTGGTGCTTGCGCTCGAGGGCGGCTATGATCTGGCCGCCATCTGTGATTCCGCCCAGGAGTGTGTCCGCGCATTGCTCGGCGATCCAGCCGCTCCGATAGCCAAGGCCGAGCTGGAGCGGCCGCCCTGCCAGAATGCCATCAACACGCTCCAGAAGACGATAGCCATTCAGGTGTGTGTGTTTCGCCAGCATCTGACCGTTCTCCCTGTCTCACTCTAACTCTCCATCCTCTCTATCTGATCCGCAGCAAACGCACTGGCCGTGTGTGCGGATGCTGGAGCACACGGTGGGTCTGTCCGCTCTGGAAACGCTCAAGGTTGAGCATGACGAGTCCGAGACGATCAACGCCATGGCCGGCCTCTCGATGCAGTCGATGCACAGGTGGGTTTTGGCTATATATTCCGATATATATATATAAACTGCCTATATTATCATGCAGAACCCTGTCACGCGATGATTCCGAGGAGCCGATGGATCAGGACGAAACCAAATAGACGGCGATGGAGGCAGAGGATGTGGAGACGAGGCAGGCAAAGGGAGGGAGGGAGGGATGGGGATAGGGAATAGCTGCTCAATGCACATATTTAGTTATATTTGTTGTAGTTGAATTGATTGTTGTTGCTGTTGTTGTTGTGGCGCTCGCTTGCAAATTTGTTGTCGTTGTCAATCATCGTTTATAGCCATGCCTCCTCACGCTGGCGCTCGCTCTCGCTCTCTCTCTTGAACCCTAAGATCCTTTATTTTATAAATATATATTTTGCTGGGAAACATCGAAGGGGTAAACAAGGAAAACAAGAAGCAGAACAGGGCCTAAAGTTCAAATTGGTGGCTGTGCCTCCAAAAAAAGAAATCTTATAATAAAAAAGAATAATAATAATAATTAGAAAACCAATAAAGTCTTAAGAGTTTTATATGAATATATAAGATATATATATATATGATCTATGATATATGATTATTATATGTAGAATATCTATGTATGTTGAGAATTTAGCTTGTAGAATTCTTTGAGATTCGTTTTGTTAATATTATCATTTTCTTTTTGAAGAGGATAACCCCCCCCCACACACACAAAGATCCTGTGTGTTTCTTCTACAGTATCCCCTCCCCAAAGGATATCGCGCCCACACAGAAACAGACAGGGAGACAGCGAGAGCGAGAACTCAAGCGATAGAGGATTACATGTTTTGTAGAACGCTTTAGCTGATAAACGAAGAATATAAGAGAATACAAGAGGAGAGAAGAACGGGGGGAGAGCTGAGCTGAACAAGTAGCAACATGAATAGGACAAGTTCTGACAAGCGGAAACTCAGAAATCTTTTTTGTACAATTTATAGTTTAGTGCAAGTTTCAAGTACAACATAATATTATTTAATTAAACCAGTCTATATATATCTAAATATATATATATTGTGCAATAAATGTGAGTGCGGAGCAAAGGCGGAAACGCAAAAAGCCACAAAATAAGTGAAAGCTAAAAACATAAACCTATACCTAAACGTAAACGTAAAAAAACTGAAACTAAAACTAAAACTTAAACACTAAACACAAAAAGCTAAAACGAATAAGTAAAGAATTGTTGTTAAATGTTGCCGAGATCTTATATACGTATGTATACCTAATAATTGTTACAATAATACCCAATATTATAATAAATGCACATATGTATGTATGTGGCCGTAAATTAACGATAACGATGTTCAACAAATGTCTGAAATGAAGTAAAACTATTATTATATGTAAATAAAACACGGAGCAACGTGAACCATTTTAATAAAAAACAAAAGCAAACACACATTACACACACTCACGCTCAAATACAGCCTGGGCAGGTCCCGAAAAGGCGCGAGAATGGGGAAATATTGAAAGAAATATCTGTTGAAATGCAAAAAGAAAATCTAAAAAAAAAAACAAACAAAAAACAAACGTTTATCAAGGTGTTAGCCGCTGTAATTGTGTTTGTACTCGTGTACCTTTAGCTGTCTAAGACCATCTCTCTCTAACTTGCTACCTGTACCACGGAAAATCACTTTTAAAGGACGATGGAGCCAGGAACCCGGCAGGAACACGCAGAAGACTGGGGAGAAGGAGAAGAAGAACAACGAGAGACGGATACGGATGCGATCCAACTGGAAGAACCATTGTTAACAAATCGAAACAAAAACAGAAAATAGCAACTTAAAACTTAAAACTAAACAAAAGATGATAACTAAGAGATACCGCAGAAAATGTAACTATTATGCTAAGCGAATAACGACAGTTGCCATTGCCAGAAGAAAACTTGTCCCTTTATAATCAATCTTTTGTTTATTTTTATTTTTTCAAGACCCCTCTCCAAGGTTATCTTTGATTATAAGAAATACTTGTTTCGACACAAGTCAAGGTGACAAAAAAGAAACCCAAAGAAATGATGTTCTACAAATAATAAAGATAAAAGCGAGCTAATGATAAATATTGTTGTTGCGCACTGCGAAAGAAACAAAACAAAATAAGAAAATATATTGGATATTCCACATTTGCTAAGGAATATCGCAAAAGAAAACGGTTTTAGCGAATGAAAACAAAATCAAATATTTATATTTTGTTTAATATTGCACAAACAAGTCCATGAAACAGAAACAATTAAGAGTAAACTAATGTGTGTCGCTTTTTCTAAACGAAATAAAACGAAAGAAATCGTCAAGAGAATGTTTTTTTATTGTTTTATTTTGTTTATGTTTACGCTCGCTCCTTATCGCCACTGACCCAGATAACTTAACCGGCAGAGCCGGATCGGCCGGTGGATAGACATAGGCCCCCCTGGAGCTGGATCGCACTTTGTTCCCTCTATGAGGTGATATGAGGTGGACCTATACTCGGTATGTACGCATTTATTTCCCTTGTGTGTGTTTTCAGCATTTTATTTATGTTATGAATAAATATATAACTTATATATATATATTATTTTTTTATTTTTTTAAACAAAATGGTAGTTGATAATTTTTGTAATTTTAAAATAATTTTTTTTTAACAAAAATGAGCAAGAAACTGATTTTTAAAGGTTCATAATTCCGAGTTAGTTTTTCTAAGCTTAAAAAAACTGCATACTTAAATTAATTTAAATACCTACCAATAATTTTAAATAATTTTAGGATCGCCAGAGATGAAGCTGGAGGAGCGAGCAGCTGGCAGGACAGACCTCAACCGGATGGCAGTAGAGGACGGTGATCGGATCTTGGCTCCGGGCTATATGAAAGCCTGCAGCAGGCGTAGATAATTTATTTATTTATATTTATAAATGAAATTTAAATATGTAAATGTAATTGATGGAACACACAAATATGAATCAATAAAAGATGGCGAAATCAATGGCAATTTTTTGGTAAAGGCGGCATTTATTTGGGATTGTTTGGGGAAAAACCTAATTATTTTGAAAGCAAAATTTTTTTCTAAATTTTAAACATTTTCTTCGGATGTTTTACAATTTTTCAAAATTTTTAAATTTTTTTCAAAATTTTTAAATTTTTTTCTAAATTTTTAAAATTTTTTTTCTGAATTTTTAACATTTTTTTCAGATTTTTTATACTTATTTGAGATTTTTTTTTATAATTTTTAAAATTTTTTTAAATATTTTAACTGCCAAATTTGAATTTGAATTTAACTGCCAAATTTGAATTTAACGACGATCAGTTTCAGAGTGCCCAGGTGCAGTTGTAAAATAACACCTAAATTTGGATTCAAAAGGTTTGAGTCTCCGCTAACTTGTGCCGGCTCCTAAATGGTTTGAAACTTGGACTTTTTATAACAGTTTATACCAGTTTTCAGTTGCTTTCTGCTGATTTCTGTTCGCCTGTTACCCCAATTCGGGAAACGGGCAATTTGCATGGAAATGTTCGGAAATTTGGATGGGCTGCTGTAGGGATGTTGTTGTAAAAAGGTTGTTGTTGCCATCAAGCTGTTGTTGTCGACAACAAATAGGTATAAATGCATAAAATGAAATTAACAATATGGTCACATCTGGTTTGAGTCTGTGCTTACTCCAAGATCAATGGTTCGAAACTTGGACTTTTTATAACAGTTTATACCAGTTTTCAGTTGCTTGCTGCTGGTTTCTGTTCGCCTGGTATCCCAGTTTGGGAAACGGCCAATTTGTATGGAAAATTTCAGAAATTTGGATGGGCTGCTGTAGGGATGTTGTTGTAAAAAGGTTGTTGTTGCCATCAAGCTGTTGTTGTCGACAACAAATAGGTATAAATGCATTAAATGAAATTAACAATATGGTCACATCTGGTTTGAGTCTGTGCTTACTCCAAGATCAATGGTTTGAAACTTGGACAAAATTTACAATATGGTCACACTGGCACGTTTTTCGTGGCCCAAAGTTTTTATAACAGTTTATACCAGTTTTCAGTTGCTTGCTGCTGGTTTCTGTTCGCCTGGTATCCCAGTTTGGGAAACGGCCAATTTGTATGGAAAATTTCAGAAATTTGGATGGGCTGCTGTAGGGATGTTGTTGTAAAAAGGTTGTTGTTGCCATCAAGCTGTTGTTGTCGACAACAAATAGGTATAAATGCATAAAATGAAATATAACAGTTTATACCAATTATTATTTTTGCCCAAAAGTTTTTATAACAGTTTATACCAGTTTTCAGTTGCTTGCTGCTGGTTTCTGTTCGCCTGTTACCCCAGTTTGGAAAGCGGCCAAATTTTAGAAATTTTGGTCACTTGCATCAGTGATGCTCATGTGCATCAGTGATGCTCATCTGGCTATATTTTGCAATATTGGGGGCAATAAAATCGGGCTATATGGCAGTGATGCTCATCTAGCTATTTTGCATTATTGGGACAAAATGGCATCTCACTAAATGCCAGTGATGCTCATCTAGCTATTTTGCATTATTGGGACAAAATGGAATCTCACTAAATGCCAGTGATGCTCATCTAGCTATTTTGCATTATTGGGACAAAATGGCATCTCACTAACTGCCAGAGATGCTCATCTAGCTATTTTGCATTATTGGGACAAAATGGCATCTCACTAACTGCCAGAGATGCTCATCTAGCTATTTTGCATTATTGGGACAAAATGGCATCTCACTAACTGCCAGAGATGCTCATCTAGCTATTTTGCATTATTGGGACAAAATGGCATCTCACTAAATGCCAGTGATGCTCATCTAGCTATTTTGCATTATTGGGACAAAATGGCATCTCACTAACTGCCAGAGATGCTCATCTAGCTATTTTGCATTATTGGGACAAAATGGCATCTCACTAACTGCCAGAGATGCTCATCTAGCTATTTTGCATTATTTTAAGTATTTTAGCAAAACTGAGTATGCAGTTTTGTTAAGCTTAGAAGGAGCAACTCAGAACAGTTTTCCGAATTGAATTTCATGCGTTTTTGGCCGAGTTATGAGGGTTTTTCTCATTTTTTGTTGATATTTTTTATAAATTATAGGTAAGTATTTTAGCAAAACTGAGTGTGCAGTTTTGTTAAGCTTAGAAGGAGCAACTCAGAACAGTTTTCCGAATTGAATTTCATGCGTTTTTGGCCGAGTTATGAGGGTTTTTCTCATTTTTTGTTGATATTTTTTATAAATTATAGGTAAGTATTTTAGCAAAACTGAGTATGCAGTTTTGTTAAGCTTAGAAAGAGCAACTCAGAACAGTTTTCCGAATTGAATTTCATGCGTTTTTGGCCGAGTTATGAGGGTTTTTCTAATTTTTTGTTGATATTTTTTATAAATTATAGGTAAGTATTTTAGGAAATCTGAGTATGCAGTTTTGTTAAGCTTAGAAAGGGCAACTCAGAACAGCTTTCCGAATTCAATTTCATGCGTTTTTGGCCGAGTTATGAGCTATATAGCAAAATAGCTAGATGAGCATCACTGGCAGTTAGTGAGATGCCTATAATTTATAAAAAACCCTCATAACTCGGCCAAAAACGCATGAAATTCAATTCGGAAAACTGTTCTGAGTTGCTCTTTCTAAGCTTAATTTTGAAAGCTGTTCTATGCTGCCTTTTCCAAGCTTAACAAAACTGCATACTCAGTTTTACTAAAATACTTACCTATAATTTATAAAAAATATCAACAAAAAATGAGAAAAACCCTCATAACTCGGCCAAAAACGCATGAAATTCAATTCGGAAAACTGTTCTGAGTTGCTCTTTCTAAGCTTAACAAAACTGCATACTAAGTTTTGAATTTCGTGCATTTTTGGCCGAGTTGTGAAGTTCACATTTTTATAGGTAAGTATTTTAGGAAATCTGAGTATGCAGTTTTGTTAAGCACAGAAAAGGCAACTCAGAACAGCTTTCCAAATTGAATTTCATGCGTTTTTGGCCGAGTTATGAGGGTTTTTCTAATTTTTTGTTGATATTTTTTATAAATTATAGGTAAGTATTTTAGGAAATCTGAGTATGCAGTTTTGTTAAGCACAGAAAAGGCAACTCAGAACAGCTTTCCAAATTGAATTTCATGCGTTTTTGGCCGAGTTATGAGGGTTTTTCTAATTTTTTGTTGATATTTTTTATAAATTATAGGTAAGTATTTTAGTAAAACTGAGTATGCAGTTTTGTTAAGCTTGGAAAAGGCAGCATAGAACAGCTTTCAAAATTGAATTTCATGCATATTTGGCCGAGTTATGGGGCTTTTTTATAAATTATAGGCATCTCACTAGCTGCCAGTGACGCTCATCTAGCTATTTTGCTATTTAGCTCATAACTCGGCCAAAAACGCATGAAATTCAATTCGGAAAGCTGTTCTGAGTTGCCCTTTCTAAGCTTAACAAAACTGCATACTCAGTTTTGCTAAAATACTTACCTATAATTTATTAAAAATATAAGCAAAAAATTACAAAAACCGTCATAACTCGGCCAAAAAACGCATGAAATACAATTTGGAAAGCTGTTCTGAGTTGCCCTTTCTAAGCTTAACAAAACTGCATACTAGGTTTTGAATTTCATGCATTTTTGGCCGAGTTGTGTTGGTTCACATTTTGATAGGTAAGTATTTTAGCAAAACTGAGTATGCAGTTTTGTTAAGCTTGGAAAAGGGAACTTAGAACAGCTTTCAAAATTGAATTTCATGCATATTTGGCCGAGTTATGGGGCTTTTTTTATAAATTATAGGCATCTCACTAGCTGCCAGTGATGCTCATCTAGCTATTTTGCTATTTAGCTCATAACTCGGCCAAAAACGCATGAAATTCAATTCGGAAAGCTGTTCTGAGTTGCCCTTTCTAAGCTTAACAAAACTGCATACTCAGTTTTGCTAAAATACTTACCTATAATTTATTAAAAATATAAGCAAAAAATTACAAAAACCGTCATAACTCGGTCAAAAACGCATGAAATACAATTTGGAAAGCTGTTCTGAGTTGCCCTTTCTAAGCTTAACAAAACTGCATACTAGGTTTTGAATTTCATGCATTTTTGGCCGAGTTGTGTTGGTTCACATTTTGATAGGCAAGTATTTTAGCAAAACTGAGTATGCAGTTTTGTTAAGCTTGGAAAAGGCAGCATAGAACAGCTTTCAAAATTGAATTTCATGCATATTTGGCCGAGTTATGGGGCTTTTTTATAAATTATAGGCATCTCACTAGCTGCCAGTGATGCTCATCTAGCTATTTTGCTAAATAGCTCATAACTCGGCCAAAAACGCATGAAATCCAATTCGGAAAACTGTTTTGAGTTGCCCTTTCTATGCTTAACAAAACTGCATACTCAGTTTTGCTAAAATACTTACCTATAATTTATAAAAAATATCAACAAAAAATTACAAAAACCCTCATAACTCGGCCAAAAACGCATGAAATTTAATTCGGAAAGCTGTTCTAAGTTGGTTATTCTAAGCTTAACAAAACTGCCTACTTAGTTTACCTACCTACTTACCTACTTACCTGTAATTTTTTAATAATTATTTAAACAAATATGAGCAAGAAACTGGTTTTCAAAGGTTCATAACTCAGTCAAAAGTTCCTGAAATTCAATTCGAATAATTTTAATTATTTAACCAGAATGGCTCGATTCTTAGTGATCCAATTGCAATCTGCAAGGGTATACAAACTTCGGCGTGTCGAAGTTAGCTTCCTTTCTTGTTATATAATATGAAAGATATTCTTTATATATGTACATATCAAATCATATTCATTTTTGGCAATTTTTGAATATAAACTGTAACAAAATTAATAAAAACAAGATAGAAAGCCAACTTCGGGAAAACCGAATTTTGTATAACCTTACTGTTCTTAGTTAAATCGGTGGTAAGGCATACAAAGCTTAATTTTAATTAAAATAAAACAATGAGAGAAAAGGTAATTTGTTTGCCAGACATGGCTAGATCAACTCGGCTGTTGATGCTGATTAAGAAATTATATGGAAATGACTCCCTGATTGCTTTGCAAAGTTTTGCCTTATTTTCCTCGTAAAAGATTAAACAAGTTTATAACTTATTTATGTTTTTTGTTTTTTAATATAACCAGCAAAAACTGAAAAAATATTCTTAATATAAAATTAAATCATATTTAAAACTTTTTTTTACATAGATTTTTGTATTTTGGTTTTGAATTTACAAGTTTACATGTTTAAAACTTGAAATTTGTTTGTACTTTTAAATAATAATTTAAACTTAATTGGTCCACCCTGAAGCATATTTCGATGCTTGCTGAGCAACTGAACTCAGGAGTGGCAAAGAGCCAAGCGAGGCAGTGGTGCTGGCACCCAGTGTACCAAGGCCGAAAAGGGGTTTGCATTAAAGGGATTTTTGAATTTAAAGCTCTTGTTTTTTATTCTTGTACTGAATAAATAAAATGTAATTACAAGTTCTCTGAAGCCGCCCACTGTCATAAAAACCAGATTCACTGACGTCATTTTCCTTGTTCGCCTGCAAGTTTTGTGGGTCTTCAGGATGAATGGATCCCCTTTGCGTAGCGCCCTTGACAGTCTCCGCTCTCTGCCTTGTGGCACTGCTCTTGGATTTGCTGCGAAACCACAATTGGTGAACACGAATGTTGATCAGTGCAAGCCAGTTGCTCGGCAGGGGAGGTTGCGGAAAAATATACATAGAAACGTCAGATCAGATTATTTGCGGGAAAGCGAGCTATCGCCATGTCAGTGAACTGCGATCTGCAGAGGGAGCGGGCGGCGGCCAGCTTGGACAGCGAGGACTTTGCCCTCTGGTGGGCCGGCGGAGCCTCGGAGCTCGCCGAGCGCCGCGCCCTGGAGCACCGTTTCTACGAGGACCCCGAGCTGGAGGAGTCAGTGCATCCCAGCTGCCTGTCCTACAAGGAGCGCTACGAACAGACGGTGGCCCGGTCCACGCGCTTCCTGGCCAAGCTGCGTCAGTGGCAGCGGGAGAAGCAGCCGCAGCTGAATCTTAGCGTCAATCTCCTTCGCGACTTTAGGCTGCTCCTCTCCGGGCCCCTGGGCACCGGACTTTTTCAGCAGAGCTTTCCCCTCCGGCTGCACTTCTCCATGTTCATGACCACGCTGCTGAGCCAGGGCACCGAGGAACAGCAGGCCCAGTGGCTGAATCGGGCCTGGCACATGGACGGCGTGATCGGAACCTATGCACAGACGGAGCTGGGCCACGGTACCTTTGTCCGTGGCCTGGAGACCCGGGCAGATTACGATCCGGAACGGCAGGAGTTCGTTCTAAATACACCGACGCAGAGCTCGTACAAGTGGTGGCCCGGCGGGTTGGGTAACACGGCCAATCTCATCATCGTGTTGGCCCAACTCTATGTGAAGGGCAAGCACCATGGATTGCAGTCGTTTTTGGTGCGAATCCGGGACGAAAGGACCCACGAACCACTTCCCGGTGTCGATGTGGGGGACATAGGACCTCGGATGGGCGGCAATGGGGTCAACAATGGGTTTCTGGGGCTCCGTGACGTTAGGATTCCGCGCAATCAAATGCTGATGAAGAACGCCCAAGTGCTGGAGGATGGAACCTTTGTCCAAGGACGCCCGCCACTGCTTCTTTACGGGACCATGGTCTACGTGCGGGTCATTACCCTGAGGGATGTCCTCTTTGGCCTGCTGCAGGCGGCCACCATCGCTACAAGGTGAGCTGGCCAGATTGCGGCTCCATCCTCCACGGTTCTTATAAGACTTTCCCCTCCTCTCGCCCAGATATTCCGTTGTGCGTCGCCAGAGTCCCATTGAGGAGAATCAACCGGAGGTTTCCGTGCTGGACCACATCACGCAGCAGGCCAAGATCCTGCCGCAGATAGCGCGCGGTGTGTCCTACCGCTTGGTGGCCGACTGGCTATGGCGCTTTTACGAGCGCGTGCTGCAGCAATTGGAGGCGAATAACCCTCGCAACTCGCTGCCGGAACTGCACGCTCTGAGCTGCTGCCTCAAGGCGGTGGCCACCGACGAAGCCACCGAGGGCGTGGATCGACTACGGAAGAGCTGCGGCGGTCACGGCTATCTCTCCTCGGCCAACTTTGACAGCATTCACGGCCTGACGGCGGCCGCCTACACGTACGAGGGCGAGTACACAGTCCTTCTGCTCCAGACGGCTCGCTTCCTGATCCGCCAGTATGTGGACAGTCTAAAGCGAAAGGTCCTGCCGCCCAGCGTCTCATATTTGAGGGACACGGCCCGGCTCGTCTGGAGCAAGAGTCTCAGCGCCAACTGTGTCCGTGCCTTGGAGATCGCCGCCCTGGAGCAGGTGCGGCAGGCGTGGCAGACCCAGAGCACCCACCAGCGGAGCAAGGTTAGTGCCCAAATGGCTAGTAACCTGGCTGGCAGGCAGCTAACCGCGGCCGCCGTTGCCCACGCCCACGCCTTCTTCACACGCAACGCTCTCGAGGAGCTGGAACGCCTGCGGAAGACAGGGCTTTCGAAAGGTGTTTCCTCTGTGCTGGGAGAACTGGTAGAGCTGTTCGTGCTGGACACATTCCTGCGGCAGTCGGGCTCTGTTTTGCGCTGGAACAGCATCACAGGCACCCAGCTGCGATTCGTGGAGAGTCGCTACGAGGAGCTGCTGTCCCAGCTGCGCCCGAATGCGGTCGCTCTGGTCGATGGCTTCGATTTCCACGATCGCGTCCTGGGCTCCACGCTGGGCTGCCACGATGGCCGTGTGTACGAGCGCCTCATGGCGGAGGCGCGAAGGAATCCGCTGAACCAGGAGCCGGTCAATGCCTCCTTCCACAGCCACCTGTTGCCCATGATGCGGGGCAAGCTGTGAATCTTTATGTTTTGTTTGTAACCCTGTACCCTATCTTTTGACCATATATGCATGTATCTTGAAAAAATAAATAGTATTGAATTTACAGATTTTAAAAAACCGTATTTGATGCACTTTTAAGATGAAATATCTTAAAAACCTGATATAAGTATAGGAAACTTTCTGAGGCCGGATTCAAGTTCAGCACATCAAAAACCTTCCAGAAAGGTACATTCAGGTTTTTGGTTCTGCAATTTTTTGCAGATTTGGTCGACCTGTGAAATGGTCAGGTACGTATTATTAGGACAATTTTATCTGCTTTTAGAATCCATGTAATTAGTTAGTTATATACAATTATTTGCAGAATTTTAACTGCTTTTAAATTCCATGTAATGTTTAGTTAAATAAAGTTATTAGCAGAATTTTTTTGTCTGTCACATTTAGTTAATTAAAATGAAAAGCAAATGATACCTTGTTCTCCCTTAATCTCCGTTTATGATATCCCTAAATAAATCTAAAACAATCTGCTTACAAATCTCTTGTTAAATAAACAAAAACGAAAGCTTGCTGGCGGACTTGTACAAATAACAATTTGTATAAAATTACCTTCAAGTATTTGTGGGAGTGGTAGGAGCAGGGATGAAACCATATCCTTCAATGTTGCCATGAAAAATATGTTATTTCCTTGGCACACACTGCATAACACAACAAATAAAGTACAATTTGGATTATTTACAGAAACTAGTTTCGTATAATTTAATACAAAAACAATAAGAATAATGGGACAGCGGTGAGCTGGGGAGTGGAGAGCTTTTGAGAGAGAGCGAGATGAGGATGAGGGACACTACATGAAGTCGTCCGACTCGTTGCCGGCATCATAGTTTGTGCGCATATTCTCAGTCTTCTGGAGCGAGGCGTAGCTACGCAGCTCCGCCTCCAGTTCACGCTGCTTGGCCGCCTCCTTCTCCTGTTCGCGACGCTCGCGTTGCAGCTTCTTCTGGTCCTGGCGCTCGGCGGCATCGCGCGCCTCGCGCTGCCCACGGAAATCGGGATGCTCCTCCTCCGTCTTGGTCTTGTTCAGACGGTTGACAATCTCGTTGACGCGCTTCTCCAGCTTGATCTTGCGCACCGCCTTCTCGTCATGATAGGCCACCTGGCCGGGCTCCATGTCCGGCGTTTTCTTCAAATTCTCCCACATGGTATAGACCACCTCCAGGTTGTTCACCTTGTTGCCCTGGATGCTGTTGGCCTTGCACAGCTGGGCGGCGTCCACCAGCACGTCGCTGGGAATGTCGTCGATCGTCTGGCCGCGGTGCAGGCGCAGATAAACGTGCGCCGACGACAGGTTGTTCACATGGAACCAGACGTCCTCTGGCCAGCCCCAGCGGATCAGCTCCTCGTTCTCGTACTTGTCGCGTCCCATGTATAGCATTGCCGCCGGCTGCACCAGGTTGCTCTTGAAGTAGAACACCATCTCGGGAATCGGGTCTAATTAAAAATTTAATAGAAAACAAAAAGATGTTCGAGTGAGCATTAGAGATGAAACAGAATCGATGACATCGATGGTTCGAGCTTTGACTGTATATCGAGTGTTTTTGCGTCAACTGTATCGATGTTTTTAAAGCTACTAGAGGACATCAATCGGCCTATCGATAATTTCACCATAGTAAAAAAGTTTGCTGACAACTTTGATTTAAAAATTGGGCGGGTATTTAATACAATCAACAAAAAACAACAGATAACTGCATTTGACGAAAACGCTCTGGTACTTATTTCCTACACCATCGTCCACATTTCGTGGTCGGAGGGGGCAGTGTATTGTACTTAGTTAGTGTAATTAAATGCGAGAAATTTTAAGTATATGTTTGAAATCGTCAATAAATCGAAATATATCCTACTATATATGTATATATCTCAAATTTCATGTTGTAATGAAAATATTTTTAATAAACTGGGTATCTTCGAAAGCACCAAGTAATTATCCACTAAGTCTAGCATACTTTCAATCTTGACATTTGCAGTACAAGTTCATCAACTGTTCGGATTCCAGTACCAGTAACAAACAGCAGACAGCTGAGTACGGATTAACTTAAGTGCAAACCATTATTTTACCAATTTTCCATCTCCAGAGATCATATCAGCGCATCTTCGTTCCTTTTATTCCTATAACAGCTTGTGTATACAACGAGAGCAAGATCATTAATTCGAATTTACATGAAATTACAGAATAATTTTGCATTCTAAAACTAACACAAATGTGATGTTCGGGGAAGTCTAGACCGAAAAGCTGTAAATAGATTCTCGTTGCTAGGCTGGAATTTGAACTTCTGAGCTTCTAAGTTTTGCTTACGTAGACACGGGGTTCCGATAACCAGTTTTGAACAGTTCCTTGCGGATTTTAGGTAAGAGATACTTGAAAATTTCAGTGAACATTTATTTATTTTGCTTATTAAGAAAGAATTTATAATTTCACTGGACGAATTTCACATAATACTGTAAAGAACATGCCAAAATCTGAATAAATTATTTGAAGTTAACACCCATTCATGGTGAAAATAATATTATTTATGTTAGTATAGGGCTCTCTTGACTCGTTTCGCAATAACTCAAGATAGGAGTTGCCTTGAGAATTTTTTTCTTTTGTTCTAAACACAATGCGTAATCGGTCAGACGCCTACGTAGCGCCATTATCCGATCAAGAAATAGATTTGGCATACCCAAAGCCTGTTATCTGTCGAACAGGTGGCGTCAAAATAATAGTATTGAAAAATAACTTTAAATAGTGGGAATATTATATAGTTTATTCTGATGTTTGTGTATTTTTTATTGCCAGATAATCATTAGTTTGTTTTGATATATATTTAAAATACTATTTTTGAAAGCCATTAAAAGTGCTATCATGTTGACCTCAGCCACGAGGTGGTATTTCTTTTGCGAAAGCTGTTCTTGGCAGACAATCTCACGTTTTCGGTGTTGATTGTTTTATCAGCTGTCTGCCACGACTCGAGAGAATGTGTACAACATTTTTAAATTGAACTCGAAAGGTTTCATTTTTTATTTATTACTATTTGGGCTGTGGCTGAGAGATCCCCGCGAATAATTGATTTAAATATGTCCGCTTACAGTGAAACTTCGGTTGGGTTGATTGATTGGTTTTGGCAAGAACTAGGCAGTTTTTTTTAGGGGAAAAACCCGTTTGGGAGAAAGGGCACTACAATTATCGGCCAGGGAATGACGTGAGTCGGCAACCAAAATTGCCTGCGGCAGCGATAAATCAGTCGAAATGCGAAACCAAAAATCAAATTATCATTTGGCCCTTGTCGCTAGTTGCTTGCCATAAATTACTTATCGATTCGCTCGGCTTAAATTTCACACAGACCCTGCATATTTACTTTTAGTGCACAGAAAAAAATTAAGATAATTATAGGTTGTTTATTAAAAATTATAGGAACCTTGTGTTTTTTAATGGCCATTGTATTATGTGGAGCTAACAACTCGATTGTTCTAAGGGATATTTAAGTTGTTTTTGCGATTTCAGTTGGCCATATTGTCTGATCTAAATATGGCTAATTGGGAGGATTTTTTATACCATTGTCAGAAGCTTGTGATTAGCATCAACAGCGGAGCCGATCTAGACATGATCGGCCAGAAGATGAGCGTTTTTCTCATTTTTTTTTTTTCAAAATCTATCATAAAACATGTCATAAATTAAATGAAAAAAATAGGATTAAAATTGAACAAAAATTTAGTTCATTTAGGCTTTGTTATGTAATTTTTAAGCTTTGATTTGTAAACAAAACTATCAAAAAACAAAGAAAATGTAAAAACATTGAGTCTTTAAAAGCATCTGTGGACAATGAGCGAGCGGTCATAAAAATATATAATTCTAAAATAATTGCATATTCAATGTATTACTTATTATAATTTAAATTTATTTATTAACCCAATTAAAAATCAACACAGAACAAAATTTCTAAATGTAAAATATAAAATTTATGGTTTAGTTGTGCTCGATTTCCAATTCAATCCCATAGTACTATTCCTAACTGCAAGGGTAAACAAGCTTCGACTTCCCTGAGTAAGCTTTTTTTCTTGTTTTTTACTATTTTAATAATATAACGTATAGACATATATTCATTTTTATACATTTAATAGAGCAGTTTTTATACTAATTTTAATTGTTAATAATGGCAATCCAATTTGTCTCCGGTTTTTTTCGCTGTCTGGGTTTCTTTTTTTTTTTTTTTGGCCCAGGGCCTTTGTGTAAATGGGTTGATTTGTTTAAATATTAAGCCATAAATATTTGAACCTGTCAAATTGTCCAAATTGGGACAATCATAATTTAAATATTTGCCGCTAAACAAAGTTTTGGGCTCTGAACTCGTGATTACAATATATGTATTGTATACACGAACCTGTGGTCTCATACGCAGCCCCTGGGCTACCACAATTTGTGGCTCGGATTTCGTTAATTAAAGCATCGCGATCGAATGCGATCCTTATAGTATTATTTACTCTAGACCCGATACGGCCGCGTGGCGGCGGCGTGCATCGTTCCCGATAAGCTTGGGGGTCCAAAAACCGTCCGCAGCTGTCCAAACGCTGTCCAACCCGAAGCGCCGGCATTAGAATTAACACATTCCGCTCGATATCTCGCATAATTTATGCACCTCTTCCGCAGAACAAAAAGTGGCAAAAAAGACAGGTGACAGGGAGAGAGAGGAGGCCCTGATAAGCCAAGTATTTTGACCGCTCTTTTTTTTTGGCTTTTGGCTCTTGGCCAACTGCAGGCAACACTCGGCCCGATTGTGATCGCTTGCTACGTAAACAAAACAGAAATTTCATTAACGAAACATTTGTGTTTACCCCCAGAGACATACCCTGAATTCAGGCGAAGAGTCTAGCGGATTTTTCTTGTGTCTGGTGGACATTGAAATGGCAATGAAAAAGGTATTACAAAATAAAATATAACATAAATTTAAATAATAACTTTGTATAATAAAAGGTGGGGAAAAGGTTCTATAAGAGGTATAACCTTTTCAAACAGTTTACATAATATTATTATTTCAATAGTAAGTTATCAAATTAGTGTGTTCCTCTGACTCTCTGAAAAGTTGGAAAAGCGCCAACATTATGGCTCAATCAGAAATAATATCGTAAATCCAAAGAGTGGACTCCTAAAACGTGAGTGGCAATTATCAGCAGATTAGTGGAGTCATAAATAAAATAAAAACAAATTAAACTGTTTACGCCCTGTGGTATTTTTTGTGCTCTTTTTTTTTATTAATAGAGAGATTTCCCGAGTTGGTTCAGGGTGTACGAGCAGCTACCGATGACAAAGCCCCCTTCTTTTCACCTGACCCCGCGCCAATGTCAAGTTCGTTGCCAATGTCGTTCGATTGAGAGCATCGAGAGAGAGAGAGAGACACGAGAGACAGAAAACGAGAGATGGAAATGGGGAGATTCGCGAGAGAATGGCGGGTGAATGAGAGGGGTCAGCTACGGGTGTTGGTGGATCGATTAGATGGCTAATTGCGTTTAAAAGCCGCTCACAGCACGCTAGCTGGTGCTAACGGTGGCGTATACGTAATCGCCGAAATCGAAATCGAACTCGAAATCGTCTAATCGCGCATACGCCCCGCATACGCGTCGCATTAAATGCAAACAATAATAATTTTAATTTGCAAATTATGGTGTCTGGCTGCTGCTCAGTTTCAGTTTCGGTTTCAGAATCGAGAAACTCAGTTCAGTTGCCTGCGAATCGCTGAGCCACACGGACGTGCCTCGTGGCCATACCACACACTGGCAGTTGAGTTGGAAAATCCCACCGAATCCCAAAAGACTATGCATTTTCTGTTGCTGGCAAGCCAGAGAAGAAGAACAGCCAGAACTGGCAGACTAGGCAGCGACAGCTCTCCCGACGGCTCTGGAAGGCACTGATAAGTCATTGGTAACTGGTGAAATTGATACTGGAGCGCGAGCCCTTGATTGAAATGCGCGGAAGTTTCCACTTGTCGAGCCACAGCTATCAGAGCCGCAGGGAAACCCGGTGTACTGAGTCGACGACGTTGCCACTATAGCTAATTGTGGGCCATTAATTGATTGACGGCCACCAGCTCCAGACACGCCCCCTCAGCGGGACACGGACACAAGTAATTCAATAATTAAAGAAACGTTCCTGGGAAAGCAGCACACAGTACTTAGTACCTAGGAGTACCCAGTAACCAGCAACCAGCAACCAGCAACCAGCACCAAGGACACCGGACACAGCCATGAAGGGGCAACAGGAGGCGCAGGAGGAGCAGCTGGTGCCGCCGTACAAGCCAACAGTCATCGTCAAGGATGTGGCCAAGGAGAAGGATCCGCTGGACAAGGACAAGCCGCTCGGCGAGAGCAAGCTGGCCGTGCTGCGGCAGGAGCTAATGGTCTTCTTGGGCAACAGTGGTGTCCTCGGCTCCGGCATGGTGGTCAGCATGCCGGCCGTCACTCTCAATCAGCTGCACGACGAGACGCAGCCCTTTTGGCTCAACAAGGACGAGTCCAGTTGGTTCGGTAAGCCTCCTAGATGCGCCATCTACTATGAGTTAACTTAGGATTACCCTGTCAGTGCCCCGTAATTAATAGAGGAATTATGGTGTCCCCCTTTCACAGCCTCCATCCAGAACATGGCCTGTCCCTTGGGCGGACTCCTGGTTAGCTACTTCCTGGACCGCATCGGACGCAAATACACCATCCTGCTCACGAACCTGATTGGACTCATTGGCTGGATCCTGCTGGTCACCAGCTTCATGCACGACAATCGGGACATGATCTACTACCAGATGCTCCTGGGTCGCGCCTTTGGCGGCATTATGATCGGGATGTTTGTGTCGCCGGTGGGCGTTTATTCGGCGGAAATCAGCCTGCCGCGGATCCGGGGCCGGCTCATTCTGGGCACTTCGCTGGGCCTGGCCAGTGGCATCCTGCTGATGTACTGCCTGGGCTACTTCATACGCCACAACATTGTGCTGATCTTTGCCATAAGCTGTGGCTACCAGCTGATGGCCACCCTGCTCGTCTTCCCCATGCCGGAGTCGCCCAGCTGGCTGCTGACCAAGGGGCGCGAAGAGCGGGCCAGGACATCGCTCAGATACTTCCGAGGGCTGCCAAAGAAGGGTGAGTGAGCGATAATCGCCATGCAGGTCAATTCATTTACATTTAGATTGGAAAACCAGGGGGGGGCGAGCAATACTAATGCATAGTAATCAATGGGTGACTCATTTTTCATTTCTCTCAGTGTGGTCAGCAATTTGTGGCCATCGAATAGAGACTTTTTAAGTGGGTGGCTTTACAATAACAATAATGGTGAAGGAAATTCAAGTGATTTTGATGTGCCATTTAAGCCAAGTGATTATACGAATGTCAAGCACTGTAAGTGATTAATTCATTTGCCAGTATTAATTCGTTTTAATATCAGAAGCCTAAAATATATTTATGGTGATGTTAGTCAGGTCAGAAATAACAGCAATAACTTGTTAATTTATTTACTTTTTATTTAACAAGATTCTGATGTAGACACCTCAACAATTATGGCCCTTCCTAGCAGACATAAAGGCGTAGACTTAGTGCGGATAGATCCTTAAAATGTCCACTAAAGATATTAAATACGGACAAATAATAAGACTTTCCGCATTAGTTACGCTAAATGCTCAAAAACTGATGCGCAAACGGATTAGAATTGTGAATTCTCAGGATTATACCCGTTTGATATTGTCGTAAAAGATCCGCAATCGAAATCTTATTCAAATTCCTAAAATTATAGCATTTTCTGCCACGAAACCCATGACAGGTGATGTCCGCTTGAAATCCACAAAACTATCGTTTCCAATATTATAAACAAAGTTTTTGTCTGCTGGGTTGCGACACCAAGCAAGTGCTTGGGAGGAAATTACTACGGGCGACCTGCCTGATTGGTTGCTAAGTGGGTTAAAATCAAGGAGTCTAGTCGGTATATGAAGTTGTTTTAGAGCCCAAGCATCCTCATCTATTTAACCTCATAAAACTATAGCCCTTTTACCTATTTCCACAACAAGATAGCCTTACTTAGTCCCAATCTTAACCTTGCAGAGGCGGACTACGTGCCGGAATTCGAGGCTGAGCTGGCGCACATGAAGGAGGTGGCGGATGCCAGCATGAGCACCGCAGCCAGCGAGTCCCTCAGCCAGATGATCCACCGACCGGAGGTCTACAAGCCCGTGCTGATGATGACCACCTTCTTTGGCTTCCAGCAAGCCTGCGGCGTTGTGGTGATCATTGTGTACGCCGTGCAGATTGCCCAGCAGGCGGGCGTAACCATCGATCCGGTCCTGGTGGCCGTGATGCTGGGCGTGGCCCGGATCATTACCACCTTCTTTATGAGCGGCATCTTTGAGAAGTGGGGCAGGAAGCCGTCCGGCATATTCTCGGCCACTGGCATGGGCTTCTGCATGCTTCTGCTGGCCGCCGGCAGCTGGTTCCCGCAGTCGGTGGGCATGATCCACTGGCTGCCCGTCTTGTGCATCGTGGCCCACATCGTGTTCTCCACCATGGGCATGCTCACGCTGCCCTTCTTCATGATCTCGGAGGTGTTCCCGCAGCGAGCGAGAGGCAGTGCCTCCGGCATTGCCGTCTTCTTTGGCATGATCCTGGCCTTTGTCATGCTGAAGATCTATCCCAATATGGAGGCGGCCCTCGGCACCGCCAACCTGTTTGCCTTCTATGCCGGCATATCCTTCCTGGCGGCCGCCTTCATTGGCGTCTTTGTGCCGGAGACAAGAGGTCGGACGCTCGAGGAGCTGGAGGAGCGCTGGCAGACGGGCAAGTTCTCGCGACGCCTCACAGTGAACAACCTGAAGGATGTGGAATTGCATGAGGTCTTCCTGAAGAAGTAATCAACGAATGTGTAGATTCCAATTAATCGAGAAGCAAGGACAAGTCCCGGGAGAGAAGGGGTTATAGCTCGATTCCAGTGACACGCCTCATTATTATTTATTAATCTTAAGTTAAATTCTTCCGAAATAATTGGATAGAAAAATAGGTTCCCTTTTTTTTTTTTTTTTTTTTTTCCTTAAAAGTTTAATTTAAAAACCAAGAAGGATGCTATGGAATCAGTGGAATCTGGCTATAGAGTTTTGAAACGGGTCCCGGGGTATTCAATCTGTGATGTGTTAAGTACTTAGCAGCCTTGGCGGCCATGGAATGCGGCGTGTAGACAATTTGATGAACAATAAAAACCATTTACCAAGTAAACAAAGTCAATTGAAGTGCAGGGTGCAGCTGTTGCGGCGGGTAAAGTATAGAAACAATGCACAATCTCTATATATATTATATATCTTTTCTCTATATATTTATACATTTTTTGCATTATTAAAGAAATAAATCAGACAAGTTACATGAGAAAAAAAAAAGAAGAAATCAGGGACCTTGAATAATGATTATCAATGTTTTCTTTAAAGAAAAAAAAACACCCATAAAATTATAATTATTAATGACAAACAAAATATATTAAAATCATTAGATAATCATTAAACATTAATTTTAATTTTGTGCCCTGGAAAAAATTGATATCCAAAGTCAGGAATTTCAAGGTCATTGAACGGCAGGCAACCATCGATCCCCAAGGAATCGCCATCGAATGTTGCCTTCAAACCTCGATGACGAGTGAGTTATTGATTACACAGAATATTACTCAGCGATTTCAGTGTTTATTTGCAATGGAGGCGTCCGTGCCAGATAACACAGATTTGAAATGGACGCGACATGCATCTGAAAATCAGGTCATCAAATGGAGAATATATAAAAATAGATGTAACAACGAAATGAGAACCTATTAAGGCGACCGCTTTTCCAATACTCAACCTCAGATCGGTCTCGGTATCGTTGGCGCGTGCCTATTCCCCCAGTCGGGCCCACTTTCTGGCCCGGGAATTATGCAACTCCAAGGGAAGATTCAACCTTCAAGCTGCCCAGGCGGCAATACAAACAATAACTGGCCAAAAGCCACTCGAAACATGGCCATTATCGCCACCTGATAGTTCATTAAGCCCCTATATAAACATATACACCATATACTATCGCAGTCTCCGGGAGGTGCGATCGTGACACGTTGATGGATGATCGCGGATCGCGGATCACGGGGCGAAGGATCGCAAGACGCGTGAAAAGGTCGGCCCCTATCTAGCCTGGCATTGCGTGCTCTGACGTAATTCTGGAACCCACTAATTGGATTCGGTTGGGGGAAACGTGTCGCCAGCTATCAGCAGGCAACGATCCGGAAAAAAGTCCCATCACATCCAAGGGGAGTGTCAGTCGAGCGCTTTGTTTACCACTCGAACCGATAGCAATGCCCATATAATATTTCTATATAGTACTCGTATGTTATGTATGCCATACGTAGCCGTATTTGCCCGTATCGATACACTTGTAATGCGGCCAAAATTGGACGGGTAGGCACTTGTCGTGATTTGTTTGGCACTTGGGCTATAGGCAGGAGATCGCCTCCTGCTCCGGTGATATAATTGGCCAGGTAAGACATCCTCGAGCAAAGTGCGAAATATGTTACCGCAAGGCGACCTCAAGTGGCTTGTTGTGGAACAGCTCAAAGTGATAAGTCCTTCATTTTTGTGTGTATTTCGTGGTGACCGATAAAGAGGTATATTACATGTATGCCATTTTGTAAGATTTTGCGAATTGGACAATAGAAACCGATAGCTTTACTTGTTAACATCACCAGCTTCATTCTAAACAATTATAGTTTATTACTCAATTAGTTGGGTTGCGGAATTACGAGTAACTATTCGTGGTTTTCCGATTTTTCAAGTAGACAACCTTGAGTTAAAATCGTTGATATCTACGTTTAAAGTACTAAGAGTTACTCATAGATTAATAATTATTTGTGCCTTGAAAAAAAAAGACAGAAACAGCAACCGCGGAAAAAAATTGCATTAAGAAATGCTCGAACTGATCGAATTGAAAGAATTGATCAAATTCTAAAACAAGTTTCAAAATATTCGAATGCAAATTCAAGCCAACTCTTTATTTTATTATTTTGGTGAAAAACATCATAAGAAGAGGATGTTTTGTTTTAATAACGGTAGTGATCGCCAGCAGCTATACGTTTTAGAATTTGTAAAATTAAAATAAAGTCTTGGGACATGAGGTTCTTCAGTTTTCAGTCTTCAGACATCATAGAATGCCCCATATTTATTATCTGCAATAAAAGCGAAAATAAAAACAATTATAAAAAAACGAACCATTTTAAAATCAAGTAAATTAACTGAAAACGATCGAAGCGTTGCCTATCGGTTATCGGCGCCCGCGTGCTGTTGAGCGCACATGTGTGCCACCCCTAAGAGAAGAGCCGTTACTTTTCCATTCTGCTGTTTGAATTTTAAATGATTTCGTTTATTATTTGTTCTTTTCGTAATGTGACATCTTAAGTACAACAATTAGCGCTATTTCAATATATGTATATATGTGTTTTTCTTAATTTTGTTTTTTTTTTGTTTTTTTTTTGTATAAACGAATTAAAATTCAAGTTTTCTTCGTATTTGCATTTGCATTTGCGACTCCTTTGACCACGAACATCCCACGAGTCCTGTGTATCTTCTGCGTCTTCTCTGTGTTTCTGCTTATGTGTGTGTGTGTGTCGTTTATTCGGTATATTACGATTACGGGGTACATTACGTTATTATCATAATTATTATTTAAATGTTTAGTTATTTCAAAAAAATTTCCGCTCGGGACTTAATCGTTATAATCTCTATATATGTTTGTTTGTATGTGTATATATATATATATAGTATATATAGTATATACGCCTTGTATACGGTATAGTTAATATAATTGTTTTGCATTTGTCGAATATATTCCCTTTGTTTGCTTTGTTGCTTGCTATTTAAACGGTTTTATGTTTTTATTTCTCTTATTTGTTCCACTAATCTTGTTCTATGTATGAATGTATATTGCTTTTAGGTATATGATGCATTTATTTGTAGGCATTCTCAGTATTCTAACTTGATTTCCTTTTTTTTTTAAATTTTTTCATCTGTCGTCTTAGCTGCTCTTTGTTGGTGTTTGGTTTTGTTTTGTTTTTTTTTTAGAAAATCTTTCATAGGGCAGTTCACGTTTCACATCAATCTTCGCCAACGCCGATCGTTCGACCTTACTCGTACTTTGCTTGCAAAAAAAAACACTCCTCCTTCACCTTCTTGATCTACGGTAATATCGTAACTTTCCTGGTACCTTTCCTGGCTTGTCTAAATCTATGTTTACATATCGCTATATTCTCCGAATTCTATATAATTTGTCGGTGTTTTTGTCTCTGGAGATGAAAGATGAACGAACGCTATGCTATATAGGGAAAGGGAGAAAGACGAAAAAGGCGGAGATAGATTTGAGAGATGGTCGAAGTTGAAACCACGAAATAATACCAAAAGTTCCATAGGATAGATAAAGCGTCTATAATTCTGTCTAACCATGATCTCCATCCTCTCGCGGATGTGGATCTGCAATCCTAACTGGGTTTTGGGATCCCTAGAAGCACCGATTCACTACTTTCCGCTGTGTTGAGGTTCTTTTCAAGTCGTTTGTTGGTTGTTTGCTTGAATTTTTATGTTTTTTTTTTTTTAATTTTTCTTTGTATAATATGTTTATATAAAAACGCTTTCTCTTAGGCTAGAAAAAAAATTGTATGCATATTTCTGGTATTTTGGTTTTATGTTGTTGTTTTTATAAAAGATCTTTACCTTCTAGACACATTTACGTTGATATAAAAAAATGTATAATGTATAATGTATATTTCCGTTACATAATTACTTTCTTGCATTAATTTATTGAACAACATTTTAAATGTATTTGCGATTAGGTTTTCTTCTGTGAGGTTCTCATGTTCTACAACGTTAGTTATTCAAAAAATATCTTAAGTTGCGATCTCTCGGTATTACAACAAAATTAGCTTGGCTGCTTATGAGTAAAGAAAAAATTCTCTAAAGAATTACGCACAAAAAAAGTAAAGTAAATATCTATACTCTGACGTTCGAGAAAAAAAATTTATGATTTTGGTTTTGTTGTTTTTGTCACATGCTCAAAAAAAGTTGACAAAAATGATGCTCTTCTCTAGACAAAAAAAAATGAATATTCAATTATTCGATTTTTGGGTTGCCTTGGCAAAGTCGTCCTAAGTTACACGAGACCGCATTCTAGGTGCTATGTATACATATATATGAGTTCTTCTTCCAATTAACCGATTATTTTTTATGTAAATTCACTTACAGACTAAGGCTACATTGGTTGAGAGTATTTTCTTCGATTTAAGTGACCGGGCGCCCCAGTCCTCTGGATGGGACAGAGGCTTTAGAATGAGTGTCTTCTTGCATATTGTTTTAACGAACGCTTCTCGTCCTCGCACTTGTGTATATTTGGAATTATATTTTTCTTCTTTTGAATCGTAATATTTAGTATTCAGCACAACCAAGCTGTAAGTTATATCGAGTGTTTACTGTGTGTCTAGTCTCACTTAAATCTAGTTTGGTTTTTCAGTTTTTATCCGTAATTCGTTGACTCAATGTGCCGTCGAAACGTTTTTGGAAATTGGAAAACGTCATGTGGTTCAAATAAAAATAAAACTCAAGGTAAATGTGGGTTTGTTTGTAGTGAAAATGTTTATTAGGTTGCCTTAAATAACTGATTTTTTCTTCTTTTTTTTTTTTTTGTAAGTTTTCTTTGTAGGCCAGAGACAGGGTAATTAAATAATAAAATAAAGTTGTAATTCAGAAAAGTAGGCGGCGGTTCCTCGAACGAATAAAAATTGTTCACAATTTTCATGAAAACATAATTAATAAATGTGGGTTTATATAGAACTAACAAAAGTATCATCAAATAGTCGTTTTTCTTCTTGTTTTGTTTCTGTTCCATTATAAGTTAATGCACCAACACCGAAAAAATTGATTAGGCCCTAGGAGTGACCGGCAAAGAACACAAATGAAATATAAAAAACAATAACATCGAAATAAAATACAAAAATAAAATATTTAAGCGGGGCGGGTGCTGTTTTGAAACAAAAATAATAAACTCAGGTCGACTCCAGGTGCCTTGGATTTTGCGTGCTATCTTTCTTGTTTTTATTATCCTTTCATTTCCTATCCTTTTTCCAATTTTTCTTCCGTACTGTTAGCTGTCTCCTCTGATTTTCAGGCTCTCTATCACGGTTATTTCTTACACGTTTCCTTGTTTTTCTTTTTGTTTCTTGCTGCAACATGCTCTAGTTATTTCGTATAATAAACTAAACAAAAAAAATGTTTTCATAAAATGTATTTATATTTAGTAAAAAAAAAAACACGTATCATTCCATTATAGCTATGCAAAAAATTGTATGTGTAGTGTAATTTTGTCTGGGTTCTCTTTCTCCTATCGTCCTTCCTCCTTCCTGTCCATGCCACTCAAGCACATTTCTGGCCAAGTGTTTTTCTTTTGTTTTTCATTTATCCATAAACAGCCTGAAAACTTGAGCATGCCCAGCCACACATTGTTTAAGCCATTTCCATCGTTCGTTACACATAATATATATAGATGTATATTTAGACAAAAAAAATTGGGTTTATAAATTATGAAAAAAAAGAGATAATATACTCATATATATATCTGGTTTCACTTCAGCTATAAACATACACGAGCGGGCCCCGTGTACGTTTTTGCGGCATAGTTCGCGCCAAAAAAATCAGTTTCAGACACAGAAAAAAAAACAATCAAAGCTTATGTATTCACGTCTATAGCTATATAGTAGTAGTAGATATATAAATGTGTTTATATTTATGTGTATGTTGTATATATATATTTGTATATATTTTTTTATGATTATACGTTATAAATATGTGACAAAAAAAACTTCTCATATTTTGTTTTTCTCTAAGTGTAGCCAAAAAAAAATACCTCCTTCGCAGGCTCATCAATCATTACATATATATATACTACGTGTCTTGTCTTACAGATAATTACAATTATAAAAAAAAGTTTCCTCCCATATATAAAAAAAGCACAAAAAAGAAAAAAAAAACCGACTAAAACATAAGGGTTAGAGTGAGGAACAAAAAAAATAAGGTAATTCTTGGGGATTTGAGAACATAAAAATTTGGGTTTCGATGAATGCTGCTGCTTTTGCTGCTACTACGATGATCAATCGAAGAGTTTCTTAGTTTTATATAAATATATACGTTTGTTATATATAAGTTATAATTTGAAGATTGATTCTCAACTCTCAGGTTATGTCCGCCATAAAAATTGATTTGTGGTTGTCGCCGTAGATGTCGTTGGAGTGGATGTGGCTGCCGTTGTTGCCACTGTTGATGCTGCCGCTGATGTTGTTGCCGTTGGTGTGGTGTTGTTGAAACTATTACTGAGGTGTAGCTGCTGCAGCTTCAGAGTTTGCTGATGCAGTTCCATTTCACTTGCTGACATGGGAAAACTAAAGTCGTTCTGCAGCGAATTCTTGTGGTTATTGTTGTTCTGACTGTTAGAATTGTTGGTACTGCTAGTGCGTGGCTGCGGATTGCCACCAGTGTTGTTGCTGCGGCTATTGGAGAAGCTGTTGTTGTTGCTAGGGGGATTGTTGGTGAAGCCACTGCTGCTACTGGGGTAAATGCCGCTGGTGGCAAAATGGTTAACTCTGAGGCTGGGATGGTTTTCGAAGTTATTGCTGCTGCTGCTGGCATCATGGGCATTGTTGTAATTACCACCGTAGGCATTGGAATTGAAGCTGTTTCCAATCGAAAGCAAATTATTGCTTAAGCTGCCACTGCTGCCATAATGTCCGGACGCCTGCGATTGTTGTTGTTGAAAGGGCGGCGGTGATTGCATTTGCAATGGCTGTAACGGTTGCTGCGGCGGTTCCGGCGGCTGCTGTAGCTGCAACTGCTCCTGCAGATAATGCAGGGCAGCCACTCCATTCTGGCGTATTGTATTAAAGCCTAAGCTGTTGGTGTTGCCGTTGGCGTTGGCATTGCTGCTAGCGGTGTTGGTGTTGGTGTGGGTATTATTGTGATTAATGTTGTTATTGCTTCCATTCGGACTCGAGCTGTGAGCAGCAACATTGCCCAGGCGTGGCATTTGCGATTGTTGTTGTTGTTGTTGATAGTAGTGCTGATGATACAGTAGCATGTTGTTGTTGCTACCAGTGCCATTACCAATGGCATTGCTAGTGTTGGTACTACCGGTGAATCCCAACGCCTGCTGCTGTTGTTGGAGAAGTTGCTGCTGCTGTTGCGGTGACAATTATAAGTAGGGATAATGGTACTTCCTGCGGTACAGTCCGTCAAGCAACTCGGCAAAGTTTTCACCTATGGGAGCAATTCAGGAGGGAGAGACAAAGACGGTTAAGAAAATATATTTAATTAGTAAGTTTATCAATTTATATCTTTTTAGTTACTTAGTCATGCCTCTAAAAAAAAAAAAGTTATATATATAATTTAAAAAAAAAAAAACGTATTCTAAATCTCTAAATATCCTTTGGCCCTGAATGCTGCTTGAGCCCTGACTTAACTAGCCTAGGTGAGAGACTAATTATGTTTAGTATTTCGTTTAGAGAGTTTCGTTTGCCTTTTTCTTGTTTAGATGGTGTTGGGTTAGTGTTTATTGTTGTTTCTTTAATTTTTCTTTTGATTTTGCTTTGTTAATTTTTGTTTACTTTCGGGATTTGTAGTTGTAGTTATAAATCAAGCAGAAGTTTGGTTGTTAGCGGTTCGATGTCGCTGTGTCTACAAATTTCATTGTTAGCGTTTCTTTAATCACAGAGGTTTTTTCCCACTTTCGATTCGGTTGTTCCTTTAACACGATTGCAGGGTTTTCATAATTTTCATTTAACGTGCCATGTTTTCTTTTTTATTTTTTCTTGGAACTTTGGGATGGGATGGGGACTTGGATTGGAGTGTCATTGAACAGATTGATGACTGATTCTTTGATGGCTCTATATATGTGTGTATATATAGTAAAGTATATGATGTGACTGAACTGTTGCGTATATAAAACACTCACATACACGAAGAAAAGTCAAAGTCAAGTGCGTTCAAGGAACATTAGCAAGCAAAACAAGTCGGTATATATTGGTTAATGGTAAGCATCTAGTTCGTTTTATAAATCAGAGGAATCTTGGGGTCTTTGATAGTGATTCTTCGTTCGCAGAGCAGACAAAGCAGACCATGGATGGGAATATTGAACAAAAAAAAAATGTTGCTATTGTAGAACACTAAAAACATCTTTCCAAAGAGGAAGTCTAAAAGAACTTGGTTTTGTTAATTGTTTATTTTTAAAGGGGGTGAAAATATGAAGCGCAAGCAAACAAGGTTTTTAGTTAGCACAAATAGTTATTAAGGGCCAGCAACAAATTTCATTCCGATTTATTATTTTATTTCTTCTTTTCCAATTAAATTTGGAGTTCGAATTGGGTGGTTTCCATAAAGAAGTACAATTTTTTTTTTTTTGGCAATTACTCAATTGGAACTTTTTCAAATAACGCTCTACGCCCTTGGCACTCGCTCAGAAATAATAATAAAAATAATCAGAAATCAGTGGAGCGACTGCCAAAAAGGCCACATATTTTTATAACTAAATCGATTTTTTTTAAGAGAGAGATAATATGGGTATACTAGCTGAATTATGGCATATGAAAGAGTAATAAAGAAAAACATGGCACGCTTTGAAAAGAAAAATCTTGTCTTTTTTTTTCTTTTCTTTTTTTTTTTTGTGTTAATTTTATGCTTTTATAGATTATGAAGAATTTTAAAACTGAAATTTGAATTTTTGTTCTGCCTTCTCAATTATGTGGGAGCGCATGAGTGTGCGTGTTTCTGTGTGACTGCTGGTGTATATATGTGTGTGTGTGCTCTCTTCTTGATAGATTGATAGACTACTTATAACGATTATATAGCGCTATTCGATCTCTCAACTAGATCTCATTCTTAAGGGCTCTTAAAAACAAAAAAAAAAGAATTTAAAATTACTCAGGGATGCCACAGAAAACCGCTACGGGTTGGAAATCAATTAAAATGCTGTCTAAAAGTGTGCTTTAGAAAAATTCACCACATGCCGAGGCAATTTGCAGTTGAGCATTCCAAGTTGTTGCATACTTTTAGGTAACATTTCGACGTATTTGAGCCCATCAGCCATGCCATTTTCGTGGTAGCCCTGCTTAACCTTTAAGCTCTCCCTCAGGCGGAAAAGCAAATAATCTATGATAGATTACGACTAGGAGTAATTAATTAGAAATATGTATATATATAAAAAAGGAATAATTACTATCGAGACCGAAGATAGCATCGCATATAGCATCGAATAATGAGCGTAATTTTTCCATAGCTCCGTCTATAATAAAAAAAAGGAACAAAACGAAAAAAAAATTGTACAACTTGGATTAGTTGCGGCGCAAAAAGTTTTTTTTTTTTGTTGTAGGGTTGATTTGCTTGATTTTTGATGGGGGGAATATAAAAGATCGATTTGTTTTAAAAGTTTTTTTCAATTATTAAGATCTTTTTTCAACAACAATCAATGAAAATGAGTTGAATCGATCTTTTTTTCTTTACAACACTGACGTTGATAAAGGAAAAGCGACCGACTCGGGTTAGTGCTTTGAGTAGATTACAGAATACAGTAGAGTGTCTACGGCATGGAAACAACAAATGCGAAATACAATGGGGAACACAAACTACTTGTTTAACTTGGCAACGGGTTCAACTTTTAAACTGGAATGGCAGTCCAGCAACTAAATAAAGGCTATGACAAATTAAATCAAACTAAAAATTAAGCGAATTTCCAATACTGTCTTCGAAAGATCCGAAGTCGATTGCCTTGAAATTGATCTTGGGCATCATATGCTTTAGCAATGATATCGTTTACAAGTTCGCTTTAATAGCTTTTCAAAAACGTTGCATACCCTCTGGCTTTATTTTCTTTTGTTTTTTAAATTTTTTATGTTCCCATATAAAAATTAAACAACGTATTTCGACAAGCTTAAATATCGAACATGTCTATGTCTATTATCTTGTTGAATGGGTCAACTAAATTATGCAAATGATACTCAATGGAAATAAATATAAGAAATAAAATATCAAATAATAGTTCGTTCTTAAGTGTTTTTTATGTATATTTTTTGATTGGGAATGCAAAACAACAACAACAAAAAAGCAAATAAATATATTGTAATAAAATGTCAAACTTAAAGTCGGTTAGGCAAAATCTACAAGAAAGTTCGATAGAGTTTTTGCACATTTGCTGCTTGGCTTCGGTAGAAACAATTATAAATATTACTCTTATAGTAGTTCTATGATTTGATTTCTCGAATCCACACTGAACACTGACAGGCACAGAAAAAAAACGTATACAAAAAAATGTTGAAATAAATATGGTTATTTTAGATATGATTATGCGATTTTTAATTTTTTTTTAAATTTTTTTTTAGCACTAGCCATAGATGATTTACAAAAAAAAAATATAAAAAAAATACAGCTCTGCACACAGTATCACTTGGAAGAGAATGGTATCGTCGTATGCATGAAATACACTGGCAAAAAAAGTTAAAAAAAAATAAGTAGCGATGTTTAAGGTTCGTTTTCCTTTATTATTTGATAGTTTTTTGCACTGGAACCGATAAAGGGGTGTGGGGAGAAGAGAGTCAACAATACGGTCATATTGTTTTTATTTTTTTTTTCGGCGATTAAAAAAAAAACATCAATAAATTTTTCACAGTAAAAAAAAGAGTAAAAAAAACAATATGATTGATGAAGGGGGAGTTGGTATCATATTTCTGAAGGTTTATAGAGGGTGGTTTTTGGTGTGATCTTTTGGCAGCACCCCGTTATCGTTTCGGTTGAGTGCGCGCATACTTACCATGCGCCATTTTCACTTCTTTCTATTCAATTTCATAGTGTCTCTCTCATTGTCTCTGTCTGTCAAACAGCCGTCCGCCTCTCTCTGTCTCTTTCGCCTGGGGACAAGAGCTGTAAACAGAAATACTGCACTCGCGCTCTCGTTCGTACTCGCTCGCACTCACGCGCATAAGCGATGGGATGGGGGCATGGGCACTGGGATCCTGTCAATACTCGCTATCTCTCTTTACCTCTTTCACTCTTATCTCTTTCTCTCACTCCCACATATACACACACACGCACGGTAAGGCAGATAAGCAAGTTCAAAAATAAAAAACAAAAACAACAAAAAATGTAAATAGGAAAAACTATCAGAACAATGGGAGAAAAACTTCCCGTTGCAAAGTATTGACGGCCACGTGTTGTTTTCCAACACTGATTGATTTTCAAATTTGCTTGGAACTTGAAAAAAAATAAAAAAAAGTTGTTGGTTGGTTTTGGTTTTTAAGTTCGTTTTGCGTTTCGCCTTTTTATTATATTCGTTTTCTCTGGTCACACTTTTTCGGCTTTTTTACTTGGTTTTTCCTTGTTTTACGCTGCTTTTAACGCACTACAAACTAAATAATTATTAAAATTTAACGCTATTTTATAGAATAGATTGTATATAGTTAAATATATATGTATATTATACGTATCTCTATATAAGTAAATTTTTTTTCTTTTCCTTTAAAAACTGGATGAAGGGTTAAAATAATTGGAAACAATTGCGTTATTTTGTCGATTTTTGTAGATTATTTCTGTTGTTTTTCTTGCTGTGGATTGTAGAAGCTGTAGTTGTTGTTGTATTTTTTTAGCTGGTGACGATGAGAAATTAAAACTTAAAGGAACAGGACGTGATTCAAAAATTTGATATTTGATAGCTGATATAATATATATTGATGCGATTTGAAGAGACTGAAGAGAGGGGAAGAGCTAAGTGGGTTAGGTAGTTTTGAACGGGCAACGCTTTTTAATTTTTTACTCCTTTAAATTTTTATATTTTGTTGATTTTTTTATTTCAGTTCTGTTTGCATTGCGGCAATGTTTATTTTTATCATCGTTTGTTTCGCACAGTCTTTTGTGAACGGGGAAAAAAATTAAAAAAAAAACTGGAGCTGGTTATGCTTGGGTTTATGTGGGTTATGCATAAACTCTCCTTTGTAGAAATATTTGTTTACTCTTTGTGTTGTTACTCTTTTTTTTGTATATTATTTTTTTTTTTTTAATTAGTAGGTATCGATTCAGTCCGTGGGTGGTGGTATATTCACATTAGTTGCGATTCCATTTGTTGTGATTAATATTTCTCAATTTAGGTGCTTTTTCATGGTGTATTACTTTTTATGTTTTATATAAAAAAAAAAATATTTTTTGTGTTGTGCTGTGTTTGTTTGTTGTTGTTTTAGCCTAATAAAACCATCTACAAATCGGAGAAAAAAATTATTTCCTAAAACGAACTGGTTCCGCTTTAAGTTCCGACACACACACTTAAAAAAAAATTGTAAAAAAAATTACACTTTTGAACTAGGACCCAAAATCCTTGAAGAACTAGTTTGTTCGTTACCATTTCTGTGGGTGTGAGTGTGTGTGTGTGTGTATGTATGTGTGTTTGCTGTTGTTGTGGACACTGCACAAAATAAAATCTCAAGTTGATGGAAATTCCCGTATTTAAGTTAGTATAAAAAATGTACGTTTTAAGGGTCAGGGGGGTGGTTGTGTTTCTAAAAATATATTGTTTTTTGTTTTGAAAGATCTTTTTATACAAGTTAATATGTAATTACACTAAAAGAAAAAAAATGTACAATTCAATTTTTGTTTCTTTTTTATGTTTTGTTTCAAAATACAAGATATATATTATTATAATATATATGCTTGTTTATAAATTGCAACAATTAATTGAATTTGTTTTGGTGTTACGAGGAAAATTACGAAGTTAAAATAGAAAATTTAAACTAAATATGCATTTGTTGTGTGTTGTTAGTTAGAGTTGTTGTTTTGTTTGTTGTTGTTGCTGTTTGTTTTGTTGTTGTTGTTTATAGTCGAATACAAAAAGGAAAACGAAAAAAAAAAGGAATCCTTAAAAGGGATCAGATGTAAAAATCATATACATAAGGTATATATTCCATATATTTCAGTTAGTGTCTGGCTTTTCTTGTGTGTTTCATCTTGTGGCCTTTGTTCGTTTCTGTTCTTTTTTTTGTTTGTTTTGTTTTTTGTATTCTGTTTTGTTTTGTATTATCATTATTTTCTGTTTAAATTAACTTTTTCGCATCCATATAGGGATGCGTTTTTTGGAAGCGTTGTTGTGATTTTATTGATCTACCTCTGTGCACCATATTGTTATGTCCAGGAGCAATAAGTGGTGGTGGCGGCAGCTGAGGGGCGTTGGGTGGGACCACGCCCATCTGGGACATAAAGTGCGCCGCCTTCGCCTTGCCATGCTCCTCCGCCAGCCGAACGGACAGCGGCTGCGATCCGCCCTCGGGTATTACGTTGTTCAGCGCCGATATGGCTTCCTGTGCCTCCTCGCGCTTGTTGTAGCTATATTTCGTTATTATTTTAATTATCGGGTGTACACCACACGTCGTACGTAAGTACATTGATGGTTTGCGATAGAAATGAGCAATGGAAAATGTGAGAGAAAGAAAGAAAACATATGAGCCGGGAGTGTCAAAAATAAAAGCAAAAAATCATATCAAATTTGTCAAAGAGAAAATTCAGTCAAAGTTCTTCGGGATGAATCCTCTTTTACTATTATAAATGCATCTTTGATTTCAAGTACAACTTGAATATTCTAAGAGATACAGAGCGATCGCTCGACTCAAAGAACATCGACTGTTTGTAAGAATAGTTTCTCTCAAGCGTTCTGATTACTTAAATGTAGGATTACAAACAGAACTTGGCACTCACCGAACAAACGCCACGCCCCGCGGTCGACCCGTGAGCTTGTCACGCAAGATATTCTTCTGCACAATGGAACCGTACTTGCCAAAGATGGTGTCTAGCTGATCGTCGGTTATGGTGCGCGGCAGATTGGTTACATATAGATTGGTGTCCTTGATCGATTCACCGCCTGGACGAGCATAGGAAACCTGAAAATGAACCGAGAACAGAGAACAGAGATAGATGTGTTACGTCTCTGGACCTGTACATTTTGATTTACAAAAACAAAAAAAAAACTCACCTTTAGCCGCTTGTTTCGCACTGTGATGCCGTTAAGCACTTTGATCGCACGCTGCGAATCCATTTCGGACGTGAAGTCCACGAAAGCGTATCCAAAACTGTAGCCAGTCTGAAAGATCATGGTCAATGATTAGTTCGTTGGCAGAGATTCACAGGAACTCTTCCCCTGGCACGGTTGGGCGCTTAGACCTACCTTATAGTCTCTCATGATTCTGCACGTGTTAATGGGTCCGATGGCTCTGAACAGGGCATACAGTTCGCGATCAGTCATATCCTGCGGCAAGTAGTTGACAATCAGGTTGGTGTTGCTCGCCCTGGGATCGTTTAGGTGATCGTCGCTGCCGCCGCTGCCTAACGACAGGCCGCAGAGATTGTTCAGCGAATTGTTGCTGGTTATCGGCGGCAGGTTGATAATGTTGCCGCCAAGGGAGTTGGCACTACCGCCATTACCGCCGCCACCGCCGCATCCGGGGAAATCATTGTAACCGCGACGCGACGAGGAACTTGGAAATGAGAATTCTGTATCCTGTGGCGAGAACGCATAACGTGACTGTAATCAGATTGTACAAAGGGTATTCTAGTGTTGAGAGAAGGCCTCATATCGCTGTCTTGGGGTTGATTGATTGATTGATTAGTTTGGGTATTAGTTGGTTAGATTGGATGGTTTGCTGCTGCTTGATTCTTTCACTTTAGCTGATTGAACGTTGCTCACTTGTTCAGTTAGTTGGCTCGAACAACGGGCAACAACAACAACACACAACTGTTAATTGTTAACTGTTAAGTTTAAATTGTTAACTGTTAAACTGTTAATGATGAGGTGACACACACAAGGTACAAAAACTGGATATTAAAACGTAGAAACCTATGGACAAAACGAAATGGAAACGGCAACGGCAATTCCAAATGCATTCAAAATCGAAAACCTAAACCGTAGTTTAAACTCTTTTGCTCTCGAATTGATTTTGTGTGGCTAGTTGAGGCGTTCTTAAAGGCGTGCTTGAGAAACTCCAGTGCAGCAATTGGTATTTGAATTTATTTGGATTCAAGCTCTGAATTGAAACATTCCCTTGTATAATCGCTGTACATCCGTGTAAGTATTTTGTGGTGATGGCATTTGTCTTGTGTGAGCTAAACGGCATTCACAGGGTTGCAAAAACGAAAGACAAAAGAAAATCGAATTGCAAGAAATGCATAAAGTTTAGTCTCTTTTTTGTAGTTTTCTGAAATTCTCAAGTGTTTTGTGTGGGTGTGTATACGCTTTGTAGTGGGTGTGCGATGGGGGGGAATACAGTGCGTAACAAAACAGCAAGGTATCGATCGATATATTTCAAGATATTAATATCTTTGAAAATATAAAACGTTGATATTATATAATATTGTATACATATTATATTTTACTTGTTCATATTTATAATATGAATTGAAACTCTCTTTGTTGAATATCCCAAATAAAGAAAAGTTTATGATTTTTCCAAAACTTTAAAACCATAATTTAAAGTGACGGGCATTATCGCATCTGTACAACTGTTGCTATCGTTATGCCAAGCACTGTACAGGCGAAGGAGGGCAGAATGCCGAACGGAAACCAAAGCTGAGGCGGAAACGGAAATGGAAACGGAGGAACGGAAGTAGGAGGACGCACAAGGTGGCAGGGCGATACCTTAAGGTACGCCATTTGCTGTTGATGTCTCATGCAGGTTAGATGTGTGTGTGTGTTTTATAGCTTAGTCTCTGTGTGTTTGATTGTTTAGTTATTTCTATTTAAGGGTTTTGTATTATTAAAAAGTTTTTTGTGTTGTTGTTGCTGGTTGGTTGGTTGGTTAGTTTGTTAGGGTTGTTGTTTTCGTTTCTGTTTTTGTTCTTGTTTGTTTAGGTTTTGTTGTTTAAAATGCAAACTTTAAGTTGTTGATTTTTATTGTTATTATAAACCAAAATGAAATTTATCAGCATCCATAAAAAAATTGAGTTAGGTTTTGGTATTTTTTTATTTGTTGTTTTTTTTTTTTTTTTGCTCGAAAATTGTAATCAAAAGCGTGTGTCCCCAGAGCGTTCATGAGACAAACTCAATATCATACAACTATTGATAGGAAAAGGCATAAAATTTATATTATTATTGTCATTGTTGATAATTATTATTAAAAACGGAACCGAACAAAACAAAGTACAAAATCAGTCAATATCAAATGCATTGCTTTTTTTATTTTTATTTTTTTTATTTTATTTTTTCTTTTGTGTTTTTCTCCGTTTGGTTTGCTCATGCAATAGAATTTGATCGCTAACAATAATTATAAATTTCAGGCGTGAAAAGAGAGATAACGTGAGTGATACTAACCATTCCAGATGGCAGTGAATGGGACATGCCAAAGCCACGCCCACCGCTGTTCGTCGATCCAATCGATTTCATTTGGGAAAGAGAAAACATCGATTAGTACACGGGAATATGATGATGTTGTTGGTATTTTTATTGAAGAAAATACTATTTAAAATTATCAAAATTAAATGTATAAAGCGCAATTTACGTTTTATATTTATAATTATCTTTAAAATGATTAAGAAATGTTTTGGCGTTGGATGATCTGACGAATATCACTAACTTAGGCTTAGAGCTAACTTAATTTGAATAAAAACGCGGCAGAGGTACAGTCACAAGGCATACTGTTAGCTGGCTAACAGCACGCTGTTAACTAACCTGACCCGCATATTCTTATTCGACCTAAACTTATTAATACTTGCTAACTCAAATAGAAGTTTTGGAAAAGTGATTAGGGATTTGGCTTATTCTCAGGTAACACAACTCGGCTTATCTACTCTGAATTGAGAAGATCCCGGTTATATACACCGTTAAGGACTGGCGCAAATCCCTTGCATAGAAAATGTAAAAAAAAAAATAATCAAATTTCACTTCAAAAAAATAAACACTTAAAAAAATAGTCACTTAAACAAATTTTGAATATCCTTTTTTCATGCACTTTCGATTCACCGAAAAAAAAAGACAAAAAATTATGCATTTGCATGGTGCTGTTAAGCCCAATTCTCAAATCGAATAATCGGACACCATTTTGTATGCAACACTTTTTCACTTAAAAAAAAATGTATTTGATGTATCACTTGTAGGGCACTTGAAAAAAATGTAAAAAAAAAAACAAGATAATGCAGACGTTTTCTTTTATAAACTCGGCATCTTCCCACGTCGACTCTGGATTACTATGTCTACGTTAGGGCTAATACAATGCGTGATTCTCCCCATTTTTTTGTATTTTCTTATGGTTTTATTTTTGGGTGATTATAGTCTTACTTACGGGCATTGAAGGCGTCCTCGATTCAAGAACATTTTTGGGGGGCGGAGGGGGCGCGATTGCCCCCCGTGCAAAAAAAATGAACTACATACTATCTAAGGAGTCAGTGTCTTTCGATTTCGCTTTTCGCCGATATCGCTTGTGGTGGCGGCTGCTTCTTTCTGGGCTGTGGAAAAAGATGTCTGCACACGATTAAATTCAGCTGCGGTACGACGACGATGATGGCGGGTTACGTAATTTGGCTGGAGGGGATTTTTTTTTGTGTGTCATGGTTGTGAGTTTGTGTGTGGGACGGATATTTGACTTTTTTGATTAAGTTTTTCATTTTTTATTTTGGAGCACAGTAAAAAAAAGATGCAAAAAAAAAATAAAGGCAGTGTGACAAAAATTCTCAAATATTCGAAGGCAAGGTCACACTGCTCCTCTGTTGACTGTTGATTGTTGACAATTGTTGATTGATGTGATGCTGCTGCTGCTGCTGCTGCGGACTTTGTAGTTGTAGTTGCTGTAGTTACTAGCTTTTGATGACCTTAAGCAAATGTTGCGCTTTAGCATTTTGCCTTTTGGCTTTTATTCATTTCCTGCCGCTTCTCTCCCAATAGAGAGATAGAGACGGAGTGATTGAGAGAGAGGTTGGGGGGTAAGGGCAATTTGTTGGCTATGCATTTGGGATATGTATGTGTGGGAGTGCGTGTACATCATGAGTGAGCGAGCAAGCGAGATGGCGACCCAATAACCACAACAACAACCGGTACGCTTAAGTCTAGTTTCCCCACATACATACGTAGCTGTGTAAAAGGGACGACCCTACATACATAACTTAAGGCTATCGCATGTCAAGGTCCTGACACAATTTCCGCAGAGCATGTGGTGCATAAAGCTGTGGTTGCACTATTTACGTTTCGATGGACTGCCGCCGAATATTTTGCCATAAATTATATGAACCCCCCAAATAGGGAAAAAAGAAGCAGCAGCTGCAGTGGAGCCAATGACGCCATATTTTCTAGTTTTAAATGCAAAAGTTCAACGGCAGCTGCTTATTCTTACTTTATATGTCACGGCCCCCTGGGGATTCCTAGGAGCTTTATACAAATCAGACTACCACTTGACCCCTCTCTTTATAGGTTTTTGTTCTTTATTTTTTTGGCAGCAAAAAACAGTCAAGTGTGATTTCTTAGGCAAAACTTAAAGCTTACGTTCTACTGAAGATCTGACGATGGAATATAAATGGACAATGCTAGGCGAGAGAAAAGAAAATGTCACAAAAATTAAAAGAAAAAAGAATCAAGTAAACTCAAGGCAATTAAGGCAACAAAGAAAATAGTTTTAGTACAGTCACACCAAGCAGCAAGTATGGAAAAGAGACAAAGAAACAGAGGAGAGTGAAGCAACATTTACCGGTACATTGTGAGGCTGCTTAAGTTGCACAGGCCGCACGATGAGAACGTTTTTAGGCCGTTTCTATAATCCTCTTGCCACAAACGAATTGCACAGATACGGATACATGTATCTGCTTTGGTCTACGCGTGTGTAGTACAGTGTTGTGTTGTGAGTGAGGGGAACAGATTTAACAGTTCCGATTCCCACCGGAAATCGAACATGGCGCTTGTTGTTTTCTTCTTCTTCGTCTTCTTATTAAGTTTTGTGTTTAAATGCAATAAATATATACACTATATATGTTGTGGAAGATTGCGATTACTTTACGTTGCTTTACGTTGCTTTACGTTTTCGCGGGTATCATTTTTGCATATTGCTTATCTTTTATCACATTCAACTGTAAATATAGGACAAAAATAAAGAACACATGGCATGGTTGCCGTTACGAAAAACACGCAGACTATCATCAATCAGCGGATGTGTAGGTGTACGCAGTATGTGTGATCGCATGAATGTATGCTATGATAAATGCCAAACTAGAGCGAACGAGATGGCAACTTATGTACATCTAATGAAAGGGGGATATGTAATACAAAAAACTTAGAATCTAAAAGTAAAATAAAAAAACATTACAATTGGGAGCGGAGTTTTTTTTTTCTAAAGATTCTTTAAGGGATATATATATATAGGGGGATTCCCTTAAAAACGCTTGACTGTTTTCTGCTGCTCTGCTTCTCGGTCAATCTATATGCCTGTGTCTGTATATGTATGTATATATGTCTTAGCTGTATTTAATTGATTATTGATTTTGCATCTATCAGTGGCTGCACACCATCTGGTGCATGTAACAGTTAATTATACTTATAAACAATGCCGCCGCTATTGAAATCCTTCTCCTTGCCATAGCTGTGGTTGTTGCGGTGGTTATGGTTATCCATCATCGTTTCTTTTTGTTTCTCACACTCTCTCTGATTATATCAGAAAATAAAACAATGAACGAAATCCGAAATAAACTAAAAACTAAGCTGTGTGTATGTGTGCTGCGCAAAATGAGATGAGAGACAATTTCGTTTGTGCCACAGTGACGACGACAGCAAATCGATAAGTTTCTTAGTTTATCGATTGACCATCGACATGCTCCCTGCACACACACATACCAATGCATATATAAGCCTCCAAAAATTTGCCAACGGAAAGACTTCGAAGAACCTGACAAAAAAAAAGGCGTTGGCCGCAAATGAACTTTGCTAGCAAACATGGAATTTCTGTTTCGTATAAACTATACAAACAAATATGCTAGAATTATCTGCATCTGGGAGATCTGGGTAAAAAAAAATTAGGTACACTTTCTCATTCGTATGTGTGTTTGTGTGTTATGTGTGGGGTAAAAGGGAGTGGATGGGAAGGGGAAAGGAAATCAACAGTCGAATTTCTCCACTTGTATCTTGAATATTTATTGTTCTTTTATACATTTTCTTTTCTACACTTTCAGGCAAACTAAATGTGTATTAAATTTGTATTTTAGAATTACATTATTATAACATTTTAATCATGGGAAGAAATTCAACTGTCTTTTTAAATTGCAAATGTTTTAAGGAGAAAAAAAACAGGAGTTTAACGTATAAATGAATATCAAACATAAGAGAACTCAGGTTTAAAAATTTACCTCGACTTGTTGTTGTAACCATATGGGGGATAACCACCGTTATTATTGTTACTACCCGGATTATTATTGCCGTACATATCCTGAGAGTTGCGAGTGTGTTTGTTTTCGAATCAACAAAAAATTACACCCTCGAAAATACACCGAAGGTGCTAAGGGATGAGGTGAGTCGTGGTGAGTAGAGGTGAGTGGTGAGTTGAGTTGAGGAGAAAGCTTCGATCTCGCGCGCTCTCCTCGACTTTTGGCGCTCAGCGCTCTCAGCTGGCCTGCTGCTGTTGTTTGTTGTTGTTATTCTGCTCGTTCTTCCTCTCTTCAATTGTTTATTGCTTTTTTGACGTGTAGTTGTACTTAAGATTGCTCTTAGAATTAAGTAGCAGATTCTTCCTTTCTCTTTTTAGCATGGACACTCTCTTAGTTCTGTTATTCTTTTTCTCTTAGTGTATGCTCATTTGCAGTTATTTATTTTGCTGTTGTTGTTGGTGGCGCGCTCTCAGCTTTGTGTTGTAGTTTTAGTAGTTGAAGAGATGATATTGTTGTTGGTACTAAGTGGTTGTAGAGTTTGGATTTTATTTTAATTTATTTGTATTTTTTATTTTATTATTATTGGGAGGGACAAGGAAGGGCTCTACATTGATATACGAATAACAAAAAAAAAAACATTACAACGTCGTGAAATTGTGTGCAACGCGAAGTTGTGAACGAGACATATTATGAATACAAAAATAAATGAACAAATAAATCGTATTACTTATCGAGGAAATTCATGCCATGTGTGTGGTCCTGTATGTAAGGTTATTGAAAGCTAGAGTTGCCTTCGCGATTAAAAATTAAATAATTGTTTCCTAAAACGAACACATTAACTTTAAAAGTTTTGATATATTATTCCCATTAACATTAATATCACAGCCTGCTCAACCAATTTTCTTATCATTCTACAAAAATGTCTTTATTTTGCGGTAAAAATTTGATAAATATGTGTAATAATACACCCTATGTTAGTATTAATAATTTGCCTACACTAGGACATTATTTGAAAATATTTTTGTGCTTACAAACATCTTAAATGCTTAACACTTATCACATTGCATACAGTCGCCTGCCTTCCTAGCAACAAAGACTCGACCAGACTTCCCATATCATCATTTGAAATCAACAATTTCTTAAACAAAATTTATTTAAACCAATTGCGCTTGTATACATAAATTTAGTGGTACGGATCAAGTGAAACTATTCTGGACATACCTGGCCATTTTAAAATTATAGAAACACGACATGGTCGATTGGGGTGTCACAGTATCAAAAGTAAAGTCCATCATGGTTAAATCACAAGGTAATACTTTTTAGGCAAATTGAATTTAAGACACAACGGAATCACAAGATCACAGGACACAAGTTAGACTTGTCACGAGTGGAACTCAACTGAAGATGTCCTGTCAGCCACCGAGGTATTTAAGGATCGGAGAGGGGTTCGGGCTAGTGGGCGATGGGCGGTGGGAGGCGCAGGTAGAATCGAGGGAGGCAAGGTGCGCGTGCCAGTCGCGTGGGCTACCTAAGTTATCCCAACATCCCACCGATATTATGATCCTGCAAGGAAGCGTGCCAGGCGTACTTTCTTGGGTGGCCGGCTGCATCTCGCGGATCCCCGAATCCCAGATCGAAGACAGGCAGGCAGATGTTCCGCATTCTCGGAAGCTGGATGCTGATGCCGGCAAGGTGCTAACTTGGGTGGAAAATATCGAAATGTGGAAATTGGCAAGCTGCAAATTGGTTACTAGGAAAAGCAGCAAGCTGCAACTTTTTGACCGGCTTCGTCAGAAGATCGGAATGTTTTTTCTAATGAAGATCCCAAGACCAATTGCAGTTGATCCAAAAGCCATATAATTTGCATATGGATACAAGATTGATACTTGATTGATTTTTGTATTCAAAGCCAAAAATAATTACCTAAGACAATCAAATTACTCAAAAGAGAATTTGGAATTTAAATTTAATTTGGATTTAAATATTTAATATGCAGGAAGTTATTTAAAAATAATTCAAATTAAATATTTTAATCAGCCTTTTCATTTTAAGTAATATGCAGAAAGATTTTTGACATTTTGTTTTTTACATATTGTTAAAAAATATATACGTTAATGGTATGCATAGATGCATACTTTCACTACGATAATCATTCATATTTATCCTTAATCGCCATAAATATAATCCCCACCATAAATAACCCATTACAGAATCCTACAGCCAGCAGTTCCAGCTGCCTACTTTTTGCTCGGATTTTAGGCAGTGGCAGGTGAAGATGCAAATTGACCTTCCCGCTTATAAAAACGCCGGCTGGAAAAAATTCTTGCAGCCCAAAATGTCGAATTACCAAGAATAGAGAGCAAGGGAAAATTCTTAGCCAGTTTTCATCAGAAGCATTGAGTCAGTCAATATGTGTGGTTCACTACTATTTCAAGAGTCAACAAATATACATTGTTACTAACGAAGTCAGATAACAGTTCAAAGAAATTATGTTTAAGTGGACTGTGTTTTAAAATAAAATCAAGTAAGTTGAATATTAATATTGGTATAAGTAAAACATAAATCAGAATTCAAACACAAACAATAGAATAATAAATAAGAATAATATTAAAAATACTGCAATCAAATTTCAGCTCTATGAATTTTAAATGGGCTTTATGCTATATCTTCAGGAAAAAATCGAAAGATACACATGTATACATATGTACATCTCAGGATCCCCCCGACTTGAAAAGAGCAAGGAAACTTCTATCCAAAACTTTGTGCGAAGAGAGACAGGACGAGGAAAAGGGTGAGGGTAGGGGAAAAGGAAGAGAAGAAAGTCGGGAGCCAGAAAGCGTTGCTAAATTGAAAACGAGGGAAGCAGCTTCAGAGGGGCGGCAGCAGAGGGAGCGGGGCGGCCTAAATCGTACAACAACAAGAACAATGTTGCTCGAGAGGAAAAGCGTGCAATGGAAATGGGAGGTGGATGGGATGGTGACCATTTCGAGGGCTGCTTTTCCCCATATACATCAGATTGCCCAAAAAAAAATACGTACATATATACGAAAGAGGGAAATATGTACAGAGAATATATAAAAGAGCGTGTGTACCTCACTTTCCAGCGTGAAAATCCACAGCATGAGAAAGACCAGGCGTAAATGGAGGAAGAAAATCGTCACAGGGAAGGGAAAACAAAGAAAAGCGAAAAAAATAAGGGAAACAAACTAGAAGGGTAACCTGAAGGTCTCTTTAGAAATAGAGAACCCAAAAAGCAGAGTACCGAAAGTAGCCTTGGGTTTCGTATTCAGAGAGGTGAAAGCAAAATCACTGAGAAATCAAAACCCTCCTCATAACAAAAATAGAAAGTCCCTCACGTGTGTACAAGCTCTCATGGAAAATATCATGGACAATATCAACAACAAATGTAATTTCAGCTTCAATTAAATTTATAACTTTTTAGAAAAAAAAGTGTTAAAAATCCTCCAGAAAACGTGCATATTTAAAAAACAAATATGTTTCAGTGAAAATTCCAGATTTATTTTTAGGGGGAAATATTTAAAAACACCTTTATACTCATAAATTTAATATAATAATATAATGCTTTTGTTTAAAGCCAAAATCCCAAAGTTCGACTAAAAATGTAAGTTACTCTGTTAAATAAAAAATATAATAAAATTTCAATTAAAAAAAGGACGTGAGTAGTTGCAGAATTAGTTAAAGAACTGATATGATCGATGTTAAACTTTGACACAATATTTATTTATTATAAACAAAAACATAACGAAACAAAAATTAAATGCCTAACCCCCTGTTGACATGTATATTGATTTTAATGGAAATAACATTGAGTCATTACACTGATTTTTTTCTCTTTGTGTACAAGAGAAAGAGAACGCCGTAAGCAAAACTTTACAATTGATAACAGAAATCGACTAATTTGGAGCACACTTGTGTAAATAGAGCAGCCTATATTATGCACACGCATTTCGCATGTGTGTGTAGAACAGCTGTTGATAAGAGCGTAATGGGACAGAGAGGGCAAGTGGGATGGTGCCCATAGATCTCTTTCTAACGCTTACAGCTGCGTGAGTCATGCGGGTGGTTGGACTGCTGCATATGACATGCGTGAATGAAATCCCATGGATGGAAGAGCATTGCCAGATGCAATCAACGATCCCATCGAACATTCCAGCTGATCGCTCGCATGATTATTGTTTTTGCTAAAATGTTGTTGCACTCTCAAGTGGCTCCAGTGTGTGTGTGCTGGATATATGTATTTGTGCTTGTGCCAAAACAAAACACGAAAAGTTTAGCGGGCGCACTAGTACAGGGCTTACTAAAAATGAAAGACAACTTCTAAGCACAAAGTAAAACTTTTTATTCAGTATATTGTAGTCCCCAGGGCAAACAACCCCCGTAATATAATGCATTACACTTTTGTGTTGTAAAATAATATAACAATTATAAATTGGGTTTGGAGTTTATCAGTGGAGATCACTGTACATTGAATTACATTGATCGCTGACCAAAAAAGATTCGCAACTGGTACAAAACGAGCATGGGAAGTGTGTTATTTTGTAATTCGCACCAGGGAACGACCTTCGCTGAATGAGGGGAGCCGCCACCGGCTGGCATTACCGTTCCAATGTAATAAGCCAAGCTCGATCGAGTCGAGCAATTCATGTCATTGCCAACACCAAGGGGAATGACCGCAAGAGAAGGAGAGAACAGGCAGAGGCGGTTTGAAATGCAGCTACCCCCCTTCACGCTAGCTGCAGCTGGAAAGTAAAACAAGCGACAGCTGAGAGAGCCAAAAAAGGAACAGAGTGCAGACCTACACAAGGACACTGTTCTTCCATGCGCGCTACCTGCTCGAAAAAATATATTTCCTTCGGACAGCCATAAAAGAAAACAGGCGCGTGTCCCTTAATCGGGATCAAATCAAGTCATAATATCATTGGTAACCTATCCTGACGAAACCGTTCCCATCGAAGATTGCAATTATTATAATGGCTGATGCACAAATATATTGGCATATCTTATCCGAAAAGATAAATCGAAAACCAAAACACAAAAACACGTTGCCGTCCACGATAACAGCTGGCAATGCTGTCGACGTCGACGCCGACGTCATGAGGTCGCAACAGTCGTGTATCGCAAACTAGCTACACCTCGAAACAAAGGGGAATAATAATACAAATATAGTATTTTCACTCGGAGATTTGCTGGACGTTGGTAACAAAAACCAGCGCAATGTATACGTATTTGAATTTAGTAAAGCTGAGAAGATATATAATAACTGTATTCTTGTTCCTTTTAATTCGAAGTAGTTTTTTGCTTCTAAAAAAAAAACGCAATTCTAAACGCGTGACTAAAATAGATATTAAGAAACAGGAAGTACAAGTGCAGGATAGGTAAATATATACATATGTACTCGGCTGGAACGGCAGCGGAACTAAAGGACCTACAAGAGGCGAATTCAGGTAGGCGGCCATTTATTGCTGGATGCGACTGTATGCATGTGTTGTTGCAAGTGTGTTTCCTCGTCGTTTCCCTTCTTTCGTTTTTTTTTGTGTTAATAATTTTTTTGCTGCTTTTGTTATTGGCTCCGTTTGCCTGCACAAAATGGTAGTTTGTGTATAACACAATGCGACCGAACGGCCAAAAAGCTATTTCAAGTACACAAAACTTACCTAGTTAATGCCTTATTTGGTTTGGGATTAAACAAATTAAACACTCACACACAGTTTAAAACCGTACCGCTCGATTTAACTATTATGCTGCTGTATTATTGTTGTTTTCACGTATAACAACGGTTAAAGAAAAAAAATACAAAAACGGATGAATCGGAAAACGATGTTAAGACGTAGAGAGAGGGCGACGGAGTGGCGGTTTCAAAACAGCCAGCGTCGCTAGCACACACACACATGCATGTGTACGTACGTTTCACTAACACGCATATTCGTCATCGCAGCAAAGCCGCAAACACAGGAAAGAAAAACAACAAAAACACTAGCGAGTGGCGGACGAGGACGTGAGTATTCGTGCGTACGTGTGTGTATGGGAGAGAGAGAGAGCGCGTCGACGTTGCCATTTTACGGCAGTACTGTTAGTGGTGGAAAAAGCAGAGCCAGCCAAAGGCTGAATGGAATTTTACAACATGGCTCGCTACTTTTTTGCACTCTATATTTTGGCTATGCTTTTTCGGTTCACAAGCATACAAAAAAAAAAAAAAAAAAAAAAAACAAATACAGCGAGTGGTTTTCACCTCTCTCTCCCGTCTTACTCGTTGTAGTAAAGTAAATGGGTGTGTGTGTGTGTGGATTCAAACCACATAAAAAAAATATAAGAAAAAGAAAAAAAGACTCCAAAGCTTTCTGTACTATATGCAATAAATATATACTACAACTACGCATGTATTAGCAAAATGATTTTTGCGCATTTTCACAATGTCTGCGTGTTTTCCATTATCATTCTTTGGATTTTCTCTTTTCGTTCATAATTATTATATACACTTCACGTCACGCTAGAAACCCTGTATGTACATGTAGTTGTGGTGGCGGTGTTTATGTGTGTATTGTTTTTTGTTGGTCTCTTCACAACGTCGTCGGCACACAAATTTAGTCTTTGTCTTGTTTTACTTTAACTTTCTTCGACAATTCACATACGGTGCGGATATTAATTACATTTTACAAACTCGAGGACACCGAATCGGGAGCATAACAAGGTGGAGAAAAAAATTACCAGAAAAAAATGCACTGCGCGACTTCCTTCAGTTCAGCAACAACAAAGCAGTGTGACCAACATCGCCGGCTACTAAAACCCACACACGAAACGAGGGTTGCTTATCTCATTCATTGTGCTTTGGTCGCACTTTCGATCGTAGCGCCCCGTATCCACTGTGGCTGCATTTAAAAAATAAAAAAAATATATTATGATAAGTTACTAAAATTATATTTGTTACGCTAGTAAGGAAGCCAGTTAGATATTAACCACATCCGAATAATCAAAAGCGTTAACTTCTTTGCAGTTCTTTTAATAAACTCCCTCGATTCAAATCCCTACAAGCTTATTTATTCTAAAATGAGTTATATTTTCTGAAAGCAGCAAAACTCCGCATAAAAAAAGACAGCAAAAAAGGGACAGGAGAAGAACTTTCTAACTTTTCGCTTTCGCGGGTACTAACATAAGATAAATATTGCGAACGAACTAAATCGACGCATTTCTGCGAAAGTATCGTATGTCGCTTTTTTCGAAATTGAGATTTTAATGCAAAATTGTTAGGCATCTAAAGTCTCACCACCCTGTGAAATATTATAACTGAAAGCCCTATAGTTCAGATAAAAATTAAGTTTCAATTTTGTCTTTTCTCTAGTGCTTCCTAAGAGATTAAATCAGAAAAAAGCTTCTCCTGTAAAATTTGATTTTTCCACATACTTTCGCGAAAATGCTTCGAAATGTTGCAACATAACTAAAAATCTATGCTTTGCTTATTTTGCTTTCTAAATAAACGAATTGATTTTTTTTTTAAATCAATCAGGAGGAAAATTCATAAATAAAAAAAAAAAAAAATGTCTCGCATTGACCGCTTTTCTAGCCGGCAGCCAAGGGTTAATACAATAAATGCCGTAACGATAAGGTCTATTATATGATATTTAGTTTACAAAAGAAAATAATCAGTTATTGGGCGGCGACGGCGTTGGTGCTTCCGGATATTATCCTTCAGCATCATAGCGGCGAATGCATCAATAAATATATTCAAAAATTTGGTTTCATTTTGCGTTAAAAAGTTTGAATTGTAAAGTTCTGCTGATTTCAGAAAGTTTGTTTATAGGAAACAGCAGGACATAAGTGCCAGGGTGACCCCATTTCCACATTTTCTTTAAATTATTTGGTCACACTGTTTACCGAACGAAATGTATAGCAATTTCGCTCGCAACTTTTCGAAAGCAAATTTATCTCGTTAGTACCAGCCGTAAGCAATAAAACACCAATATTAGGAAATGGATATACAATAAAAATGACTTAGGACTTCATGCGCAAACAATCGTTAACTAGCGAGGAACTAGTATTTCGCGCCAATTCTGAACTTCTCACTTACGTGTTGATCGATATTATTGGATACAATAATCGCCAGTCAAAAATGTTTTTCAGTCTCGAGCTAATTTCATTTAAAATGGGATAAAAAATTATTCACTTTTTAGGGCACGGCCCCCTTTTTAGGCACTAATCCTACATTTTGAACCGCATTATTATTACAACTTGTCATTTATTTGTAGTTCTTGTATGTCTAGATTTATCAAGTGTGTACAAAGGTGTTACAAATAAAACTGTTTAGCCTACAATAAAAAAAAAAAATTAAATAATGAAATATCGTAAAAAATTGTCGCACTTCGACTTATTATTTTTTACTCTTTCACTTTTCTCCTTTTTGCTCATTTTCTAAGCGACTTTTTTAAACTTTTAAGTTTCGTTTGTTAAGACTACACGTTATCAGTACGTAGTTGGTAAGTAGGGCTTATATCTCTCGAGTTCCTCACATATACCTAGCCAAAAAATATATAAAGTGACAGCGTTATATATATAGGAATAAGGAATACAATATACAAAGCAGTCAACGAAGCCCGGATTTCTTTTGTGTGGGGTGGGGGAGTGGAGTGGGGGAAGAACTGTGGACAGGCTGAAAAGGGGGAGGGGTCATTATAACATGGGGCATAACATGGGGTCAGTGGGCAGTGGCCGGAGGCGGGGGTTTGGGGATAATCATCATAATTTTGGCATAACAAAGTCTTTTCGTGTTCCTCCTACTTCTCTTTGCATGAGGAGGTGCATCCTCAGATGTTATTGCGATTCCGCTGGTTACCGCCGCGGTGATTGCGTTTGTTTCCGCCATTATTTCCGCCCGCAAAGTGTCTTCCGCCACCACCACCACCGTTGTTTCCGTTTCCGTTGTTGAAATTCTTGAAGGGCATGCCGTTGTTAAAGGGCATACCCACGCCCATGTTGCCCATGGAATTCATGTTGCCCATGCCTCCTCCATTTCCATTTCCGCCTCCGCCATTTCCGTTTCCGTTTCCTCCTCCACCATTGTTGTTGTTGTTGGCAAAGGGATTAAAGGGATTGCCGTTCGGCACTCCCACGGGAGGTCCGCCTCCTCCTCCAGCTCCTGGCATAAGACAAGGCGGCGGCTGGTTAAAAGGCGGTATATAGTTACCCATCTGCATCATCATGCCGGACATTTGCATGACATTCGGCGGCGGCTGGCGCAGCATTTGCGCCAGATTTGGCGGCGGCTGCGACATGTTCGGGAGGACTACGCCTCCACCAGCTCCAGCTCCAGTTCCGGCTCCAACTCCCATGCCTGATCGTGATCCGCCGCTATTGCTGCTCTCTTCGGGAAGCTGCACCACCTGGCCATTGTCGTCGACAAAGATGAACAGCTTGGCGAAGATCTGCTGTAGCGTCGCATTGTTAACAATGAAGCTGACATCGAAAATCTTGGGCGCATCCTCCGGCAGCTGGTGGTACTTCTTCAGTTCGGTGAACACCAACGCGAGCTGTTGGTTGACCATGATCTTGTTGTTGCTGCCAAGATCCTTGTACCAGGGCGAGCTCTGCATTATGTTGCGGATCTCGGAGATTTGCTTGCTGCCACCAGAGACATTTGTGGCACGCGTTTGGCTTTGGGCCGGTGTTTGAGCTTGAGCCTGGGCCTGGGCCTGTGCCTGAAGATGTGCTCTCCTGGGATCGCGGCGTGGATCGGCTCGAGCAGCGGGCTTCTCCATCTTCACATTTGGCGGCGGGATAGTTATTAACGGCGGAGGGGTATTCATCGGGGGCAGAATACTCAGCACTGGCGGCGGCGACACGGGCGTGGCATCGCGTGCACTAGTCTCCGATTCAGGCGATGCTATACCGGCAGCTGCGGCACGTCCAAAGCTATCGCCTGCCCCCGATTGAGTGCTGCTCGCGGTGGAAGTTGCGGAGGAGCCCAAGGACCCAACCATGTCTGGTAACTCGGGCAATCCGAGAATGCGACGAACTCGCGGATCTCGCAGATCGCGTTGCTCCTTGTGCCGTGCATTGGTCCGCTGCTGGCGGTAGTCCGGCAGTTCCACAGCCACCTCAACCAGCTGCCAGCGAAGCGGAGTATGGGAGAAGATTGCCGCATCTATTTCCGTGGCAGGCATATAGTGTTTCATTGGCTCAAACGGCAGCCTCATGTCGATGTCCCTATCCTGCGACTGCGAATTATCCTCATCCTCGCCCAGTCGGCTATTCCGGCCCAGTGGCAGCTTCTCCGCCCGGCTGGGATCGAAGTCGTACATGGAAGAGCGGGTATACAGCGAGGACGTGGCTCGAGGCTGTTGCGACGTCTCTGCATCCTCCTGTTTGGGTGACTGCGATCCCGGCTCCGGCGTTGGCGTCGGTGTCACCGAGCGTGAATTCGAGTGGTTTGAGTTCTCATTGCTGGACTCCCCGTCGCCGCTGTGCGCCTTGAACGGATTGCGTATGATGTCGCGGTAGAAAGCCGCTCTGGCCTCCGCATCAGGTTGCCTGTCGCCGAACAAAAGGCGGCTGAACACATTCGAGCTGTTGCTGCCGCCGGGCACTGGTCGTAGCCCGGCGAGATCGCCGCCCGCTTGAACCGATGGCGACATCTCCTGGCTGGGCGAGGTGGCGCTAGCCGGCAAAACTTGCGTCGCCGATGAGCCCTTGCCGAGCATATTGCTCATGAAGCTTGGCAAATCGAACACGGACGGCAGAGGCGCCTCCTCGGATGCGGAATTCTGGCGACCCGCTGACACCGGCTTTGAAGGACTGCTGGCCTTTTGCTCCTCCTCGTCGGCGGCCGACTCGTTGCCATCATCGATTACCAGCTGCTCGTCATCGTCCCGATCGTCGTCCACTAAAAGGTAAGACAGATGAGACATTGATCAAACATTTCAAGGGTAATCCCAGAAATCTTGTAAAATTTGTTTTAAAGAAACCTCTTAGAAAGAAGATATTACTCATTGAGCGAAAAAAATAATAATTATTCTTTGAGCTATTAAGTATACATAAGATTATAATTATTAATGGCAAGCAAATTAACATTAAACATTGATTTGTATTTTTTCACTTTAATAATTACGTGCCGTGATTTTTTTTGTAATGAAAAACAGCAGGCTTTTCTCGCCGGAGCGCCCCAATATTTGACAAATGTAAAGTGGCACCATTGTATCCCAGTATCCCCATATCCCAGGAAGCGTTCCCCCAGTACTCACGCGGATCGTTGGTCGAGAAGCTGACATGGGCATCCTTCAAATACTGCGTGTAATCCACCATGATGAAGCCATTGCTGTTTGAGTTGCTGTTGGTTTCCGTTTCCGCCGCCTTCGCCGGGTGATTGCTATGCAAGGGGATGACCAGCATTGGAAAGCAAAGGAGGATGAGTATTAAGCTTACGGAATCCCAGTTCAGCTAATCCACTTACCTGTCTGCTTGTTCCGGCTGCGTCGGGGGCTTTGCTTCCTCGGCCATTCGCTGAATCTCACCGATCTCGACCAGCGTCAGACCCACCTCCTTCAGCTGGCCAAAGGGCACCTGCATCATCTGCTCCAGATTGCTGATGCCCAGTTTGTTCAGCTTGGCCATGTGCTCGGGACTTAGGACGTGACTGAGATTGGCCAGCTCCAGATGGGCCGGCAACGATGGCTTGCTGGGCTCGGCCGCTGCTAGGGATGCGTTGTCCGACTCTGCTCCTCCTCCAGTTGCCTTTGCTGTGGTCTTTCCTTCCCATCGGGACTTGCGCTTTTTCTCCTGATGAGGTGGGTTAATCACAATATCTAAAAGAGACGGAATGCACCCGCCCACCTCCGCTACCTGCATTTGCGCCTGCTGCTGCTGCTGCTGATGCTGCTGCTGTTGTTGCTGTTGCTGCTGCTGCATCTGATGTTGCTGTTGATGCTGGTCCTGGCGCCTGCCCATTCCACCGCTCACCACTGTGCTCCAGGTATTCTCCTTCTTGAACTGCTCGCATAGCTGTTCGTGCCGCCGCGTCATCTGGCCCAGAGCAACGTCCCTAGACTTGCGCTTGAAGTCGCCGAGGATCTCCTTGGGCGCCGTTTCCATGTGCTTCAGCAGGACGTTGCGCAACTGCTCGGACAGCGGCTCGCCATGATGGAAGAGGCAATCGTCGCCGGCGTAGCAATCCATGCCCAAATAATAGTATTTGCATGGGAACTCCTTGTGCATGTAAGAGCATTTCTCCCGCTTGGCACAGCAGTCCATCAAATAGAACTTGCACAGCTCTAGTTTGCGAGGATCGATGCGACCGCTCATCTTGTCCATTCCACCACCACCGCCGTTGCCACCGCCATCAGCGGAGTCGCGACGATTGCGCTTTGCTCCGCCCATGCCGGTGTCATTGCGATCCCGATCCCTGCGCTTTCGATTGTTACGCTGCTCCTTGTCACGCCGCATGCGCCGCCGTTGCTGACTGTTGAGTCCGCCGCCGGCTGCAGCCGCCTCGTCCTCGGAATACGAATCGTAGCTGCTGTAGGGATCCTGCTGTGAGTCGTAGCCACCGCCTGCACCGCCGCCCGACGGCCCGTCGCCCATAATATCCCAATCGGGACCGCCGAAACGTTGGCTGGCTTGGGCTGAGGGCGGCGCTGCTGCACCAGCGGGCGGTGGACTGCCGCCGCGGACGTTCATCATCTCGTATTCGTCCATGTCGTCATCGCTAACGTCGGCAGCGGCCGCCGTGCCGGAAGTCTCGTCCTCTTCAGCGCGACGTGCCCGTTTCTAAGGGAGATTTGAAAAAAAGATTCGGGTAATTAAAAAGGATGGATGCTAAAGGAAATATACAAATTCTTCCCTCCCCCTTCAGGCATTCTTTCAGAAAAAAGAAACAAGAAGTACGGAATTCACAGCTCGAATTAATCTCGGTATATTGGTATGTATACTTCAGGGGGTCAGAGCTGTGTCGCTGATCTTTCCTATATTTTCTGGGCCCACTGAGCTTTATACCCATAAACACTATCGGGCCCCGGCTATGCCCAGCAGGCAAAGAAGCGGACAAATAATCAGATTTTCCGCATTAGTTTCGCTAAATGCTCAAAAACGGACGAGAATCTCGAATTCTCAGGATTATATCCGCTTAATAATGTCGTAAAAGGCCCGCAATCGAAATCTTATTCGGATTCCGAAAATTATATACATACATGGAAAAACCCATGATAGCTGATTAACTTTATTATCGTTTGAGTCTGAATCTGAAGTTTTGTCCGCTTGAAATCCGCAAAACTATCGTTTTGAATATCATAAACAAAGTTTCTGTCTGCTGGGTAGCGATCACATTCAGATTCAGACAATAGAATTGATATGAAAATTACTAGAATCATTTGGGACTAAACGATCGAGATCACACTATATGGGGAATGCTGGATTTAAGGCATGTTCTGGGCCTCCCTAAAAGCTTCCCGACTGAGTCCCAATGAAGCCACTGTTTTGCCAAGCCAAGCAATCCACTCGATTGCCAGTCAGGGACTGACTTTTAGCTGGCACAAGCTTATTGGTCGTTGTTACTTAGTCACGGCAGATTAGGCACATTTACCGACTGATTGGCAATGCCTAACCATGTTCCCAGATTGGGTTTCACGGGATCCTAGGATATGGAGATTTGTCAAAGCTATGGCATACAAAGGTATAGGTTATAAATAAAGCAGTTCTCATATTCAGAGGATATTACAGTTGCTTTTCTCATAATATCGGCTTTTTTCGATTAGTATCTTGTGTTAATTTGGAGTTGACCTCACCTGGCTGTTGTCTTTGTCCTTCTTCTGCTCGCGTTCACGTGTTTTTTTGCGCTTCCTTCGCCTGCTGTTGCGACTGGGCTGCAGGACGCCGCCAGTGGTTGGCTCACTCGATCCCTGTCCCATTGCCATTCCCAATCCCTCCGTGTGGCCGCCATCGCCCATGTCCTGGTTAAGGGAACGCATCCGTGGCATTGGCGGCTCGATGCCCTTCTTCTTCAAAGCATTCGCAATGGCGTTCTCAATGCTAGAGGCGTGATCATCTATAGGAAAGAATTGCAGGGAAAGCCAAATGAGACAAGAGGGCGTTTAGAATAGGAATCTTAATGTGGCCGGGGCTGGGAGTTCTACCTTCCAATGGCCGCGGTTTCTTTGACTTTCCGCCGCCGCCGCTGCTACTATTGTGGTTGTGTTGATGTTGTTGTTGGCCACCGGAATCGGACCCCGGTGGTGGTAATCCCACAACGAAGACATCCTCGTTGGCTACGGCTACTTTGTTCTTGACTTCAACGACGCCCACAAATTGGACATCTTCTTCCGCTGGGGAAGCCAGCTGGAGCGTTTGTTGCTGGGGCTTCATTGCCTGCTGAGCTTGCAGGTGCGCCTCCTCCTCGTCCTCCTCGTCATCGATCTCGCCATCCTCGAGATCCTCCGCCAAATCAATTACTGGTACATCCGCCACAACGGAGGACATTTTGCTGTTTTCCTATATATTACGCACCTCAGAGGGCAACCAATTCGGGCAAGGACTATGTGTTAGCTGGCGAACAGAACAGAAAAAGATCATTTGCTAAAGACGCTGCCTGGACAAGGTTACATAAGTCGTAGCCCTATATATATAGCGTCCAATAATGTATATATATCTCGGATATATCTCGAATTGTTCAGATATGTGTGGCGATTTCTACCTGACCAAGAAAACAAACATATATGCTGCGCAAATGCTGAAATCTCAATAAATAGTGAAAGGCTCAAGCTCAAAATGAACTTGTAACTGAAGGCTTAGCCTTCTAGATGAACGAATGGAATATCTTAGAATACTTGAAAAAATTACTGTGAGAATGATATTTACCAGATATTAAAATACTTTCTAAAACTAGACACTGGATTTATACAAAAAATTAAGGAAAAAATGAAAAATACAATTTTGCAGGAATTTAATTAATTAAAATAATGATTAAAGTTCAGTTTCGACGTCACTGTTATCATTTTTAGAGATATCAGCCCTCAAATTATTCTATATTCATTAGAATTCATATACGAATATGTTTTAAAATCTTGAATCTCTTTAAAAATTATATTAAACTAAAGATGTAAACCCTTCCGCAATAAATTGTATCTTGCATTTAGTTACAAGTTACAAAGTTACAAAAATTCAGATCTTATGCTTGAAATGTAAAAAGTTTCCATAAAAAATAGTCGGCAAAAACAACAAAGTTTTCCACAACTTGAGATATTTTGAGTTTGTTTTCGCTATCGTGCGAAAGAGAAAAGAAGAACCGTATGAAAAAGCAGCAAAGCCTCACGCGGATGCGCATGTGTGGGCGTGTATCTGGAACGGTACATTTAATCCGCTTACAAAATATATGCGATCTCCAGTTAATAGAAAGCTACAATTAACTGATAGCTCCAACTCTTACGCACACACACGTAAATTGTATGGAGCGCGTTTCATTCTGACTTGGGCTTGTTTATCATGTCGTCTCCCTTGCACCGCCATGAGCAAAGCGTGGAGCGCAGCTACTCGTACATACAAGCATACATAAATACACATGCAAACAAGCGTGTGTATGTATGCATATTTTTGGGGTTTGCTTGAGAATTGCAAAGTACAAGGAATATAGCTTTGCTAAATCTCAATTACATTTTTTTACACTTTGTTAAGTTGTTCCTGCTGTTCCACAAATAAAAACCCGTTAATGAGGCGAAAGTCTTCGCTATTATTTCTTTGCTGTGCGAATTTCTTTGAATGCGACTGTATGTTGCGTGCAAGTGTGTGCGTGAATACATCTGCGCAGTTCGCAGCAAGCACACACGGGCATACAAGCAAACGTTTATATGTAAATTGAAAGAAAAGTGCTTGTTTCTGGCTGTCATTGCTACGGGGTGCGGGGCAACTGCATGTTTTCCAAACAAACATATGTACGCCGTTTTCTTTCATACCAAACTCAAATATTTGAGCCTCTGCGGCTGTCTACCGACCTAGGGGCGTGGCCCTGGCACGTACATGTGTACATACAGCCTGCGCGGTACATGTACGGACATACATACATTTATATTTCGGAACTTTGCAGCCCCAAAAGCAAAAATAAACATTTTTCCTTTACTCGATCTTACGTTTGTGCGCATTTTGATTTGTTTGTGGAACATCATTAACAACTTTCGGCATTCGATTATAACATTGCTTTTCGTTCTCGGTTAACTTTTCTCTTTTTCTTGATTTTTAGCGTTTTGTTGTTTGTACTTTGTTGTTTTCCTTAGAATTTACGTTGGCGTCGCTTACATAATGTGGAAGTGGTACAGTAGGAAAGATATATATACGTGCATATATATGGCACGCTTATGAACGTTCAGTTTCGGCTATGCTATTAGTGACATACATCTGATCTGAGTATTATGTTCGTCGATGACTCAGCGGTGTGGGTACATATACATATAGGTTTGAAAAAGTCGTCGAATATTCGCAATCTGATTTTTAATAATATATGTACATATGTGCGAGTGAGAGCGAGCGAGACAGCGCGGCAATCCCTCTTTCTCTGTTTCTCTGCCTGCGGCCCTGGCCTCAGTACATCTCTCTCCCTTCCTCTCTCTCTGATTCTGCAGCGCTCATAGAGTGCAGAGTACAATATACAAAAACATTAAATTAATAAAACTTCTCGTCCCATGAGCCGTTCGCTGTAATTAAATAATACGAATGACGAAAGGTGGTTTCTGAAAGTATCGCGGCATTTTGCCCGAAATCGCGATGTTTTTGTGATATTTCGTGATATTTTCCCCTTGGTCACTCTGAATCAAAGCAAAATGTAAGTTTACATGCTTGGGGTCGAATTCTCGTTTTTGGGGTCGAATTCTCATGTAGAGTGTAAAAATGAAAGTATATCAAAATACCGAAATCGCGATGTTTGGTATTTTCTCCTTGGTCACTCTGAGTTTCAAAGTAAAATGTCAAAACAAAGTTTTACACGCTTTGGGTCGAATTCTCATGTAGAGTGTAAAAATGTAAGTATATCAAAATACCGAAATCGCGATGTTTGGTATTTTCTCCTTGGTCACTCTGAGTTTCAAAGTAAAATGTCAAAACAATGTTTTACATGCTTGGGGTCGAATTCTCATGTAGAGTGTAAAAATCTAAGTATATCAACATACCGAAATCGCAATATTTGGTATTTTCTCCCTGGTCACTCTGATTTCAAGGCAAAAAATGTCAAAACAATGTTTTACATGCTTGGGGTCGAATTCTCATGTAGAATGTCAAATGTAAGTATAATATCGTTCGTAGTAGGGTTGTTGATATATCGTGACATTTTTTCCCAAATATCGCAATCACGATATTACATGCGAAATTTTTTGATATTTTCTCCTGGTCACTCTGAATTTCAAAATGAAAGTTGTTAACATAGAAATGCTCTCGATCACAGAATTTGGCTCTTTAACAGAATTCTGTCAATGGAATTCCGCAGAATGAGAGCAACAGAATTTTCTGTTAAAACAGAGCTCTCCTAGAGGTGGAGATATTTGATTTTTTTGATATTTTCCTTGCTCACTCTGAATTTCAAAGTAAAATGTTAAAACAAAGTTTTACATGCTTGGGGTCGAATTCTCATGTAGAATGCTAATAAGTAAAATATCGTTCGTAGTAGGGTTGTTGATATATACCAAAATATCAATATATTTTTCCTAAATATTACCGAAATCGCGATATTTTTTTTAATTAAATGAATTTTCTGTTAAAACAGCAACAAAAACGTAACGTAAACCGTTATACCGTTACAATTTCAAAATATTTAAAACACACCACTCGCCCTTATCGCGAATAGTTTATCAACTATTTGGGGTGTTTTCCAACAGCAAAACCACAGATTGGGTCAGATTTTAGCCGCACTAAATTAAAAAAAATTAGATGAAGAGGAATTTTATTTCATTTTTTAAATAATTTTTCTCTATCCAAGAGCAAATGCCCCGAAGAGTGTGTATGATGGTATAGGCTCCCAAAATCTATAAAAAAAAATAAGAAGGTGGCGTTTTATATTAAATAACAGCAATTGGGGACATTTTGGAGCAAGAATATAAAGGAAAACACCACACACACATAAAGTATAGAAAATAAATTCAAATCCATCCAAATTATCCTGATAATCAGGTTGAATATGTATACATTTCAAAAATTCCATTACCCGAGATGTGCTGTGTGAACACCACATAATGCCTTTATCGTTCATCGGGTTTCTTCGGGAATCGATAGTATATGTATTATTGGTCGATTTTTTTTTGCAGCCCTGCTACTACTTATATTTTTTGTGGTTGTGAACTATGGTCATACTGAGCAGTGAGAAACAGTAGTACATTTTTGCGAAAATATATCGTCCTGAAGGGTTTTTTAAAAATATATTGATTTGATTTGCAAATTCCCAGTAGTGCGTTCGTTTTGTATTGAGGAAAAAAGGTAGACGTTGTCATAATGTGTATGAACGAACACAACCTCAAAAGTTTTAATGGCGTGGCTTTTTTATCCACTCGTGTGTACATGCGTGCGTGCACAGTAAATTCGAGAAAAAAAACTATGTCTTGTTTTCGATAAAGCCATTTGCAAGTTAATGTATTCCCCAAATGATATGACACGTATCGAATTATGCAGTATTTTTGTTCATAAACATACATACGTATGTATCTATGTATGTGCGTGGTGCTACCTGCCTGTGAATACATACATATGTACATTACTGTTTCTTTTTTCTTCGTTTTCATCGTCGAAATGTAAGCTTGTACATGCGCATTCATTTTATTAAAACGCTCGTATTTTATTATTTTCAGAATAGAGTTGACTGCAAAATTCCAGAGATAGCGCATTAAGCGTCCATATACCATCTGGCACGGGATCACTGCTTTAACTTGGCAATTTCTGTTGGCAGTGTAATTACATAGTTTTGTTTTCGCTTTATATTTTCGAGTCGACTTGCAATTGACTTTAGAAAACCCGATTGTGCTTTATCTTTGTCTAATTTGCGAACTGGCAGTGCGCACCCCAAGGAGGGGAAACAAAATCTTATATGACTTTTGAAAGATTATTTGGTAAGTATCGGGTTTTATTGCCTAATATCGGTCTTAATAATGCCTTATGCAATTTGTGGGTGTAATTAACATTAAAATAGGTTGAAGCTAATAATATGCACATACTTGGTAGAGACGCTGAACAAAAGGTTAAAAAAGAAGGGCCTTGTCCCTTTCTTGACATATTTTTATAGAAATTCACAATTTCACAATTGCCTGTTCAGGGGAAATACAAGTGGGCATATATTTACATATATATATTTTCGTAATTGTTCAAGAAAGGTTTTCCTTTAATTAAGGCCTTAAAGGTGAAAAATTCATTAATTTAAATCAGAAAAGTTTTTATATGCTAGTTTTTTATTAGCTTAACAATCCAGCAAATGGAGTTTACACTTTTTAAAATATATATTGGTTATATTTGGTTGGTTATATTTCGAGTTTTGCCCATCCAATTCAATTCATCGCCGCAAATATAAAGATAAAAATATTAAATCTGATTAGTCAAATTCATTAACTTTTTGAAATAATAATAATACTTGAAAAGGGAACACAAATATAAACAGATCAGAGGAATTAGTGCTATTGAGTTCTAATGTATACAAGTATCGATTTCTGGTAGGTTTGTTTATTTACTTTTTTATTCATCATCATGGCCTGAGCTTCTTAGTTTCATGGGAACCCGATTTCTGTCAGCCAGTGCGAGTTTATTAATTTCATTTTAAGAAAAGCCAAAGCTCAGTTAGCAACTACACCGATCTCGATCGAGGCCCCATTTGGTTCCATCGTATAAGGTTAGGATCAGCGAACAGCTGTGGATACATGATCATGATCTTGCATTTCCCCACACTAATAGGCATTTATAAAAAGAAAGGAAAAGTTAGTAACAGCCGAACATATGGCCATAGATCTTTAATAGAAACTGAAATCCAATGAACGGCACTGAGCTTTATGTCAGTTGAATCCGTTTCCCCAGAATCCAGGTGTCAATTAAAGACAAATTACACATAATATCTGCCCGAAAATTCTCTGTGCTCAAAAACTGGATATTCTACTCTAATTTTCGAAAGTTCTAAAGTTAATCACCTGGGCAGGACCATTTTGGCTAGCTATTAAAGAGTTCTAATTGGTCGCATCAAGGACACTGGATCTTCAGCATATATTTTTCATGTGGTCTAAATTTTGTTCAATTGACGAGTCAATATGGCTTTGCATTAAATGGCCGTGCTCAGTTTAAGTTGCAAGTTGTTGGCCAAAGATTTGGTATATACAAAAATCAGACATCCGTTATAGATTTTTGACGTTGTCGTGTTAACAGTAGCATCTCAACACCTCCTTATGTCTTTATGTGATAGCATTGTGGTGGTAAGAAGAATATTTAAAACTTACCATTTTTAGTTGTATATATTTTTAATACTCAATCATAGCTATTGATCCTAATCAAATTTTAACTATTCGTTATTGTTTGTAGAAACACCAGCAAAAAAAGCAGCACCTCTCATTCCACAAAAACGGAGTAAAGGGTTCGAACTGTGCATGAATTCAAAAGGGCGAACCATAAGTCACCGGTAAGTCAACAACTACATCTCGTCCTTATAAAGCCTGCTATGTTCAGCAGTAGTAGAACAACAACTGGAAATATACATTATATATACGCGCTTGCTTAGTTACATGTTCCAGGTTTAATTTAGAATTTTTTAATATTTATTTATTAACTTGTTTAAGCTAGAATTACTAGCTTTTTGGCCACCTCATGACCCCGAAAAGCCCTAAGATATTCGGATTCTTCACAGTGATATTAATAGTTTTTTTTTTTTAAATTAAGTTTAAAAACGTGGTAAAAAAATATCAAATTGAATTTGAAAAACTGTTATGAGCTTTTATAAGGTTAATAAACAGTTTATACTTAATTAAATTTAATAATATTAATATTTATCCATAACTTTATATGATAATTTTGTGGGGAAAGTACAAGTTGAAAATATTATATAATAATTAGGCTAAAAAGGCATTAATTTCAATTCGAAAAAATGTTCAGAGGTACTTTTAATTAATAATTGTAATTAACAAATCTGAATACTGAATTTAATGTTAATTAAAATTTAATTTAATTAAAACTTTGTTAAATTTTTGTCAATTTTAACGATGTAACTCCTTATAAAATTTTGAAAACTAACTATTTATTTTCATCAGACATGGCTAGATCGACTCGGCTGTTGATGCCAACCAAAAAATATATGTTTTACAAGGTCGGAAATGACTCCCTTACTAACCGAAATTGTAATACCCTGGTATAATACACTCTATAAGTATATGTGCTAAGGAACACTTTTCGGAAAGCTCTCACTTCGCCAGATTAGTTAATAAACAACTAGTGTTTTCAAGTGAAATTTACAGTTTACGTTTTTCTATGTGCCTCAGGGCTCTTCTTCCCTAAAACTGGAATCATATTTCTGCCAGCTAATCAGTTTTCAAGTTTCATTTGTTGAGGCAGCCAAGTCTGAAGCTCAGTTAGCGGTTGCACCTTTATCGATCAAGGCTCGATCGCGATAGCAATAATTATTAATTTGATTTTTTATATTTCTATATTTCAGGACTTCGAGTAACAGACATCGGAAGTTACAGCCATTCAGGTACACATGAGCCTGTTATTTTGTTATATTTAACAACAACAGCAGCAACAACAACAGCAAATTGGTAAATTAAAAAAAGCCACCAAATATATCCGGAATAATTAATTGGAAAACGTAAAATATATATACACATATATGTATGCCCATATGCATATATGTATATATTTAATTATTCATTCAAAAAGCACCGATTAGGAGCGCTGAAAAAGCAAATATTCACCGAGAAGGCGAACGCGAAAGCGAAAGCGAAGGCAACAGCACCTTTAAACAGAGCAGAGCAAAACAAACATAACGAATAATAAACCTAAACCAGATCCTTTCATTCTCTGGGGGATATGCTATCCGAATTTCAATGCAAAATTGATTATAGAAAAGAAAGTTGTTTAAGTGAGGCACCATTTTAATAAGCAGCTCCAAAGGCTCAAGCTCGAGTGCTCCCATATATTTCTGGAAATACAAATATATATATGCAAAATTCTCCTCGTTTATTCTCGGAACAGTTTTTAAGTGTGACCAACCAAACAGAGGCAGCAGCAGCAGCAGCAGCAGCACCAACAGCAGCAGCAACAATCAAGCAATAGCAAAAGCACCGGCAACAGCAGCAGCACCAAAAAATAAAATCAAATTTAATGAACGGAAACGAAAGTTGGAAAAATCAAAAAATAGCCAAAAAGCTAAGGTCAATAATCAATTTTCTACTAGACAATTGGCATTAGTTTAAACGGCCGACGGCGATCCCCCCCAATTCTATTTTCCATTTAGTATCATTTACAACCTGGACACGTTGTTGTTAGCCAAAATTTGCGTTATCTTTGTTGGTTGTTCCGTATAAAAAACAGCAGCAGCAGCAGCAGCTTCAATCAAAATGGCGACCGTGAACGTTAACCGCAGCGTGACGGACATCTTCTACCGCTACAAGATGCCACGCCTGCAGGCAAAGGTCGAGGGCAAGGGAAATGGCATTAAGACCGTTCTGGTCAACATGGCCGAGGTGGCACGGGCCATCGGACGACCGGCCACGTATCCAACCAAGTATTTTGGATGCGAGTTGGGCGCCCAAACCTTGTTTGATCATAAGGTGAGCTTAATTATTATTTATTTTATTGTTAACATTATTAATTACTTATTAATTTTGAGTTTATTTGGTGCTCACGAATTAATTACCATTTTTTTTATATTTTTCACCTATTTATGTATTACTTATTAATTGATTAATTATTTTATGTATTGTTTACATATTTATTTATTACAAATTCATTATGTTTTATTAGTTTATTTATTGTTTATATATTATTTAAATACTTATTAATTATTTATTTTATTAAATTTTAACATTTATTATTTAATTATTTATTTTTCACATATTTATTGATTACTTATTAATTCTATTAATTGTTGACATATTTATTAAAATTACTTTTTAGTTATTTATTTATTTTTTTTATTGTTTCCATAATAATACCTTATTAAATTATTATTTATTGTTCACATATTTATTTATTTATTTTATTTATTGTTCATATATTTATAATTTATATTTTTATCTTATTTATTCTTAATATATTTATTAATTACTTATTAAATATTCATTGTTTACATATTTAATTAATTTCAAATTTTTAATTTTTTGTTTAATTTATTGATCACATATTTAATTTAATTTAATTTAAATACTAATTTATTCTTTTATTTCATTATTAATTTATTTTCTTAATTCTTAAATTTATTAAATATTTATTTTATGTATTTTTCACATATTTATTGATTACTTATTCATTTTTTATTTTATTTATTATTCACATATTTATTATTTTATTATTAGTTATTACATATTTGTTTTATTTATTGTTTACATATTTATTAATTTTTTATTTACTTTGCTTATTCCTCACATATTTATTATTTACTTATTAATTATTAATTTTATTTCTTTATATACTTCTTAATTACTTATTAATTATTTTTTTTATTTACAGAATGAACGTTTTATTGTAAATGGCTCTCACGATGTGAACAAGCTGCAGGATCTGTTGGACGGCTTCATTCGCAAATTTGTTCTGTGCCCCGAGTGTGACAATCCGGAGACCAATTTGACTGTTTCGGCCAAGAATCAGACCATTTCGCAGTCCTGCAAGGCCTGTGGCTTCCATGGACTGCTGAAGGTCAACCACAAGGTGAACACGTTTATTGTAAAGAATCCGCCTTCGTTGAACCCGGCCGCCCAGGGCTCCTCGCTCACCGAGGGCAAGCGCTCGAAGAAGCAGAAGCAGAAGAACGAGAACTCTGACGGCTCCATGTCCAACAACTCGATGGCCAACAACTCTGGCGGTGAGTCGGACGGCGGCAATGGCTCGAACCAGGCTAGCCAGACGGAGGCCGAGATAAGTGCTGCCATTCCGGAGAAGAGCATAGCCGAGGACGATGATGAGGGCTGGAGCGTGGATGTGTCAAAGGTAATTAGTTGCTGAAAGTTAACAAAAATAATGGTGTTTTATTGCCGTATCCACCTTTCCGTTTCCGTCGTTGCAGGAGGCCATACGTGCCCGCTTGCAGGATCTAACCGACGGGGCCAAGGGCATGACCATTTCGGATGACTATGACAAGACCGAAAAGGAGCGCATCGACATCTTCTATGAGCTGGTCAAGGACAAGCGCGACAAGAAGCAACTGGACGATCTGGCCACGCACAAGGAGCTGTTCATCGAGGCGGAGCGTCTGGATATTCTCAACAAGGCGCCCATGGTCCTCGCCGAGCTCCTTTTCAGCGAGAACATCATCAAGGAGGTGCAGAAGAATCGCCACTTGCTGCTTCGCTTCACCTTCAACAATCCGAAGGCACAACGCTATCTAATTGGCGGGGTCGAGCAGACCGTTGAGTTGCACACGAGCGCACTGATGTCCAAGGTGGCCGGCATCTTCAAGATGTTCTATGACCAGGACATACTCGATGAGAAGGTCATTCTAGACTGGGCACAAAAGGTGAGCAAGCGTCATGTCTCGAAGAAAATTGCCACGGAGATACACGAGAAGGTGATGCCGTTTGTCCAGTGGCTTAAGAACGCCGAAGAGGAGTCCTCCGATAGCGAAGAAGACGACGACATCGTTCAGCCAGAGGATTCCGAAGAGGAGGACGATGGCTACCGCTATAGGAATAAGAATAATAAACAACAGCAACAAGACGGCGGCGATGACGGAGATGGAGCTGATGACATTGATATTGATGATATTTAAAGCGAGCTAAGCTGTGGCGACGGCGGCAGCGACATAATCCTTAGAGCTGAGCGTAAGCAGAAGGAAGGAACAGAATCGGTATCTCCGCCTGCTGGTTTAGTTTTCTTTCAAGTCAAGTTCGGTTCGCAGCGTAGTAAGGATCATCGTCATGTCACATGTTACGCCATGTTGCTCCAACTTTGCTTTAGTTTGATTTTTCGCTTTATCATTCAATTGTGAGCATTACATTTAACCAAGCTGCTGTAACAATAGACGTTAATTGAACTTAATTACACCAACCCTTATATATTTCAACAATAAATTCAAATAAAATATAAAATGCAATAGCAAACAATGTGATTTTTCTGTATTAATTATATGATATTGAACCCTTTGGCTTTAATAGTAACCTTAAGGAAATAGGCTTTTGTTGTACTGTTGTGCTGGCCATAATTGATTGGCTATATCCCCTAACTTGGTCCAGTTTACAGAGCTATTTGCACCTATCAACTTCTTGTAGTTGTTAATCTTGTTCTTATCGCGTTGCTGGATCTATGCAGAAGCAACCCAAAAACGAGTGCCAGGGTTCATAGGACATTGCTAAAGGCAAAAGAAAAGGTGAATGTAAAGTTTCGTATTTACACATAAATTGTTTTCATTCAAAATTTAATTCTATTCAATTTTATGCATGTTTTAAGCCATAATCTCGTAATTTACTTGATTAATAATTAGAAAATTTAGCTTTGGCATTGATGAAGGCTTTCCATTGGCTGGAATTGAGCTTATTAAGCTTTGACCAAAATAAAGAGGCATATTTTCTTTAGCTTTTAGCATTGTCCTACCTCTTTAGGTAGCTTCTGCATAGATCAAGATTCAACAACAACAAGAATAACAATTAAAAATTGTTGGGATCTGTAAATACTTTCGACTACGTCTGTATCATGCCAAAATGTAAAGGTATTTTCCCAAGTTCTAAGGATTCCTTACTTTACTTTCTCTCTCTCTGAGAGGTGCACCGGAAACGGAATCGAAATGAAAAGCTAGAAGTGCCCATAAGTGGCCAAGCGTTTATTTGTATCGAAATCCGACAACAATCAGTTGTATGCCCAACAAATAAAACATATGTACGTAAGTGGTTTTAGCTCATATACATCTTTGAAGACTGCTAGTAGTTTTTATGTTTGACATTAGACGTTTATTTGCTGTAATTTATCTACTTTCTGTACCACATCTGCAGGGTCTTCATGCGCTTCACCTTCTTCTGCAGCTGCAGCACGCCGTACATCAGGGCCTCGGCCGTTGGTGGGCAGCCGGGCACATAGATGTCAACGGGGATTATCCGGTCGCAGCCACGGACCACCGAGTACGAATAGTGGTAGTAGCCGCCGCCGTTGGCACAGCTTCCCATGGAGATGACCCAACGGGGCTCGGGCATCTGGTCGTACACCTTCCTCAAGGCCGGTGCCATTTTGTTGGTCAAAGTGCCGGCCACAATGATGACATCCGCCTGCCGGGGAGAGGCACGGAAAACTACGCCGTAGCGATCCATGTCATATCGGGGAGCTGCAATGTGCATCATCTCGACGGCGCAACAGGCCAGCCCAAAAGTCAGGGGCCAAATTGAGCCCTTGCGACCCCAGTTGAGGAGATCATCCAGTCTGGCCAGTGACCATTCCGCCACGGATGTTTGTTTGGTTCCGAACGGAGAGTAGCCCTTCTTCGGCAAACTCGGCGACGACTCAATCACCGGAAGAGTTTGTTGTTTGCGGACGAAGGTGGCATTCAGGGCAGGCACTGAATATATTGTATTCGAATTGAGGGTCGCTCTCTGCAAACACTTGCTTAGGGTCGAGGTCGAGGTCGTGATAGCTGAACGCAACATGTTGGCTCTGGAAAACGAATGAAAAGTAGCCTTTAAATGTCATAGTTAAATATTTAATACCTTATTTATGTAACTTCAACTAAATAACAGTGTGTTGGCCAGTGTGGCAGCAGCGCCCCTCTACCATCTGTTCCGCGCAGAAATACTGAATAAGTATATGGGAAAATACCACAGAACTGAATATGGAACAGTTATTTTACAAATACCATATTCACACTGTTGTTCAAAAGGTGGCGGCAAAATATGATTGATGATTGATATGATAACTTTTTAGGTAATTCCTATATTGAAGATCATTCCCGTTCATAGACATTAATATGAACGAAATTTAAGCTGAACGTCCAGCCGTTCCTCCAGAACGTGCCTCAAGTTTCGATAGCACTGGTCTGGCAATCGCGCTATCGATAGGTCCGGCTCAAACAGTTCACGTGTTTTCAAAACAAAAATAATGGTTTTGATATCTGATTCTCTGGGCTTATATGTGTCCCCCAATTGTGTGCTGGCAGGTATGCACTTGTAGTATAATTCACCAGCATACAATCAAATAAAACTCTTCAATAGGTCACGGAAACCAGGCGGTGCTATACAGCTCGAATAAGAAGGTGAAGCTACCCACTGGACTCCGCAAGGGAAAAGTACATGGATTTGCTTTGAGTCCTGTAAATCACCTGCAAGATCTAGTGCTGATCTTTAGCGAGAATGAATACTCCATAATACTGCATAGTCGGAGCAAAGCCAACGATCAGTTCCAGCTAGTTTTTGAGGGCGAAACCAAAGACTGGATCAATGCTGCCAAGTTCCTCCTGGGCGACAATGCCAAGGATAAGAAAACATTTGTGTTGCACCTGGCCCACAGTGCACTCCTATACTTGGAATTTGATCTGACCTCCCATGCCGATTGCCGCCCACTGGAGTTGGCCCGATGCTCCGAGAGTTCCATTCTCTACTGCACTCGGCTGCACGGCGAGCGCTTTCAGGATCTGGCCATAATAAGTGGCAATGCGTTCGGCGAACTGCTGGTATGGCAGACGCAGAGTCCCATCGATGCCAAGGCGGGAGCGTTTGTCAAGACGTATCCCTTACTGCTTCGCCTGCAGGCCCATAACGGTGTCATTTTTTCCATTGACTTTCACATGACCTCCCAGTTGTTGGTCACAACTTCTGACGATCGCTCAGTCAAGTTTTGGCAAATCCAAAAAGTGGAAGGCTGGCAGACGGCCAAAATAAAGCCGCTGTTTAGCTGCTTCGGGCACAGCTCAAGGGTTATGTGTGCCGTCATCTTTGAAGCTGGTAAGATTCTTATATTTTCCACTCCACTTGGCTCGTTGTTAATTCTGCTTGTGTTTTCAGGTGGCCAAGCATATGTGGCTAGTGGCGGCGAGGATTCCTATGTCTGCGTGTGGAGTCTCTGCGGTGACTTGCTGTTGAAGCGTCGCCAACACTCTGGCCTGCCCATATGGCGCCTGGGCTTCAGGGAGGAGGACTATACCCTTTATAGTACCAGCTCGTCTGGTAATTTGGCAGCTGAAAGCCTGGAGGAGCTCTTTGGCGGCCACAAAAGTGCCGCCCATATGCTGAGCCACATAGACGGTGCCGCCACAGATGAGTTCATTAGAAGTGTCAAGTTTCTCGGTGATCAGCTAATCGTGGGCCTGACCAGCCTGAATCGTCTGTATTACATGCGAGTGTCGCAGGATAAGTGGCAGCAAGTGGACCGTGACTTTCCCACCTACGAACGGACGGTTTTGGAGGTGTCTGGCCACATTATAGCCACCTGCGGACAACGGCGAATGACAATCTACAGGCACAATGCTCGGGATAATGCCTTCGACAGGGTTTTCGACGGCGAGACGGGATTAACGGGAACGATTCGCTCGTTTCACTTCCTAAGCAAGGACCTCTACCTCGCATCGGACGACCTGGGCAACTGCCAGTCTCTGAAGGCACACGACCTCAGCCTGGATTCCCCCGTTGAGCTTGGGAAGTACCGCGAGGCCTGGCTAACAGCTGCGTTGCTTATATCGGAAAGGTATCTCCTGCTGGGCGATCGCCGGGGCCACGTGATGCTCTACTGTCGGTGCAGCCACCAGAACACCTTCTCGCTGAAGGCCACTTTGAAGCACTTGCATGGCAAAATGGGCACAAACTTCTTCAAGCTTCTTAGGGCAGACGAGGCCACTGCCTATGTGCTGAGCGGGGGTCACGAACCCCTTCTGAAATACCTGCATTTGGGTTTGGCCGAGTGCACCCTGGCTGTCGGGCAGCGCGAGAGTGTCCCCCTGTCCTGGGTGGAGGCCTCTCCCCGTCGAGACGTCGTACTGGGCTTCAACGACGATCACATTGTGGCCTGGTCCCGCCGATACGATGTGCTTGCGCAGCTGGCCTGCGGCGGAGGCCACCGTTGCTGGGACTACCGCCTAGCCGATGACGATGGCCTGGCCATATTGTTCGTAAAGAGGAAACGTGTGTTCCTTTATCGCCAGCCCCTGTACCATAGGATAGCCAGAGACATGGCCAAACTGGAGCTCAACAGCTGGCACACGCGGAACTGCAACTCCGCTCGTCTGCTCGCCCACGGGGAGGAGTCACAACCCCTGATTGTGTCGGCTGGCGATGATAATGTCATCAAGGTGACGAAGGTGGTGGCCGACACCCTGCTCCACTGTGCCGAAGTGCACTCTCATGTCTCCACAGTGCGTTGCCTGCAGGCCCTTAGGCTAGCCTCCTCCCGGAACTCCACAACGTGGCTGATTTTCTCAGTCGGCGGACGATCGCTGCTGTGCATCAACCAACTGACCGTAAACGCAGGAGACAACCAGTGCCTGGTGACCGAGCTGTGCACGCAGGCTCTGCAAAAGTCCAGCTCTGTGGAGGCCAGACTGATGGCCATCGACGTGGCCCAGGAGGAGGCAGCTGCTTACTTCTCCCTGTACGTGGCTGTGGCAGATGGCGAGATACGCCACTATCGCTGGCACTTGGACACACCCTCCGAGCCCCTTTTGCAATCTGCGGTGGATATCGAGGGATGCCCGCTCACCTTGCAGTGGATCAAGAGCAGGGGAATTGTGCTGATCACAACCACGGGCGGAGAAGTGTACGGGTTCGATCGAACCCTGACCACAAAGTACCTGCAACTCCGGCTGCACGTGACTGGCATAAACACGATAGACACCTGCCTGGATGCTAGGCAGCCGCAGCGCCTGCACATCCTGTCCGGCGGGGATGATGAGAATATCAAGTACACGGTCCTCGACTTAGATAGCATGACGGTGGCATACAAAAGGGAGTTCTTGGACCTGCACAATGCCCAGGTGAATGCCTTGTCCATACACTGCTCCGAGGGAGAATCGGAAGCGGAATCCGCAATGTTTGCCTTCACCTGCGGCATAGACAAGCAGATCTTCAGGATAGATCTGAGGACACATGAGCACAAACGGGTCGGACACAGCAGCATAGCTGACATCAAGGGCATGCTGATCGATAAACAGCGGCGGCAAATGTATTTCTACGGCAGCGGTTTTGAAATTGTGGAACTATAAGCAACAATATGGCTCTCTGCCTGCGTGGCATGAGACTCCTTTTGCTCTGGAAGTGCTAGTGATCCCCGCATGTATTCCTCGAGTATCTAAAGGGAGTGCTTTAAAAGTAAACTGTTCTGTGATTTAACATAATAAATAAGAAGAGAGGAAGCTAACTTTGGTCGATCCATCCTCCACAGGAGATATAAGTAAAAAATAAACAGCTGTAATTAATTTTTCCATATATTTAATATGTTTGGTAATAAAACATTTCTTTTTTACATATATTTAGGACCTATTCTGAATTTTTATTTACGCTTTCCCTTGCCTCCCCTGCCGCCACCCTTGCCGCCCTTCTCGCGCTTCTTTTTGGCCACCAAGGAGCGCTTGTCCTTCTTCTCTCGCGGATCGACTACCTTATAGCGACCCTTGACCCCGGCCGGACGACGTGCTCGACGGGCCGCCGACTGCTTCTTGGCCACCACATAGGTGATCTCCTTCTTCTTCTCCTGGGCCTTCTTGTACACCTTCTTGAGCTGCTTGGACTTCTCGTGGCTGCTGGCATCCGCGTTCTCCATTATCTTCTCGGCCATTTTCTTGGCCTTGGCCAGACGTTTTGTAGTGCGACGATGCTTGCGCGCCTTGGCCTCCATCACCTTCTTAATGGGACGGACATTCAGCTCCTGCACCTTGCGCTGGTACTCGGCGGTCAGCTCGTGGGGCACTGGCACTGGCCGCCTCATGTTCTCGTCCTCGTCCTGCACAAACCAGGCGGGCAGGTTCTCATCGTTGAAGGCATAGCGGTTCCAGGAGGCGTCAATCAGGTCGCGGCGATTCTTCTTGCTGCTGACCAGCAAAGAGCCCAATGCCAGCTCGTTTTCGGACAGGCGTACCTTCTTCGCGGTTCCCGCAGCTAAAATATGCAATATTTATGAGGTTAAGGTTAAGGGGGGATATACAAGCACATATTGACTATTGCATACCTTCATTATCCTTCGGCTCTGCTTCCTCCTCGGAGTCGGACGACTCCGAGCTACTGCTGTCCCTTTCTGTTTCCTGGTGTCGTGCGCGACGCTTCGCTTTCCTGCCCTTGGTGGCATCCGGGGTAAGAGTGCTCGTGCTCTCGCCCAATACGGTGACGCCCTTGGCATTGTACTCCTTGGCCAGGTTGTCCAGATCAAAGTTCTCCTCGTCGTCGTCGTCGGACTTTAGATTCTGGAGGTTGTCCTTCTCGTACCAGAGCTGAACCCGCTGCTGTCGCTTGGTGTTCTTGTCGCGAAAGTCGGCCGACTTGATCAGCGGATTGTCATCGCGCTTTCTCTTCTTGCCTTTGCCCCTAACAACATCATCGTCGTCGTCGCTGAGGCCCAGACCCCGATTGCCCAGCTGTTCCTCCTCCTCGCCCTCGTCAGCGCTCTCCTCTGCGTCATCACAGTCCTCGTAGTTGGCATCATCGTCCAGTCGGCTCTCCTCCTTGTCGTACCACTTGTATTTGGGTAGGTTGTTCACCTCGTCGGTGGACTCCTCCACGGTTATATCGGGCTGGACATCGAGCATGTCGTCCAGCTCGGCAGCAGAGTTGATGGTCTTCAGGTCAAAGATTTCGTGCTCTGTCTCCTCGACGGGCCCTTCGTCGCCCTTGATCACCATATTCAGGTTCATTTTCTCGTGCAACTTGGCCTTGGTCTTCAGGGTCTTCTTGCGTTTGCGCTTGAGCTCCTTTTGCTCCTCGGATGCGAGTGCATCGATTTCCTTTTGGAATTCGACCTCCTCCATGTCCTCGATTTCCTCTTGGGTCAGGGGTTTCGCAGCCTCTGGCTTCTCGTCACCAGCAGCCTCATCGTCCGCCGTCTTTTCCGGCTTCACAAAACTATCCCTAAGGGCCTTCCACCACAGCACCAGTCCCTTGATATCCTTGCGGCCCAGCACTTTAAGATCTTTGCAGCACTCGAGAATCTCTGGCGTGGTCTTCTTGTGACTGGCGACTTCCTGGCTATCGATGCGGATCGAGCCCACACCTTGCAGGGCTGACAGGGCATTTTCGGCTTTGATGAACTCGGTGACGGCCAAGTCGTTGCGCAGCGCAATGTCCTGGGCCGTGTAGCCCTCGGCCTTGATGCGCTTCTGCTTCTCCGGGTGGAGCAGGCTGTTGGGCTTCTTGGCGTCCAGGTCGAGTTCCTCGAACACGTATTTGGAGTCCAGCAGACGGGGATCGATGCGGTCGGGTGCTATGTAGCCCTCGCACACCACAAATATCTCGGCCGACTCCTTGCGGGAGGCACTGGGCTTGGTGGCATGCACCTTCTTGAACAGCTGCTTCAGCACCCACAGCAGCGCGTTGTAGTCCTTGGAGCGGAAAACTTTGGTCACAAACCAACCGCCGCCCCGCAGGAACTGGGTGGCCAACTTCAGGGCATTGAGAGTGAGGCAAATCTGCTGGTAGGCATCGAACAACCAGTTGCGACCCACATTGGGGGCACCGTCGTGCAAAACAACATCGGCCTTCCATGACTGTAGCTCCTTGGTCAGCGACTGGCGACACTTTTCCGTTGTTATGTCCTCCACCAAGCCAATGCAGCCGGCTATTGCCTTGATGGGAAAGAGATCCACGCCAATGACGATGCTGGACACCGGCATGTTCTGCTTGGCCACCTGCATCCAGCCACCGGGAGCGGCGCACAGATCGAGGCACACCTGCGACTGTTGGAGGAAGCCATAGCGCCGATTCAGTTGGATCAATTTGAAGGCAGCGCGTGATCGGAAGCCGGTCTCCTTGGCTAGCTGGTAGAATTTATCCTTTCTGGTTTTTCCTACTTTACTCTTTTTGCCCATCTTTGCGGACAATGGAAATCCAAATCAACAGAAAACAGAAAGCAAATCAAAATCAAACCGCACGTGGTAGTGCGGCAGTGTGACCGAAGCCCAGTGTTTAAAATGAGCTAATTTAAAATACCTACCTAGAAATGTACCGAAAATGATGTCCGTCAAATTAGCGTCGGTGAGTTAGCGTCGAAATGGAACGGTGGGAAAATGGAACACTGAGGGATTTTTTATTTTTTATTTATTTCGTTAATAAGGCACCAATTTGAACAAAATAAAGTTTATAAATGCTTAAAAATTAATTTACTATTGATTTTTACTGGGTTTGAGGGGATTTGACCTTTGGGTCTATTAAAAAAAAGCATTTGAAAAATCGTGCTTTCGCAATTTTGATTATATCTCGGCTCACAGAGGATATGCAGCTATACCCGATATGCCAGGATAAAGGATATTTATTGTAGTTTTACTCTGCAAAGTTTCATTTTCTTTTGACCGTCAGTTTTTGAGAAAATCGCATAACAGTTAACCAACCTCGGGTCGGCTCCATACAAAATATGGCAGAAAATTTTTAAAGTCTTATAACTCCAGTTTAAGAGGATATGCCAACATGCACGGTATATGGGCTTATTAGGAGAAGTTTAAAGAATATTTGGTGAAAATTTCAATGGATTTTAACCGGCAGATTTTGAGAAAATCGAATAGCAGTGGGTGGTGTAATTGGGCTGATAACAGAGGCGCGAAGTATGAAAATGGAACCAGCTGTGAACTGGGAACTGTGAGCAGAGAACTAGTTGCTGATCCAAGGAACGGAACCATGTTAAAAAAATACTAGATTTAAAAACGTTAGCCTTTTAAGCAATTTAAAATTAAATTAAATAACTGCCTATTAAACGACATCAGCATTTTGAGCAATTTGGTAGCTCTTTCATCAAAATCGGTTGAGTCGATTAAGAGAAAACGGCAATTTTTCATTTATATACTTATATGTACCAGCAAAAAAACCCACCGACCGCCAGACGTGTGACGTCACACGAGCCGTGTTTCTAACCAATTGAATGCGCCAACCTTGTTTTCGACGCTAACTTTCAATAAATTATTTCTAGCTTAAATGAGGATATGCAGATTTGCACGGTATATCAAAAGAAAGGGAATTCTATTCTTAAATTTCTATAAAAATCTTAGGTCGATCTGACCGACAGATTTTGAGGAGATCCTATTTTTCTTTTCCGACCTTATTATTAACTAACACTGGCTGCATATTGAGCCTAACGCCACGTGCTCCATACGATGTTTTTCGACGCTAACTTTCAACCAAATATTTCTAGCTTAAATGAGGATATGCAGATTTGCACGGTATCTCAAACGAACGGGAAATCATTTCTCTAATTTCTATAAAAATCTTAGGTCGATCTGACCGACAGATTTTGAGGAGTTCCTATTTTCCTTTTCCGACCTCATTATTAACTAACACTGGCTGCATATCGATACGAGCGTCACACGCGCTATCCATGTATTCCCCGCCAAAACATAAGCTCCTAATGGGAACTTAAACAATTATGCCCAATAAACGGAATCGCCATTCTAAGCATTTTGGTACATGTTTCATTAAAATCTGTTTAGCCGATCAAGAGAAAACGGCAATTTTGCATTTATTTACTTTTATATATGTATCAGCAAAGAAAACCACCGATCGCCAAACGTGTGACGTCACACAACCCATGTTTTTCACCAATTGAATGCGCCAACCTTGTTTTCGACGCTAACTTTCAACATAATATTTCTAGCTTAAATGAGGATATGCAGATTTGCACGGTATATCAAAAGAAAGGGAATTCTATTCTTAAATTTCTATACAAATCTTAGGTCGATCTGACCGACAGATTTTGAGGAGATCCTATTTTCCTTTTCCGACCTTATTATTAACTAACACTGGCTGCATATTGAGCCTAACGCCACGTGCTCCATACGATGTTTTTGACGCTAACTTTCAACCAAATATTTCCAGCTTAAATGAGGATATGCAGATATGCACGGTATATCAAATGAAAGGGAATTCTATTCTCTAATTTCGAATTAAATCTTATTGAGTTCTAACCGGCAGATTTTGAGAAAATCAAGTTTTTCTCTTTTCCGACCTCATTAATAACACTGGTTTGATATCGATAGAAGCGGCTCCCAAGCCCTATCGATGAATCCCCGCCAGCTTAAATTCTATTGACAATTTAAAACTTCTACAAAATTGCATAACTCATAACCGGCATCGCCTTTCGAAGTAATTTGGTAGATGTTACATCAAAATTCGTTCAGTAGTTCAAGAGAAAACCTCATTCTTTCATTTATTTCCATACGTATTTCAACACGTACATATACATTAGACATATACGCCGCCGCGCCACGCCGCCGCCGCCGCCGATTTTTGCCTTATTTGACGCGCCGCCGCCAAATTATGAAAATAACGGCGCGCCGCGGCGCGCCGCTGGTGCGGCATCGGCGCAGCTTCAGCGCGGCCTTCAGTGTCATTGTTCTTTATAAAACTTTAAAAAAAATAAATAACTCATTAAAATGGCCTTTTTGCCTTATTTGACGCGCCGCCGCCGCCGGTTCTTTCTGACTACTACGCCGCCGCCGCCGAGTCATTTTGACCTCTACGCCGCCGCCGATGCCTTTAACCATCGGCGTAAACCTCTAATATACATGCATGTATGAGGTTTTCTCTTGAACTACTGAACGAATTTTGATGTAACATCTACCAAATTACTTCGAAAGGCGATGCCGGTTATGAGTTATGCAATTTTGTAGAAGTTTTAAATTGTCAATAGAATTTAAGCTGGCGGGGATTCATCGATAGGGCTTGGGAGCCGCTTCTATCGATATCAAACCAGTGTTATTAATGAGGTCGGAAAAGAGAAAAACTTGATTTTCTCAAAATCTGCCGGTTAGAACTCAATAAGATTTAATTCGAAATTAGAGAATAGAATTCCCTTTCATTTGATATACCGTGCATATCTGCATATCCTCATTTAAGCTGGAAATATTTGGTTGAAAGTTAGCGTCAAAAACATCGTATGGAGCACGTGGCGTTAGGCTCAATATGCAGCCAGTGTTAGTTAATAATAAGGTCGGAAAAGGAAAATAGGATCTCCTCAAAATCTGTCGGTCAGATCGACCTAAGATTTGTATAGAAATTTAAGAATAGAATTCCCTTTCTTTTGATATACCGTGCAAATCTGCATATCCTCATTTAAGCTAGAAATATTATGTTGAAAGTTAGCGTCGAAAACAAGGTTGGCGCATTCAATTGGTGAAAAACATGGGTTGTGTGACGTCACACGTTTGGCGATCGGTGGTTTTCTTTGCTGATACATATATAAAAGTAAATAAATGCAAAATTGCCGTTTTCTCTTGATCGGCTAAACAGATTTTAATGAAACATGTACCAAAATGCTTAGAATGGCGATTCCGTTTATTGGGCATAATTGTTTAAGTTCCCATTAGGAGCTTATGTTTTGGCGGGGAATACATGGATAGCGCGTGTGACGCTCGTATCGATATGCAGCCAGTGTTAGTTAATAATGAGGTCGGAAAAGGAAAATAGGAACTCCTCAAAATCTGTCGGTCAGATCGACCTAAGATTTTTATAGAAATTAGAGAAATGATTTCCCGTTCGTTTGAGATACCGTGCAAATCTGCATATCCTCATTTAAGCTAGAAATATTTGGTTGAAAGTTAGCGTCGAAAAACATCGTATGGAGCACGTGGCGTTAGGCTCAATATGCAGCCAGTGTTAGTTAATAATAAGGTCGGAAAAGAAAAATAGGATCTCCTCAAAATCTGTCGGTCAGATCGACCTAAGATTTTTATAGAAACTAGAGAAATGATTTCCCGTTCGTTTGAGATACCGTGCAAATCTGCATATCCTCATTTAAGCTAGAAATATTTGGTTGAAAGTTAGCGTCGAAAAACATCGTATGGAGCACGTGGCGTTAGGCTCAATATGCAGCCAGTGTTAGTTAATAATAAGGTCGGAAAAGAAAAATAGGATCTCCTCAAAATCTGTCGGTCAGATCGACCTAAGATTTTTATAGAAATTTAAGAATAGAATTCCCTTTCTTTTGATATACCGTGCAAATCTGCATATCCTCATTTAAGCTAGAAATAATTTATTGAAAGTTAGCGTCGAAAACAAGGTTGGCGCATTCAATTGGTTAGAAACACGGCTCGTGTGACGTCACACGTCTGGCGGTCGGTGGGTTTTTTTGCTGGTACATATAAGTATATAAATGAAAAATTGCCGTTTTCTCTTAATCGACTCAACCGATTTTGATGAAAGAGCTACCAAATTGCTCAAAATGCTGATGTCGTTTAATAGGCAGTTATTTAATTTAATTTTAAATTGCTTAAAAGGCTAACGTTTTTAAATCTAGTATTTTTTTAACATGGTTCCGTTCCTTGGATCAGCAACTAGTTCTCTGCTCACAGTTCCCAGTTCACAGCTGGTTCCATTTTCATACTTCGCGCCTCTGTTATCAGCCCAATTACACCACCCACTGCTATTCGATTTTCTCAAAATCTGCCGGTTAAAATCCATTGAAATTTTCACCAAATATTCTTTAAACTTCTCCTAATAAGCCCATATACCGTGCATGTTGGCATATCCTCTTAAACTGGAGTTATAAGACTTTAAAAATTTTCTGCCATATTTTGTATGGAGCCGACCCGAGGTTGGTTAACTGTTATGCGATTTTCTCAAAAACTGACGGTCAAAAGAAAATGAAACTTTGCAGAGTAAAACTACAATAAATATCCTTTATCCTGGCATATCGGGTATAGCTGCATATCCTCTGTGAGCCGAGATATAATCAAAATTGCGAAAGCACGATTTTTCAAATGCTTTTTTTTAATAGACCCAAAGGTCAAATTTCCTCAAACCCAGTAAAAATCAATAGTAAATTAATTTTTAAGCATTTATAAACTTTATTTTGTTCAAATTGGTGCCTTATTAACGAAATAAATAAAAAATAAAAAATCCCTCAGTGTTCCATTTTCCCACCGTTCCATTTCGACGCTAACTCACCGACGCTAATTTGACGGACATCCGAAAATGAGTTATAAGTGCGATTTACTTTTGATAAGTTAATAGACATTAAACAAATGGTTTTTTTTTTGCAAAAAACTAGAGTCTTCTTGTGTAAAAACTTGTCTTAAAAAATGCATTTGCATTTTTCATAATTTACAAAAAATACTAGAATGGTATATCTTTGATATCGATTTCCACCAACTGTCATAACCAGCCGACTGTTATTTTCAAAAAATATAACAGTTTGCTTTACCGAGGGGAAAACAAATAATGGAACCAGATTAATTAGTTTTTGTAAGTTTGCAATCAATTATTGTGAGTACCAGGTGGCTCTAAGATAAACTCTTGCTTGCAAAAAGGTTTTCACACAAGCTTCAAAGCAAAGACAACTGAATTTATAAATTTATACTTACTTCTATAGTCTCCAGACAGTTTAAAGACATTCAATATAGTGTTGCACTTTATTTACGTATTCCTATTTATGTATAATTATAAATATTTAATAAAGATCTCATATTAGTTGGAATCAACACGTTTAAATTATAAATCAGGAATAGGAACCACGCGGAAAAGGCTTAACGCAGTCAATGAGTCTGGAAAAATCATTTCGGATTTCAAAGATATGACAAGAGTATCCTGAAAAATAAATCACGACAGGACCGGGAAACTATCCACTTTAAATCACGACAGTCAAGGGCTGCAATCAGTGCTCTGTAATAGGCTAATACGAGAATACAATTACTGTATGTCCTTTTTATGTTCTAGTTTTTAATACACTTTGTTAGTGAAACAAAAGAACACCCAAATAGTAACTACATATATGTATCATTTATGTAAATTACAATATTTAAATATGCTTCTTTTCGTCTGAGGAGCCGCCAACACCGCCAGCACCAGCTCCTCCGGCCACAGTGTTGATAGCCGAGGTGCTGGCAGAGCTTATTATGGTAGCACCCCCAACTGATGATCCACCCAGCCCGCCCACTAGCAGGTCATGTTCGTTCTTAGCCTGCCGCAGCCAGTTGCGCAGGTCCCGGGTGCGCTCCACCAGCGAGGTTGTGTAGTTCACAGCCCGGGGATTCTGCGAAACGATGGTGTTGGCGGTGAGAATCGCCCCGCCCATTGAACTCTGCATGCGCCCAGCAGCCAGCTGACGATAGGTCTCCAAACGGTCCGCCAGAGTGGGAATCGAGTGTGGTACATGGGCGTGAGCCAACGCCAGTCCCCCGGCCACATCATCGACAGCAATCTGACAGTTTTGCATGGAACTGCTGTTGGTCTGAAGCTGCTGCTCCACAGAGGCCATAATCGAAGAGTGCTGCTGCTGCTGCTGCTGCTGCTTGTTGAGCATGTGCGTCCAATTGAGATCGGTTACGATTGGTGGCGATACCATGGGTAGAGCCGCAACAGACTGCTGGAACTGTAGACTGTGGTGTTGCTGCTGCTTCTGGCCAAATATATCCAGGATTTCACGGATTTCGGCATTTAGAATTTCCAGGTTTTGTATGCATTCGTTTGACTCCTGCTGAAAGTAGAACTCTTTGCGCTTGTGCAAGTCCCCGCCGGCAGCGCTGGCAAAGTCTGTGCTGCTGAAGCCAGAGCTGGAGTGAGACGACAGATCGCTAAGCGTTGCCGAGTCATCCTTGGCCTCCGGATTCGATTCCTTATCGTATATGCGCAACAGACTCTGTTCCAAGTGCCGTAATCGTATCACCTTCTCGCCCAGGAGGGAGCGAGTGCGGTGCAGATTCACTTCCATTTCGGTTAGCTCCTTCTCGTCCTGTATGAGCTGTCCGAGCGAGTGCTTTGGCGTCACCGTCGTGGTGGTGGCCTTGTGTCGCTGCCTCAGCTCCCGCTGTCGCAGCCTGAAATTGGTGCGCTGCGTCCGCAATGATTCCTTTGCCCGGCGCACCGAGTCCCGTTCCAGGTGTATGCGATGCTTGAAGAACTCCAGCTCCGACGACCCCACCCCCATGACATCGTGCTCGATGGAGATGTCTGTGAAGGGGTAGCGCAGGTGATAGGTGGCGGTGGCGTCCAGTGTGTGCTCCGGAAACTGATCCTCCAGGTCCTCGAGCTTCTGAAGCTGATGTCGCAAGTTTTCCACCGGAGTGCACGGTCGCTCCACCTTGTTATAGCTTGTGTCCGAATTTAGGCGCGACGTTGAAGCCGATTTGGTGCGCGAGAACACGACGTTCCGTAGTCCTGCTGTGGCAGTGGCTGCCGTTTCTTTGATCCTGCTGCTGTTGCTGTTGTTGTTGTTCTCCTGATTGGAGGACTGTGGCGTCGGTTCCTCGCCAGTCGAGTTGCCATTGTCGCTTAGTAGGGTAATGGCCAGTAGTCCGCCGCCACCGCCGCCGCCACCGCCACCGCTGGCAGACTTGAGGGTTGGCCGATGATAGCCACCGTTGTTGAAGGTGTTCGAAATCGTTGTGTCCGACTGACTGATCGAGGTGTTGTCGTCGTGCCGCTGCTGCTGCTGCAATTGCTTTATGTACTTGGTGGCGATGCTCGGCTTGGCGAGTTGCCCCTTGGGCGGCACTGGCGGCTTCCCCTTGGCCTCGCCAGCCACCGCATGCTCCGAGTAGCTGAGCGAGCGATTGTCACTGTTGCCAATGGAAGGCTTGTACGAGATCGAGCGCTCCGTTTCGGATCCGGTGGTGGATTTGGTGTTGTGCTGCGAGATGGCCAGCTGCGCTTCGCGTCGCCGGTTGCGTCGCTCTAAGGACAGCTTGACGTCCGTTTTGAGCCGCACATATTTCTCCTTGAGGCACCGGTACTTGTCCTCGAGCAGGCGCTTCTCGCACCGCACCTTTTCGTAGAGTCTGTCCTCGCCCTTGTCCCGGAACCGTTGCTTCTCGATGTCCAGCTCCCGGCTGAGCTTGGCCTGCACTTGGGCCAGCCTGGCGGCATGCTCGCGCCGCACAATTTCCTCCTCGCTGTGCAAGTCCCGCTCCAGCTCACGGAGGATCTCGTCGTGGTTGCTCTGCAGCGTGGCCATGCGACTCTTGTGCTCGGTCACAACGAGGGCGCGCTTGTCCAGCAGCTCGCTTTCCAGGTGCTCACGATACTCCTCCAGCTGGAGCTCGAATGATTCCTCCAGCTGATGCTGGTGGGACGTCAGCCGAAGGTCGTACTCATGCCTCAGTGCCTTGACCTTTGCCTCGTGCTCACGCTTGATGGTCTCCAGATCCTTTTGTGCCTGGCCATCACTTAGGCTGTGTTCTGTGAACTTCTGAGGGCTCTCGCCGACCGCCACACTGGCCGAGTCCTGGGTAGACTTGAGCTGCAGCTGCTCCAGCTCGTAGCTGTGCTTCCGACCCAGCTCGTCCAGGTCAAAGGTCTTGTTCTCTGGCAGCTGCAGCGAACCCTGTTCCGACTTGTTTATAATAAAGCTGCGGACAGAGCTGCCCTTGGAGTCGGAGTCGGTGTCATCGTGATAGAGCGCAGACCCGGCGCCTTTCATTTTCGATGCTTCGCCCGGGGGGAAGTCCTTGGAGCTCCTTAGAATGGAGTCGCACAAGAAGGGATTTAGGCTGTATGGCATGCTCTCTATAACAGGCGAATCGGTGCCATTTTCATTCCAATCATCGCCCTCCTCCTCCTCATCTTGGTCCTTCACCACCACGACATCCAGGTCAACGTTGTCCTCCTCCTCCTCTTCCGGGGAATCCTGAGCGCTCTGCTGCGCCTGCGAAATCTCCTGCAGATTGAAGCGTACGCTCTTTTTATCCTCCGATATGTCGGATATTGGGTCATCGCGACCCTCTAGTCGCCGGTTTATGTCGGTTATGCTAGAGTCGCGGAGAATACCCTTGACACTTGCTGGTGCCACGGCGACATCTCCATCAAAATCAAATGGCCGGCCAGTAGCCGCTTTCTGATACGACACTGGCCCGAATCCCTTGCGCAGCTTTCCCAGAGACTCGGCGTTGCCCTCGAAGTATTCAAGTTTCTTGCTCAATGACGACGACTCCGTTGTCTTTTTAAACAACCCCCCGCCACCACTGCCGCTTTGGACCCTAGACTTGGCCAGGTCCAAGAACCGACTGGAGACACCTCCAAGCTTACGTGGCGTGGTCGCATTCGTTGCTGCTGGCACCAGTTTGGCCAGAGACAGCTGTTTGCCTAGATTGCCCAGGGGCGATGGCAGGGGAGACGGCGACGGGATCTCGTCGATGCCCTGCATGCTGCGTATGCCGGAATCTAACAGCGACAGATCGTCCGAGTTGTCAATGCAAGGCGGCAGGGCTCCTCCCTCGGCTGCCAACTTCTGACGCGTCTGCTCCACCAGACCGCGATATATGGCATCGAGAGGATGATCCCACTGCGACTCCTTTGTGCGCGTATTGTGATAGTAATGGCCATTCTTCTCCTCCGAGTAGCTGTCAATGGGCACGTGAATAACGTGAAATGCAATGTGAACCCCTTAATCGTCTTACCATATCTTCCAGTCCGAAGGCAAGGCGGCCATCAGGCCTTCCTTGGCCAGGTAAAGCAAGTGCTGTTCCCCTTGAGGTTCGATTCCAATTAGAGTTGCATAGTCATTAATTTCTACCCAACGAAAATGGGAAATTGAATAAGAGATAATTCGAATGTTAAAATAAATATGATATTTATATAAGTAAATTAAAATAAATAATTAAAGATTAAAGATCATTCTGGCAAGGCATGGCAGAGTCGAAACTAATAGATTTTACTTAATATTACTCATTAAAACTTGTCAAAAAAACAATATTTATTTTATATCCCAAATTATGCGCCTTCAAAAATGTTTTATAAGCGAACAAAATGTCTTCAACCCTTAAAGTAGGGGGTGTGTTTATGGTTAGGGGTGCCTTGACAAAAAGAAACAAATTAAGTTACAACGCCACCCACCACTACTCTTATTAGACACCCGCTTCAATTAATTGAAATCCATAGAAAAATCTCATTATTATTTGGAATCAATCGTATCTTGTAGAGTTATAAATGAACAAGAGTACAATTCAAATATTTGACTATATTTGAGAAAAATCGCCTAAAAGCTAAGAACATTTTTCTAAAATTAGGAAAAGTTCCACTGAATTTAGGACAAATTTGTAGATTTAATTATATTTTCCTCAAATACAGGACGATTTGCTTTGTTTAGTTTCATTTTTTTTTTTAATAAAGGCGAATTTCACTGGTCAATTTTTCATTAAAACCATGGAAAAATTGCTCTAAAAATCTCACGGCAAAAAATGGCAGTATAATTCCTAACTGGTTCTAACATCTCACAGTGCGGAGCACACGGTGGATACATGTTTGGAAGATATGGTGCTATTATGTGCTATTAAATATGTGCTACTAAATATGTGATATTACATGTGCTATTTACATAGTTACATACCCTAAAAGTATTTTAATTTTTTCTTAATTCTAAAAAATACCCTTTAAATTTAGAAAATGTATATATTTTTTAAAGGTCAAATAGGCTTAAAACTAAAAAAAAAATCTTTTTTAAAAAGTATGAAAAATGCAACTTTAATTTTAAAAAGGTTTTCCCGTATTTCGGAAAAAAAGAATTACCTAAAATAGTAACATTTTCTAAATTCAAGAAAAATTGCCCACCGTAAAATTGTATCCAAATAAAAGAGGTTTCCTTAATAAGATTAAATTTTAAATTGATTTACTTTGATACAAATTCAACAACAATTAAAGCTCTTGTAAACGATTTTTGGACAGGATTCCCATAGAAAGTAAATGTAAGTGTGAATGTAAATTTAAAACTGCCCCTTCAATGTATGTATGTACACGTACTTATCGGCAAATATATGTAACTTACCCTCTTGCGAAGGAAAACAGGCTTCGTCAAATACTTCCTCACAAATAACCGATGTGGCCGGAGATGAGTACTCTAAACACTTGGTGGTTGAGGCCGCTTTGGTCATTCCTGCTTCCTTTGCCTCCAGAGGCAGCGATGCGGTTGCCGAGGAAATCCTTCGGCACACACTGGTAGTTGTCATTGTGGGAGCTTTCCTTTTTCCTTTTTCCTTTTTCCCCCAAGCCAATAGGGAATTTGGGAATTATGTTTCATGTAATAGCATCTAACTGGCAATCATTGTGGCTTTTTGCTCAGCAGGACGAATCTTCGCCTGCAGTGCATTTGACCTAAAAATGAAAAAGAAATACCTACTGAGTAATCGTTACGTACGTATGTGTATGTGTGAGCTTCCTTCAAAGGTGGGCTGGTCGATTATCTGGTTGGCAACAGGATATGCGACGTTTATACATATGAATGTCTGCGCAGCCTTACGGCAGCAGAGCACTTGATTATCCGGGAGGATAGCCAAGAGCCAACTCCTCAAATATAAAAATCTGCTGGCATCTAAGGACAAAATCGCACTCACCTTAAAAGTTCTAGTAGAGTAATAACGGTATTAATGTGTATCGGTACAAAAAATTGATTTCAATTGATTTGTATTTTTTTTATATATATTCTTGAATCTTATTTTTAACAGTTTCGAAGCTTAATACATATGTAGTGCCAATTAGCAAGCCAAGGAAAAATGTGTCTTGTGCGTAAAAAGCGAAATATTGGGAAAACTACTAACAAACTCAACCAAATATATCGCAAATATATTTTCACGAACTTACACACGAGTGTGACCGTACGCGGCAACTAACTGTCGGATGTTTTAGGCCCTTTTGAAGTTACGACGGTAATTTTAATAATTTAATTTTTTTAATTTCATAATTTTAATAATTTTTTAACACTATTTTTTAATCTGTTGAATAAAAAATGTACAATTTTTCACTAGAGCCACTCATGTCAAGTTTCTTTAATCTACTGATCGTTCCTATGGCAGCTTGCACTTTTGGTGGCTTGGGTGGTTCCTCCTGCTCCTCCGTTTCCGTCTCATCTACTTCGATCAAGGCGTTAAAGACGAGCTGATTTTTCGAAAATGCGCGTTTGAAAAAAACCGCCGCTCGGCGAGGCGAGTGAGATTTGGCGCTGCCAGATCTGACAAAGTTATCTGATCTGGCATCGTTTTGAAATTCAGAATGACCAATGGAAAAATATCAAAAAATGTCAAATAATATCGCGATATTTTGATATCAACCCTGCTTTCATATCGATTTTTTTTCTGCGTATACATAACACAGTTTTTAGTTGCATCCGAAAAAAGATTGAAATACCAGCGACAAAGGCTTAAACTAAACTTAAACAGTGCCAATAGCTTTATTGGGTTATTACGCGAACACTTAAAACCCGGATCGCATTGGAAAAAGGTGTAAGTCCGCAATTGAAGCGCACACAATTACTGATATACATATTTTAAGATGAAAATATTGATGTACCTGTGAATGTATATATGTATGTACAACAAAATACAAACAACAAAGGTAGTGGCGTTTCATGCTCAGTCTTTGGACTAAAAGAAATATATTTAAGGCATCGGCAGACCCACATGTATTGAAATGTACATGTGTGGTACATGTGTTTATTAATTGACGTGTGTATGCATGTATATACACATGTGCAGGTGTATGCATGTTCGTACATAACTGAATATGTATGTATGTGGTGCAGTCGCAGTCAATTTTTGTAAATTTAATATTTAGTCTAAAGGAGATGGATTTCTGCAGATAGAAATTGTACAAGGGACAAGTGTGTTTCATATCTTAGCCCCTTGAAATACACACATGAAAAGGTTTAGATACACATATTTCTAGTGCTTCCTAGTAATAATAGTCGAAAGAGCAGTATTTTCTTGCATTAAAAAGTGAAATACAATTAAAAAACGGATTGTAACTGCTCAATAATAGTTAAATTCAGTTCATTTTGTTATGTTGTGTTTTTTAATAATTATACATGCAACATTAGAAAATGAAGAAATCATAGAAAACAAGCTTTTATGATTCTTTCCTGACTAACTATATAATTTAATAGAAATTATTATTTACAGCGGCATGGAGGATCCCAATCGGATGTTGGCCCACACTGGTGGCATGATGGCACCACAGGGCTATGGTCTGTCCGGTCAGGATGATGGTCAAAACACTGGCAGCGAGAACGAGGTGCGCAAGCAAAAGGATATTGGCGAGATATTGCAGCAAATCATGAGCATTTCGGAGCAGTCGCTGGACGAGGCGCAGGCTAGAAAGCATACGCTCAACTGTCATCGCATGAAGCCGGCCCTGTTCTCGGTGCTGTGCGAAATTAAAGAGAAGACCGGTATGTACTTATTGCTTAGAAATTCGAAATTAGAATTTGCTTATCGTTTTCATACAAAATACTTACATATTACCCGATTTTATTTACAGTCCTTTCAATTCGCAACACCCAGGAGGAGGAGCCACCAGATCCGCAACTCATGCGCTTGGACAACATGCTGATTGCCGAGGGCGTGGCAGGACCAGAAAAGGGCGGCGGTGGCGCAGCAGCAGCTTCTGCTGCGGCGGCTAGTCAGGGCGGATCTCTGTCAATAGATGGGGCTGATAATGCCATAGAGCATTCCGACTACCGTGCCAAGCTGGCGCAGATTCGCCAGATATACCATCAGGAATTGGAAAAGTACGAGCAGGCATGCAACGAGTTTACCACTCACGTTATGAACCTCTTGCGCGAACAGAGTCGCACCAGGTAAGAGATTCCCCCGAGCCAAGGAAATCGAAAGGTTAGTGCATACAAGTCGTTTTTTTTTGTAGACCCATTACACCGAAGGAGATCGAACGCATGGTGCAGATCATACACAAAAAGTTCAGCTCCATACAAATGCAGCTGAAGCAGTCGACCTGCGAGGCAGTCATGATCCTTCGATCGCGCTTCCTGGACGCGCGTCGCAAGCGCCGCAACTTTAGCAAGCAGGCGTCGGAGATCCTCAACGAGTACTTCTACAGTCACTTGAGCAACCCCTATCCATCCGAGGAGGCCAAAGAGGAACTGGCACGAAAGTGCGGAATAACAGTTAGTGTTAAAGAAAAGTAATTCACTTATGGCAATGATCATCACACATCCCAATCCCAATCGCAGGTCTCTCAAGTGTCAAATTGGTTTGGCAACAAGCGAATTCGCTACAAGAAGAACATCGGCAAGGCCCAGGAGGAGGCCAACTTGTATGCTGCCAAGAAGGCTGCAGGCGCCTCGCCATACTCAATGGCCGGGCCGCCGAGTGGTACCACCACACCAATGATGTCACCCGCCCCACCGCAGGACTCAATGGGCTACCCGATGGGATCCGGCGGCTACGATCAGCAGCAGCCGTACGACAACAGCATGGGCGGCTACGATCCCAATCTCCACCAGGACCTAAGTCCCTGAGGATAGCACCATATAACAATATGCATACGTACATACATACATATTTTCTAATGACTGCTTGTGGTGTTGTTGTGCTACGTCCGTGCGTGTATGGTGTGAGTCTGTATTGACGACCAGGTTGGCAGTCTATCCAATAATGTATACGACTAAAATATATAATAATAATTAAATGCGCACCTCTTGAGCATTGGTACATGCATCCCGCTTACATTCAAATCGATTTCTATATTTACCTATATTTGTGGATATATACGTAAATTGCATATACCTATATAAACGTAGAGTAATTCAGGGCGTGGTGCAAATGTAGACCTATCTTTTTTTCGTTTTTATTATTAAAACAGTCACTTGTTTTTTTTTTTGTATTTTGAAATTGTAGCCGAGACATTCCTTTGGCAGCGAACAGGTCTTCCTGGCGAGCTACTTTGAAAGCCCAACAGCAGTAACTATAAATTATGTCCGATTCATCAGTAAGAAATTCAGTATAAATAATAAAATCAATATTTAATGTTTCATATATATTACTTGCCACTAATAATTATAATTTTATATTTACTTAATCGCTCCAAAAATAACTATTATTATTTTGAACAAAAAAATATCGCTCAAAAAGTAAGCATTAATTTTTGACCGATATTTTTCTCACTCAAAATAATGTTAATTATTTTTTGAGCGATCAAATAAAACTGAAAAATTAATAAATAAAAGTGGTATATAAATCTAGATTTCTGATTATCTTGAAAGAGCATCCAAATTGCGGCTTTTCCAAGTGGATGATTTTCATTATTTACGGTCCCTGGTATTAACAGCTTCATATTAGTTTACCCGTTTCAGCATGTTTGTAGTATTATATTTGACATAAAACGAGTATTTTTGATCAGATGTTGACCTTTAAGCAGGGAAACATTTGCACCACCTGGCTTGAATGACCTAAACTATTCAAAAAAATATAAAAAAAACAACAAAAAATAAGAAAAAAAAAACAAAAAATGAACAAACCATGATGTTTATTTGTGGCAACACAGTACAGCATGTATACGACAATGTTTACTAAAATCTGTATGAAATTTGAAACTTGAACATTATGAAATTTATCCAATGTATACGATGTATATGAAGTTTAACGGAACAACAACATGTCAGCAGAGTCAAAAAATCAATTATAATTATTCAGTAAAAACATTTAAGGCGATTGATGGTGCATTTTTCCTTCATTTCCAATGCTGTATTCAGTCACGAGTATTTCTTTTTATTTGTATAATCAAGCAAACGATAAAACTTCGAATAGGTGTGTCATACTTTTTGTTGCGCTTTTAAAACAAATTAAATGAATTTCTTAAACTACATACAACAACAGAAAAGTGAAAAGGTTCCCAGTTTCATATAAACAATAAACAACAAATAAATAATTGGTCTAATTTGTAAAACTTACATGCTAAATACATGAACAAATTCTTTCTATGTAACCCCGAAAAAATATATATTAATTTTAGCATTACGCGAATAACTTAATAAATAAGTACTATATATCATATAACAAGTGCTTTTATTCTATGCAAAAAAAGAAGAAATAACCTGGGAGCCAAGGATTCCAAAGATTCATGGGTGTTTCAGGGGTATTTCATCAGGGAAGATGGGAACTGGAGAGTACTGGATGGTTAGGCAGACAGCGAAGCCATCACAGGTTCTACTTATACCTATCTACCTTCTTTCCTGACGATGCCTGGATATGAATATATCATATCTCTCTCCAGGTGTGATCTAGTAAGTAATATCATCTGATTTTACCAATGACCTCGTGAAGAATGTTTTCGAAACTAAATACAGCGGGAATATGCGAAGCAAACGAGACACTTTTTAAAAACTTTTGTCGAGGCAAGACGGCAAAGTGTTGGTTCTTTTTTTTAAATGCCATATAATTACACAACTTTAAAACAGTTTTTTGTTTAATTTTGTATTTAAAAAATGTTTAGAGGTATAAAAATTATAATGAATCTGGTTGGTGTTCTGTTCAAACTGTCCACAGAATTATCCGATATCAAAGAAATATAATGCATTCGTTAAAAGGTAAGTGTCCCGAGGTACTTACATACGTGGCGTTTTTATTTTTAATATTTTGTACCGATTATTTATTTAAATTGGAAGTCAAAACCCCGAATTTCGACTAAAAAATTAAGTTAGTTTGTTAAACAAAAAATATTATAAAAATTAATATTAAACAAGTTATCTGCCGAATTTGAATACAAATTGGTCCAGTAGATTTTGAGACTTTCAAAATTGAACTTTTCAGGAGAGCGAATTTAACCTTTTAATACTCATACATTGTGTCAATTTTGCTTCTATCGATGTGGAATTTTGACAACATTTTCTTAAGATATTCAACATTAATGGGATAGCAGCAGCTACTCATGCCTTTTCCACTTCTCTGAATAACTCGAGGAGCACGCCCTGATTTGGTTGTGAGCTGCAAACCAGGGCACGTAATCATTTGAAGTGAAAAAATGAAAATAATTGTTTAATGATTATCTATTGATTTTAGTATATTTTGATTACCATTAATAATTATAATTTCATATTTACTTAATCGCTCAAAGAATAATTATTATTTTCACCAAAAGAAATAACGTTAAAAAAAACAATGATTATTTTTTCGCTAAAAACAATAATATATATTCTTTGGGCGATTAAATAAAACTCAAAAAAACAATAATTAAAATTGGTTAAATACATACAAATCTAGATTATCTTGAAATACCGTCCAAGTTGCAGCCACTTTTCCAAGTGGATGATTTTTTTGTTTGAAGAAAACATTGAGAAGAAACCAATAATCTCAGGACCACAAACAAACTTTGAGGGTATATGGGATTATTTATTTAGTATTGGCTTTAAGTTAGACTTTACAGAGAATATTTTAAAACTTAACAGAAGAAAACACTTAGGGTCTAATTAAATATGTGTGTATGTACAAAAAATAAGGTCTTGAATATCTAAATTGTGTGAACGAAAATCGATCTGGCTGGTGTACATAATAAGTATTACCGGATTTAATTATTCTGTTGAACGTACGCTTGAAATCAGCAAAGCAAACGGAAAAAGTATCTCTTTTGTGCGGTTAATTAGTTTTTCCTTCTATTTTTTACGTTTTGCTGTTTGTTTCCTTTTTTTTGTATTTTTTTTTACATTCGTGAATACATATTGTTTTTCTAATTAGCTTCTCAAGTCTGATTTCTAAAAATATGTAGCGTTTTATTCGTAAGTTATATTTTGTATATTACAAGGTATAATTTTGCAGTCTAGCAACTTTAATACAACATAGAGTATACGCATTTCGATGACGCCTTTAAATTCCTGTCTGTGTACATATTTAAAATACATATTGTATATACATAATTAGGTAAAGCGAGAAGCCTTGTGTTCATCGAGACATTCATGTTCATAGTTTAAATATACATTTAACTGCACAAAAAATGTAACTTTAGTTGGTTTTATTTTAAATTTATTTAAATATTACGCTAGTAGATAATAGTAATTTAGTTACAAAATACAGCAATTGGTTGAACAGCATCGTCCCGAACCGCCTTTACTGTTTTGTCTTTGATCTGTGAAAGAGGAATTTACAAATATTATATTTTTAGATTTTATAGATACTAAAAGCAAGAGTTCAGTTCAGTTGATGACGTTGACGTGTGATAAAGTTCTACAAATCCCATCCTCGAGATTCTCTATCCCTATCTCTCTCTCGCACTAAAACTTGGTATTTTCACATGGCAATTTTCTAGACGAACTAAGGTCATAACTAGGTTTCAACTCCATTCATTTTAATTCGGAACAATGTCCAGCGTATGTTTTAATTTTGAGTTTCGAATGTAAATATATACTGTTCTTTAATTTTTAACTATTTTAATGATGCATATAAATTGTGGGGAAAATCAAAACTTAAAAAATATATAACTAAGACAAAAACGCACTAAATTCGATTCGTAAAGCGCATTTGTTTTAGTTTTAATAAGGTTTATAAATTTGCATACTTAAATTTTTATAAATTCAATTTTTGGACAATTTTTGACTTTCTTGGAGCAAACTCAAGTTACTTTCATGTACAAAACTCCTTCTTCCACAACAAAAAAAAAAAAAAAAAACCATTCTCATTCCAACGCTATTTTTGGGAATAAAGGTGTTTGGGCACCCGACAATTCTTTATAAATGAATAAATTAATTTAATTAATCGTTCCTCAATTCACGCAACTTTTCAACACACATTAAATATAAGCATTTGGTTTGATTTAAACATACCTTGTGAATTGGGTTCTGGCAAATTATCACGTGGCACTAAATGCATAACAGTCGTTTTGCCCAATGGAAGTCCCAGTGCTCCTAAGGTTACATTGCAATGAAGAAATCGCCCTTGGTAAATCAAACGCAAGATGTCCGCTTTTGATACAGCTTCTCGGGTCCAATCTAAAGATGTATGTATACGTGCATTAGTACTCATTTAACACCATATAATTAGTTTTATAATTCAATTCAATTAAAACTTTCACTAGATTTCCTCACCTTCGGGCCAATTATCGAATACTGTTTGTGCAATATCACCTGCGGAATCTGATGGGTTAAATATAAATTCTTTTGTTTTACCACTAACGAGAATTAGGCGTAGGTTAATCTGTAAATAGAGTATGAGTATTGTATGTTATTGAAATGAAAAATAGTTTAAATGTTGCAAAATTATTAACGAAATGCCCAAAAGTCTTACTAATACTAGAGTACTTGCCCAGCAGACAAAAACGTTCGTTTAGGGTTGAAAACGAATTAAAAGCGGACAAAAGGTCCAATTTAGACTCATAAACGATAATAAAGTGTATCACCTGTCATCAGTTTTGTAGCAGAAAATGCTATATTTTTCGGAATCCGAATAAGATTTAAGTTGCGGACCTTTTACGACATCATTCACTATTCTCGTCCGCTGTTCGCCCGTTTGCGCGTCCGTTTTTGAACGTTTAGCGAAACTAATGCTTAAAGTCAGACTCTTTTTCCGTATTTAATATCTTTAGCGGATATTTTTCAAATCCACCCGCTTAAAGCCCCCTTCTTTGTCTGCTGGGATGCTCAAACCTCACTCTCAATCCGTAATCCATAATTGGACTTAAGGACTCGCTTAATAGTTAATTCAAATAAAACCTAATCAAATCTTAATATTGAGAAACTCACTTTATCAGATGGAATCGTTCGGTGCATCTTCTGTGATGTTAATGGAGTTATGTTAGCCTTTATATTGCTACAGCAGTGCGATGAAACATCTGGTGGACTGAGGATGGACGCGGAGGCGTCATTGGCTAACGATGGCCCCGCCGCAGGCTCCGAAGATGTCATTGTTGTTGGTGAGTTTGGCAGGAGCTGAATCTGTTTCCCCTGATATCGCAAAGATGGTTGCTTCTTCACCAACGAGTACGACTTCCTTTGCTGGTGCACGGCTGCAATGGTGTCCGTGCAGTTGGTAGATGACGATGAGGACGGCAAAAGCGCTTGGGCTTGAGCAATGACAAAACTATTCTCAGTTACTAATGGTGACGTCGCCGACGACTGTGCATTAGAAGAAGAACCTTTGGCATTTTGCGACTTTCGCTGCTGCTTCTGCTGTTGACTAGCTACAATAGCCGTGGTAGTTTGTTCATGCTGATGCTGCTGAGGTGGAGTCGTTGGAGTTGTTGGTGTATCAATCGATGATGTAGACGACATGGCATCCAGTTTGAAGTGCTGTATCGAAATTACCTAGAATCCTCCGAGTTGCTTGCGTTTCTCTAGAGTATATGTAGCATTTGACACCAGTTGTAGTGAAGTTCGCTTTTAGTTAATATTCTTCTGACTGCGCAGTATCGTATTTCATAATAGCCAAGTTCCTCGGTTTGCAATTATCTGATCCCTTACGGCCAAAAGCCATCTTCTGGTAATTCCGATTGGATTTTGATTGTTTTCCGCTCAAGTTCTTTTGCAAGAGAGGCAGAAAAACCTTATTGGACACCTACAACCACAGAGGGCTCAGATGGTTTTTCTTCTTTTCAAGGACTTTTATTGTTTTTAAATCAATTATGGATTCCTCTGACGTTTGCACTACATTTGGCTTGTCCTTGCTGTGTTCGCTGGCAGGGAAAACGTCAATATTTTCTGCTGAATACTGCACATCAAAATGTTCTCTCAATATCTATTTTTCCCCGAGCTACATAAATAAAAAAGGACAAATTCACACATATATATATGCACGTACGTACATATGTACATATGTTACATATTAGATTGCCAATATATTTTCGAGTTCAGTTCGTGGGTCCATAGGTTTTTCGCACACACAGAGGTTTAACTGCATTCAACTGTGTATTCTACTATATTTGTGCATTTATTCTTGCCCGTGGTGACACGAAAATAGGTTTTTTATAACGACACGATTTACACTCATTAATTGGTAAATAGATATACATACTCATTGCAGTTACAAAATCAGTGTGGCCAGCAGCCGCGTACGTTTAGTACCAAATGCGACACCGTCACGGTGGAACGACTGGGATTTTTGGAGAATGTGAAATTCCACCGATTCCACCGTAAACAGCTGGTTTGTGTTTTTGTGTGTTGCTGAAGATTGGGATGACAGCCCTTTTAGCGAATTAAGTATACAAAAAGAATATAATAATATAATATACGATATAATATATGTTCTATACTGCATAATTTGTTTACTTTGTATTTTTATTATTTATAGTGTACATTAAAAATACCGTTCATCTTTGGCAGTGATCACGTAATCATATTTCGTATAAGTATATATATTTTTAATGTATATTACAACATTTTTTTGTTTTGTGTTTTTATCTTATTTTTTATTACTGAAGGAATACACTTGATTGTACACAGGTGTTTAAAAATCATCAAAAACGTAATAACGTAATAATATGAAAAGCCTCTCAATGTAAACACATTATATTTCCTACACCCAACAGCTGTTTGACATAATTATCATAGTAGTAAAAATACCTAATTTTTAAATTTCTTTCGAATTGCTTTGAAAAAATAACCAATAATTTAATGGTACTCATTGATTGAAAGCCTTAATTTTTCAAGTCTAAATCTAAAATGATCGCAATTATCTTCCTTTTCCACAACGTCCAGTGCGCAAGGTGTATAACGCGGCCGACAGCGGTTCTAAACTGATATTTCAGTAGGTTAATCGACAGAGCTCATATCGATGCTTTATCCATTAAACTCAGCTACAAAAATCACTTAAAAAATATAATAATAATAATAAATAAAATATAGTGATTACGATATTTGGGCAAAAAAGTTTCATGATATAAATATATAATTTCCGGAAAAAATATCGATATATTATCAACAGCCCTATTAATCGGCAGCTCATATCGATTATCCACGCCGGTTATTAAACGTGTGCGACTCAAAGTCTTTTTAATTATTTAATTGTAAAAATATTGCTTTTATCCAGATTGTGCTAGTTGCCGTTACAATAACATGATAATAGCCTAACGTATGTTGGCCGGTATTTTTACATTGCACTGATTTGGCCTGAATGTCGCCCTACCATGCAGAGTACGAATCGCAAATCTAACTGATCAAAACATATACGTATGTGTAAATTCCGTTTTTTCTTTTACACATTTAATGTATAATAGTCGCATTTATATGCTTGTGAAAAAGAAAAGAGACGATCGCAAATGCTTGGATCACATTTTGATCTGTGAAAACACGAAAAAGCCTAGTCTTCGGGTTTAGTTTACGTTTTTCATTTGATGCACGATCAACAGAAAAGGCTTGCACACACACACACACACACACACACACTTACATGCGTGTGTACATACGCACTTGTCATAACAGCAATAATAAAAGAACTGTGATCCAGCCAAAACAAAGGAGCACTTACAGTTGGCACACCGAATGCTCTTCGTGGACCTCATCGATTGTGCGAAACCCCAAAGGATAGTAGAGATATTGTACAAGATCAAGAGTAAACACAGTGCGTCAATAAATGGTGTGCATTGCCAAAAGAAACGATCGATTTCAGGTTGAAGTTCACAGGGTTATTCACATATGGACATGCGATTTCTGGCAAATCCTTGCATTTGATTTGATCGATCTTGCATAGAAACGTATTACTAGTGCCCGTAGACAGCATAAGTTTGTGTAAAATTATGGACGGTTGGGGATCCCTATGTCTTGTAGTTTTAGCTCTCAACATGACGCCTTCAAGTTTTAAAATTAATTTCATTTTCAAGTTAATGTTTAGTCTAATGCAATCTAATCTAAAATTCAAGGTTAAACGCCGGCCCCAATTGTCTCCAAGGACAATGGATCTTTTGTGTTCTGAGAGCATAGTTTATGAATCTGATTCGACCTTGTATCGCTTGAACACACATCAACAAAATATGGGTTTGGGGGCGCGAAGTGAACCCACCTCCAAGTGCTCCTCCTTCGGTGCTCCAACAAATAGTGATGTGGACGCCGATGTAGATACAGACGTCGACGCTGTGGAAAGTCCTGATAACTTGTCCCCCAATGCAGTTTTGTGCCAGATGAAGGACTATGTGTATATTTATGCATCCGTGGACGTAGACTCCTCAGCCACCACACCAAAAACTCAATCGCTGTTGCCGCCTCCTCCTCCTCCCCCTCCTCAACAGCAGCAACAACAACAATATGAACCTGCTGCAATGACACCATCTCTGCAAAGAGTTACCCATTCCACACAGGAAAGAACAGCATCACAGCAACATCATCTGGGCAAAGCGACTCCCGCAACAGTCAGCGTTAATATGGCCATCGGGGATCCCACATTTTTCACCGATCGATGTCTGGAAAATGCGCTGAAGGCTGAGGAGAAGCATAACCAAATTGTCGATACGTATTTCTTAACGGTCCAAAAGGATATAACGCCGGCCATGCGAAAAATTGTTGCCGAGTGGATGATGGAGGTGGGGGTCTATAACATCAAAATGCATTACAAATACATATTTAACGCTTATATGTATTGTTTTTCAGGTATGTGCAGAGGAGAAATGCCAGGAGGAAGTGGTCCTATTGGCTATAAATTACATGGACCGATTCCTGTCCAGCAAATCGGTGCGCAAAACCCATCTTCAGATTCTAGCTGCCGCCTGCCTCTTACTTGCTTCAAAGCTGCGCGAGCCCAGCTCGTACGCCCTGTCCGTGGACCTGCTGGTTGTTTATACGGACAACAGTATATACAAGGATGATTTGATCGTAAGTACTTCACCTGAGATGTCGGTTAATGCATTTTTAATTGTAATTATAATATATTTACATTCGACGTTATTTTTGCCTTTCAGAAGTGGGAGCTGTATGTGCTGAGCCGCTTGGGCTGGGACCTCTCCTCGGTGACTCCCCTAGACTTCCTTGAGCTCTTGTTAATGCGTTTGCCCATAAAACGGAAAAACTTCCCAGAGATAAATATTGGCAAGATACGGGGACATGCCCAGGCATTTATTTCGCTGGCAGCAAAAGGTAAGAACCTTGTGCTTTGTGTTCTTTAAATATTCACATTCCCTTTGTATTCCGAAAGAACATAAATTTGCCAAGTACTCGGCCAGCACTATAGCTGCATCAAGCATAGCGGCCTCCATGAATGGCCTCAAATGGCATCTGTGCTCCGGACACAACTTGCACTTTCTCTTGAGCCTGATGACGGACTTGACCAGCGTGGAGCAGGTAAGTGTACAGATTTAGGGGGAAATAACTGTGATTAATAATGCATATACGTTTAGGATCAGCTGCAGGATTGCATGCTGCATATGGAGGCCATTTTCAAGGAGCACAGCCAAAACTTGCAGCCGTTTATTGTGAGCATAGAGCCGCCCCCTCCCCCGCCGCCGACGCCGCCCCAACAGACATCAGCAGCACTATACTATCAAGGACGTTTGAAGATACACGAAGCGCATCAGTACCAGCAGCAGGAAAGGCCACCCAAAATTGTAATGGCATCCGACTCCGTGGAACAGCAGCACCAGCACCAACACCAGCATCAGCATCAGCAGCACTGCCTCAGGAATGCCCTGTCCTCCCGAAGAACACAAACGTGCAAAATGCAGGCGCAGGCTCAGAACGAACTTAAGGATGTGACATTTTGAGCGGCGATGCCAACGCTTTTGCTAAATCAAACGATATTTCACTAAGCTAGTTTTTACAAAGTCATTTAATTTTTAATGAAATAGATTTACCAGCTTTTTTTTTACTTTCTATGAAGGATTTACCAATGCGAATTCTTTTTTTATTCTTTAACGATACACTGTAATTAATTGTCGACCTTGAAACGGTTACATTATTCACCCATCCCATCCTATGGTTAATAAGAATGCGTATATATGAATATATATGTAAATTACTGGTAGATAAACAAAACACACACACACACACATGGGTATATACATAATTGAAGTAAATAAAACATAAAAACGAGACTGATTGTATACAGTAAAGCAAAAAAGTCCTAATTTCTGTACATATATAAGCCCCAACTCCCAGCTAGCGAGCTGAAATAAAACCTTTTGCATTTACATCACATCGAGTCGTACATTTTCTGCTTGAGCCTGACTGAGCGCACACTTTATTTTCAATTTACATTCCGTAGACACTCAAATTGGACCCTTCAGGCGATTTTTGTAAAAGTGGGTTGTTGTACAACAGTTTTGTTGTGTTTTAAATTTCAATACCTCCTTTAGGGTATTGTATAATTTCAGTCGGAAGGTAGAATGAGTCATTTCCGACCGATTTATAGGATCGGGTGTATGTTATTGATGCTGATTGGTGATTCAATTTGTTTGGCAAACTCAAAAACTAAAAAAAATCAATAACTTATTTGGTTTTTATAAGGCTAATAAATCTTCTAATTTCATTTTTTGCCAATTTTAACGATGTAACCGCTTATAAAATATTGAAAAAATTGTGCAATTTATATTGATTATTTTTGGAAAAAAAAATTAAAAAAATTAATATATAAATTTAAAAAATTTAACGTAGTTTTGAGTTATATTAAATTGTTAATAAATCTCCATATTAAATATAACTTAAATATTTATCCATAATTTTATATAATTTTTGGGAGAATTAAATCTTAAAAAATCTATAAATCTAATTATAAAAATGTACAAAATTCAATTCTGAAAGCGTTTTTGTTTTAGTTTCAATAAGGTTAATAATTCTGCATACTCCATTTAAGGTTTTTTTTTTTTTATAAAGTGTTAAAGTCCCTTGGCATTTATTGTTTAAAAAATTCTTTAAAAATTACAGGTAAACATTTCAGTAAAACTGAGTAAGCAGTTTTGTTAAGCGGAGAAAAAAAGCTCGCAAGAAAAAAGGCAAGCAGACAACGTTGCAGTAAGCAGACCTAGTTGCAGTGTCCCGCCAGAAACTTTTTTCGAAAAGCAGCTGAAGCTAGCAAATGCAACAACCTGAAGATGAACTTGGTTCAATTTAAATGGTTTGAACATCGACTTTTTCCGTTTACAATTCTGATTAGAAAATTACTTTGAAAATGTTGTAAGTTATAATATTTAACTTTAAATTTAAATTTATTAAAAAAAAAAAATTATATGTTTTAGATTTATATAATTCAAAACAAACCAAATTATTTAAGAGACTTTAGATACTTTTAAAAATTAATTAAAATAATAAGATAAAAATGAAAAAATATATATATTTGGTAGAAGAATTTAAAGATTATTTAGACTTACACAGAGAATAATTTAGGAATTATTTAAAATTTAATATAAAATATCAAATAAAATGTATAATTAATGTATATTAATTATTAAATGAAAAATTATACATTTTTATAAAAAATAATATAAAATGATCACGAGTTATTATTGTTTGAACTTTAAAAGTTTCAAATAAATATTTTGAAAATTTTACTTAGATTTAAATTAAAGTGATTAAAATCGAAATAAATTATTAATTTGTAAATCTTGTACAACATTAAATTTAAAGTAATTTCTTTTGCCTGTTCCTCGCGAAACAATAATTTAGAAATCAATATTAATGCGAACTTATCAAGGCGTCTGCAATCTGCAATCTGCAGCCTCAACTCCTTTTTACTCGTAAATTGCAACTCTTTTCAGCGTGGCTAATCGCTGGCATCGGCGGCGAGGCTACGGACACTCTGGGGCTGGGCCATTGGATATATCATCGATTATGACGCGGAGGAAGTCCGCCCATTAATAATAGAAATTATGGGGCGTTCACAAGAGGTTGTCGTGACAGTCGCCTGACATTTATGCAACTTTATGAGGAGGACGGTCGAAGGGGAAGGGGAAGGGGAAGAGGAAGAAGGATACTACCCCGTCCGGCGACTGACAAGTCTATCAATTTTTCACACACTCCTCAAGACGAAGGCTCTCGGCTCACTCGAAGGGTTGAGTTCGATTTTTATATTCTTCTATTTTTTTTAGGCATGCAAAATGCCCATCAGCTTGATTGCACAATTTTCAATATTTTCAATTTTCATTTGAGCAACAATTTTCCTCACTCCCTGCGCATATCGAATGTAATAATTTTTGACAATTTGCGAAATTTAGAGGTCATGAATGGGTCTTAAGTTACAACCCTTTGTTGGTCTTTTTGGGAATCTCTGAATTGGTGAAGCCCTGAATCTTTGAATCTCTGAATCCTGGTATCTTTGTGTCTTTGCATCTTCACTTTTATTTGCAAGTTTTTTAGCTGTCATTTGAGTAACGTAAAGTTTTGACAGGACCTGGAGGTATCTGTTTCAAGTTGTAGTTTTGATTTCTCCCGATTCCCCTGACTTTGTGTCCTGTCATTCGCCGGTGACAGCTCAATCGGGACATTGTCTTGTCTCCCCCGGAAAATGTGTCGCGTCATGCCTGGGCAGCCGCAACAAGAACACGAACCTCTAGAGGATGTGCCCTGGTATCCTTGAGATTTACATGACAAGTCTGGGGAATTTTACTTCCTTTTTTAAGGACGAATCTCGCTTTCGGACAGATGTCAATCAAATAAAATTAACACATCGTCATTGAGGAAGGTAAGTACTTGGCGCTGACCTGGTCTGGTTTCGTTTTCGATTAGCCTAGGTTTTTCCAGTTTTCCCGTTTACTATTTTTTTTAATTTTTGTCAGCATTTCCCAAGCCCGGACCCGCCTCTTATTTTCACATTTTCCCAGCTAAGTCGCATTAGGCGCTAATGTTTTGCTAGCGATTTTCGATTTTCGCGATTATTGCGGTTGACTGGATTCCGTTTTGTTTCGTTTCGTTTCGATTTTCTTTTTTTGTGCCCGAGGCTGACCCTTAATGGGATTACATAATATCATTAATCAGCCGAGTGAAATCGAAAACGAAATCGAAATCGGGAATCGGATGGCCATATGACATGTGCCACCTTCTCGTCTAGGAGGGTGTTATCCTTGGAGAGGCATTAATGTTAGAGAGAGGTACTTACGGCAGACACCCCCGAGTCCCAAAGGACACGCGCTATGCCGCCGCATCTGTAATTACGTAATTAGCGATGGGGTATGGGCCATACCGATACCGATATACCGATAGATAGCTGCACTGACCATCGCGTATCGCTCACTAATTGCATTAAATTGTCCAACACAGCGGCCAGATGACGCTCTCCCGATACCGTATCATCCCACACCATCCCAGGGAGCACACCATATCATCTCATCCCATCCGAACCGAACCGAACCGAACCGAACCGATGTCCTTTTTTTTTATTGATATTTGCTTAGTCCTGCGTGTGAGTAGTTGTCTCAACTATGTTTTCAGTTGTTGTACTTTTTGATGGGCCCAAAACGAATGCATTTTAATTGGACAAGCACCGCATTGTAATTTCTTAATTTCGAGTCCTGCAATCCTGATCGGGGGTGGTGCTATCATAGGTCCTGCCGAGGGTGGGTTTTGTCACGGCTGTTTAGCTAATTTTATAAGAGCCTGTACTTGATGGACAGCAGTTCTTCAGTCAATGATTGAGTTGTTATTGCTAAAATATTTGTTAGTTCTATTGGATGGAAGCTATCGATGTTTTTGCATCCCGAAATCGATCTTTAATCGATTTGCAATCATGTTTTTACGGTTACTACTGAATAAATGGTTTTAGCTTCAGGTTTAAGGTTTTAAGCTTAATTTGTAATTTTTTAAAAGTCTTTGACATTATTTTTTTTTTTTTGTATAAAATGAATGATCTCAATATTTTTATCGATATTTTTGCGTGCGACAATGAAACTTAAATCGATAAACAACGATTGACAATGGGTTATCTGAAGTTAGACTAAGCCTCAGGTATGAGATTTATTTTCTTATACATTTAGAATTTTAGTATTTTATTATCAACGTAAACGTAAATTAGATTTAAAAAACAAATCATTTTTAACCCCCCTTAAATTTCAATTATTTAAATTGCAGAAAATATACAAATATACTCTCTATGTCCAAAAGTTTATTAAATACAAATTATGCAATAACAGTAACAATAATAATAACATGAGCAAGGAGTCAGTCGAGGGGCGCATATACATATATCCTGCTCAGGTAATTGGCCAGGACATGCACTATATATGTGCATGTAAAATTTGAAATATGGAATATGGAAATTACCCATGATTGACAACCGATCTTCACTCGATCCGATCTGGCAGAAGATCCCCTCTCATAAATGATGTTTGCAGGACTCAAGGAATTCATAAAAAAAGGAAACATTTCCCACGTAACCGAAGATGGCTGGAAAAAAAAACCTCGCACCCCCCGGAGAAGAAAGGTGAAAGGAGAAAGCAATGTTGTTGCAACCATAGCTAACAAGCCTGTAATTACTCGCCGGCGAGATTGTTGTTGCCGTGTAACACCTTAATGGACTTAACGTCAGCCAGGACTCAGCCAGAGTCCTGACAGTCACCGTCACAGCGTTACCCCCGTAAAAATTTGCATAAAAAATCCGAAGCCAAGATGAAAAATTGAATAATGAAAAAAAAAGGAGAATCCTTTCGATGATATTTTGACATGACATCGTGGAAATATTTATTTGTCATCGCCTTGACAAAGGGATTAGGCGCAATCATATTTTACGGACACGGAAATCCATGTTGCCCTGTCCCGGAATTAGCATAGGTCCAAGGATCAAAAATATTTTGACACCCCAAGTTCCGAATTCCGAAAACCGAAATCCGAAATCCCTTTTGCCAGGACACAAAGACAGTTCAATTATGAGCACAAAGGGTTGAGGGTTACAGTTGGAGTTACAGGAGCTGACCAGGCTTACATAACCCGAGCAAATCTGGAGTAAGTCGCTTAAGGTTTCTTAGGGAACGTGGTAATCTTCATTCTTTTGCCATCTGCTGGCCCCCTTTCCTGCGTTTTTTATTATCTGAACTTCCTATCGAAGTGTCCCTAAATGCAGCAATTAACCTAAAGACTGGCTTCGAGGAGCAGCGGAAGGAGGAGAAGTCAGTCGAGCATGGAGTCCAAGGAGTCTCTAAGTAGTTGCACTTCCGACAATTACCTGGCCAGCGAAAGGATCCTCTGGGAGGGTCACCACTCCAGCGGGGG